TGTAAGTTTTTCATGCTTCATCTCACTCTGGTCTCGTCCGGGTGGGTGTAAAAAATTCTTGTGGAGGGTACTAACGTTCGCGTTTGTTTTCAGAGCTGACAACGTTAGGGGATCGGTCAGAGTTTGCAGGTGTTGCCTATGTTGAAAGTGTTGGATGTGAAAATCATGAGACTTGTAGTTTCATTCCTCCTCGAGCGATCTCGCCGGCTGATGGTTACTTTTGAGATGGAAATCTATATATATATATATATATATATATATATATATATATATATATATATATATATATATATATATATATATATATATATATATATATATATATATATATATTAGGTTGAACCGAAAGTTCTGTCGCGCCATTTTCAAAAAATCACAACTTCTTTCGGTCACGACGATTTTGCGCAATTCAAATTTTGTCTGAAAGCGTAAAGCATGTAGTTTCCATAAGGCCCCTGGAGACTTTCCAACATGTTCAGATTGCAGAGATAAAAATGAATGAACGAGAACATCCGAAATTCGGAATTTTTAAGCAAGAATTCTAAAAATTCAGAAACTGTGCGATAAAATCCAGAAAAGCCATTATCCTAATTTTTCTTACATTTGATTACTATCTGAGTCAAGTTTGCGCTGAACGAGTCCTTCTTTCAAAAGTTATGATTTTTTGAAAAATAATGCCGAAAAACCAATTTCCTAAGAATTCTTACGGAATTGATTTTTCGGCATTATTTTTCAAAAATTCATAACTTTTGAAAGAAAGGCTCGATCAGCACAAACTTGACTCAGATAGTAATCAAATGTAAGAAAAATTAGGATAATGGCTTTTCTGGATTTTATCGCACAGTTTCTGAATTTTTAGCATTCTTGCTTAAAAATTCCGAATTTCGGATGTTCTCGTTCATTCATTTTTATCTCTGCAATCTGAACATGCTGGAAAGTCTCCAGGGGACTTTTGGAAACTACATGCTTTACGCTTTCTAACAAAATTCAAATTGCGCAAAATCGTCATGACGAAAAGAAGTTATGATTTTTTGAAAATAGTGCGACAGAACTTTCGGTTCAACCTAATATATATATATATATATATGTATATATATATATATATATATATATATATCAGTGGCGTACCGAGGGGGGGGGGGCGGGGGGGGGGCGCGCGCCCCCCCCCCCGAGAATGGGTCGCGAAATTTTTGAAAGTTACTTATATGGGTTATAAAAATGTGTAAGTGACTTGTTTATTTTTGTAAATAATTAAAATAATTTTTAAAAATTTTTAAAAATTCAAATTAGCCTTGTAAAAAAAATTTTTTCGGGGGCGTGGCTGACGCCACGCCCCCTTTTTCCAGATTTTAGGGGTCGGGGACCCGAAAAAACTTTGGGAAGCACCCCCAAAAATTTTTCGGAGTGCGTGGCTAACGCCACGCACCTTCTTTAGAAAAAAATTTTTGTCGCGCCCCCCCCGAGCCGAAATCCTGGGTATGCCACCGATATATATATATATATATATATATATATATATATATATATAAAACTCAATGTCTGTGAGGATGTTCGTTTAGTTGTTCGTTCGTTATAGAAACGCCAGTCATTGAACCGATTGAGCTAAAACTTTGCACACGTATGCATTTGACCCCGGAGGTGGTTTATGGCTACTTTTTGCGGCGATTCGCAGGGTCCTATTGATTTATTGATTTTTGGCATAAGAATGAGTTCTCAACGTGGCTAACAAGTCAGTTCCATGATTTGGTGTAAACAATAGCAGTAGAGTTCATTCGGTTTTTGCGGTAGGAAGGATGCGGTAATCCAAGAGAGCCTGCAGCGGGTGAGTTACTCTGATAAAGGAAACCCTTGCAGCGCAGCATAACGGCCAGGTGGGAAGGGGCGGGGGGGAGGGGGGAGGTGGGGAGGGGCTGGAGCAGGGACCAGCTGACATGATCCGGGCTGGACCGGGAAAATCAGCTAGTGGGAAATAAGAAATGGAAGTAAATAAAATGAGAAATCCTTTTGCACGCGAAAGATCCTCATACAAAATTTATGGAAAGGAAAGGACTTGTTTAGAATAGGCGACCTCTAACATTCGAGAAGGCTGCTGAAGTCTCATGAGAATGCGTGTTAGATGTCGAATCCGGCCCTTCTGTGATTAGTGAGCAAAAGACCTATGGGAGGTCTTGCAGCGTCCTCAATATTGGAGACTGCCTCTTTCAAACAAGTCCTTCGATTTCCAAAAGGTTCGTATGAGGAGCTTCTTGCGAAAGCATTTCCTATTTCATTTCATGCTCATTTTTCTCATTTCCCATTTCCATTCCAGACGTACTCACCAGCCGGTGAGATCGTTCGAGAAAGAATGAAACTGCAAGACTATTTCCACATACAACACTTTCAACACCGGCAACTCTTTCAACACTTTCAACACCGGCAACACTTTCAACACCGGCAACACTTTCAACACCTTCAACATCGGCAACAGCGGCAAACTCTGACCGATCCCTAACACGAATTCGATGCAGCCCGCCTGACGCTCATGCCCTCCAAGGTAAGTTTCTCTCCGTTTTTCAGAGCTGTGATGTAGTTCGGTTTTTTCAATTTCAGAAAAAGTGTGATAACGACCCAAGAAGACACGACAGTCGAAAAGGCGAAATTCCGGGACTCGCCTGAGGAAGAATGATTTTCGTTTTCTTTTTTTGCTCAGTAATGTACAATTTTGTTGTTAAGATTCCGTTGTTGAGAGTATTGTTATCGTTTGTTCTGCTTTTGTCGTTTAGTTAGCCTGAGATGAATAAATCTGTGCCGATTCAATCTCTGTTGTTTGCTCAGTATGACTTTGTGCCGAAAATTCGAACAATACTCAAGAGTGCTCTACGGCTGGATTCACGCGCCATGGTCGCTTCGAGACTCCTGCATTCAACCGGCGTTTCACCTGCGTTTGACCGGAGAATGTGCTGCAGGCAAATTCCAAACCAAACGCAGGTGACAACCAGGACTCAGCAGAGGTGGCGCTTTCACACGCTGGATCTTGTTTTTTGAAGGGAAAGCAAAGGGGAACCCGTAAAGTTTCCACCTAGAAACCTGAGGAAATTTTAGAAAGCACCAATTTAACTTCGGCAAGCCCGAATTTGGGGGTCTAACGTAATTTTAACAGTCATAGGTATATCAACACGTTATAAACACGTCTCATGCATAAACCTGTGTACGAGTGAGCAATATAGAGACATCAATGGTGTGTATATGCGCGGCGACTGTCAAAAGAAAAGTATGAAAATTTAAAAGAAAATTACATGAACGAGAGAAATTGCAAGTGCTTTTCGATTTTAGGTTGCTCCCGCGCAACCTAGGAGCACTCTGAGGTTGCACGGGACCAGAAAAGGTTATGAATCTTCATAATTCTCTCCTTCCTCACATGAATTTTACATAAAACTATTCTTTAGATCGTGATCTACTTACGAGTACTCACCTTAACCTGAATTTCGTCCCCTATGCTCTGTTACGGTCGATAATAAAAGAACAGCAGTACTTTGCATTTCTCTTTTTGATCTTTGATTTGTTTATGTCTATTCTTCACTTCATTCCACTTTTTCGTCGCAGTTTATCAGAAGAGCTTTTACAAAATTACAAAACGTGTCTCGTATTTTTTTGCAATGTCAAAGGGAACTTCGTTTTTAAACCACCACCTCGTGCTGGGCCCTGATGACAACTGCTCGACCGGTCCAATAGTATCGTCGGCATAACCAAAGCTGACAATAGGATCAAGGGATAAAATGAGTTTACAAGAATCATCTATGACTTAATAATAACGGGCTAAGGATTGTTTACGTCTGTTTGCCTGTGTGTCTGTGTGTACGTCTGTCTGTCACGAAATTCGTAGAGCGAGTTCCAGCCAAATGCACGAGCGGTTCCATTGAGTGGATCCCTCGAAAAATGCGCGTGAAACGGATCCACTTGGATTTTGGCCAGTGAAATTGAGCCTGTAGCACAACTTTTTGCAAAGCCACTGATATGTTTGACAAGTTAATGTGCAAGCCATGGACTTGAGCCTAAATAAGTGAACTAAAGTTTATTACTTTGCGAAAACGGCGTCAAAAAGAATAGATTACGTGAATGGCTAATTTGCTAAGATTTTATCCGATCGTTTGAGAAGATTTTTGCACAGATATGTAGTCCACGGTGATTATAGCATCTTATAGCGAATATCAAGCCATGAAAAGTCCAAAAACCAATTCAAATTTGCATTTGTTCTTTCGAGAAAAATTTGGTTCTGCGAAATTACCGATCTCATATGGAAAAGCTGAATGAATAGTTGTTTACAAATCATTCGTGATAGTCCGCATAGCGCGGTGAGTTCCAGTGTCATTATTGTGCGAGAATGAGTAAGACATACAGATAGTAGGGCCAGTGCTTCACCTCTGCGAAGCAGAGGTGAAGCACTGGTAACTTATAATAACGGGCTAAGGGTGTTTACGTGACTTTGTGTGTGTGTGTGTCTGTCTGTCTGTAACGAAATTCATACAGCGGGTTCCAGTCAACATCCCGAGCTCAAATTTTGCATAGCGCATGCTACCAACGTAGAACTCCACCATGCAAAAGCACGAACGGATTCGTTGGGGGGGGGGGGTCCCTCAGAATTTGCGCGTCAAACGAATTCACTTGGCTTCTGGCCCGCAAAATTGGGTCCGTATCAACGCTTTTTGCAAGGCCGTGGATGTATTTAGCAGGTTGATGTGTAAGCCATGGACTTTAGACCGAAAAGTGATCAAAGGTTTGCTACTTTACGAAAACGACGCCAAAAAGAAATGGTCGCGTAAATGGTCAATTCGCCGTGGTTTTACCTGAGCATTTGAGAAGATTTTTGTATAGAGATGTGGCTCACGATAACTACTGTCCTCATGGCGATAACCAAGCCAAAAAACTTTCAAAACCTATTCAAAGTTGCATTTGTTCTTCTGCGAAAAGTTACATCCACGTGAAATCACCGATCTTGCATGAAAAAGCTTTTGGAATGAATAGTTGTATACATTTTATTCGCGATAGTCGGCATTGTGCGGTGAGTTTCAAAGCCATTATTAGGCGAGAATAAGTAGACGTATAGAGTAGGACCAGTGCGAACCTCTGCGAAGCAGAGGTGACGCACTGGTAAAATGATAAACTCATAGCACATGAGCATTAAGAGCAGTATTTCAATTCACAGTATTTTACAAGATTGGCCACGAGAAGATTTCCATGTCTACTGTGAAGTAGTTTCCGAGATATGTGAGCTTCTCTGTAAAGAGTGTGCTTAGAAAATACCAATCAAAATGTATCTAAATGCTTACCCATGTACATCCTCAATGATTGCTGGATCAACACCTTTGAGCAAGTCATCCCACTGTAAAACCCGATCGATGCAAAAACTCATACAGGCTATCACACGCTCTCCTTTCAGCCATTGCTGCAAACAAGCAGTTGGTCTATCAGATTATATTGCCTAGACTTCAATTTTATTTGTTGAAAAAAATTCTGCGTCAGTCACTGTTGCGCCCATAAATATCATAACTTATAATAACGGGCTAAGGGTTGTTTACGTTTGTCGTGTGTGTGTGTGTGTGTGTGTGTGTGTGTGTGTGTGTGTGTGTGTGTGTGTGTGTGTGTGTGTGTGTGTGTGTGTGTGTGTGTGTGTGTGTGTGTGTGTGTGTGTGTGTGTGTGTGTGTGTGTGTGTGTGTGTGTGTGTGTGTGTGTGTGTGTGTGTGTGTGTGTGTGTGTGTGTGTGTGTGTGTGTGTGTGTGTGTGTGTGTGTGTGTGTGTGTGTGTGTGTGTGTGTGTGTGTGTGTGTGTGTGTGTGTGTGTGTGTGTGTGTGTGTGTGTGTGTGTGTGTGTGTGTGTGTGTGTGTGTGTGTGTGTGTGTGTGTGTGTGTGTGTGTGTGTGTGTGTGTGTGTGTGTGTGTGTGTGTGTGTGTGTGTGTGTGTGTGTGTGTGTGTGTGTGTGTGTGTGTGTGTGTGTGTGTGTGTGTGTGTGTGTGTGTGTGTGTGTGTGTGTGTGTGTGTGTGTGTGTGTGTGTGTGTGTGTGTGTGTGTGTGTGTGTGTGTGTGTGTGTGTGTGTGTGTGTGTGTGTGTGTGTGTGTGTGTGTGTGTGTGTGTGTGTGTGTGTGTGTGTGTGTGTGTGTGTGTGTGTGTGTGTGTGTGTGTGTGTGTGTGTGTGTGTGTGTGTGTGTGTGTGTGTGTGTGTGTGTGTGTGTGTGTGTGTGTGTGTGTGTGTGTGTGTGTGTGTGTGTGTGTGTGTGTGTGTGTGTGTGTGTGTGTGTGTGTGTGTGTGTGTGTGTGTGTGTGTGTGTGTGTGTGTGTGTGTGTGTGTGTGTGTGTGTGTGTGTGTGTGTGTGTGTGTGTGTGTGTGTGTGTGTGTGTGTGTGTGTGTGTGTGTGTGTGTGTGTGTGTGTGTGTGTGTGTGTGTGTGTGTGTGTGTGTGTGTGTGTGTGTGTGTGTGTGTGTGTGTGTGTGTGTGTGTGTGTGTGTGTGTGTGTGTGTGTGTGTGTGTGTGTGTGTGTGTGTGTGTGTGTGTGTGTGTGTGTGTGTGTGTGTGTGTGTGTGTGTGTGTGTGTGTGTGTGTGTGTGTGTGTGTGTATCTCTGTCTGTCACGAAATTCGTAGAGCGTGTTCTAGCCAACGTCCTGAGCCCAAATTTTGCACAGCGCACGCTACCAGCATGAAAGCTCACTATGCGAAAGCATGAGCGGAACAGTTGATCGGATCCATTGAAAACTGCGCGTCAAACGGATCCACTTGGCTTCTGGCCAGCAAATTTGGGTCCGTAGTACTACTTTTTGCAGAGTTAAGGATATATTTGACAATCTATTGGAGCCATGGACGTTAGTCTAAAAAAGTAATGAAAAGCCTACTACTTTACGAAAACAGCGCCAGAAAGCATTTGCTGTGTAAACGGTCAATTTTTCAAGATTTTACCTGATCATTTGAGAAGATTTTTGCACAGAGATGTAGCCCACTATGTTTATTGTCCTTACGGCGACTGTCAAGCCATAAAAATTCCAAAAACCTATTCGAATTTGCATCTGTTCTTCTGGGAAAGATTTTATCCACGCGAAAATACTGATCCCACAAGGAAAACGTCTACGAATGGGTAGTTGTTTACGAATTATTCGTGATAGCCTACATAGCGCGGTGAGTTTCAATGTCATTATTATGCGGGAATGAGTAAGGCATACAGAAAATAGGGCCAGTGCGAGTCTCTGCGAAGCAGAGGTGACGCACTGGTTGCTTCTATAAATTGTTCCTGTTCACAGTTGTTTCTGAGGTGCACACTAGAAAAGTTGCAAAAATAAATAAGCCATACTCCAGCAAGTGAGTGTCACAAGCAAGGATCAGATTTCATGACATACTCAGTTGTTACCGTGATTAATGCGTTGATGGAGCTCGAGGTAATGTGAGAAGAATAGAGATTCAATGAAGTTGCTTGCAATCTACGCAGCTGTTCGTCGAAAAGTTCTGATTCACTGTAAACGTGAAGTTCCTGCACGGTTCGAATCTGAATATCACGTTGAGACGTCAAAAATCGCGGTCCTGCTGTTCTTACCACTTCATGATCAAAAAAATCCGTGTCGGGAGATGCATTAGTCAACACAATACTTGATGTGTGGAGCGGTAGACATGGAAGTAGCTTGGAAATAATCGAACTATCACAGGTGACTAGTCTAAAGCGTTGTGCTAGTAAGGTTGAAGTTGAGAGCTTGTCCAATGCATGCGCGATACCCGGCGTCAGAATACGCTAAAATGTTTATTTACTATCAAAACTGCTATAATCAGCATTCCAATTGAAGGTCGTGTCCCGGCAAAATCTCGCTCTCCTGTTCTTCTCCTCTTCGGAGCCTCCCCGCCATGCCAAAAATAAGCTTTTTCGAAGCTTCCCGTGTTCGCGTTTGTTCTAAATTACATGTAAGAAGTGGGTGGGGTTGGATCCCCGCAACGATTTTGAGCTTTCCAGAAGTGCTTTTTCGCTCCACCCATGATTTTGCCGGGACGCTGCCTTTTGATCCAAAGAGACGTTCCGTGAAACAGCTGAGGTTCTCATGATGAGAACTCTTCATTTCCTAGCAGTAAGCCAACTCCAAGGCATAGGCCAAACATTCAGCGTAAGCTCCGGAAGAGTGACTCATTTCGAACAGATAATTATACAAAATGTCCCAAAAAGATGTAATGAGCGTTTGATCGTTTATAACTCCCATGTCATGAAGTCTTTCCAGAAGCTTCAGGTACATTCTCTAGAAATGGCTTATACTCAGGTTTACAGTATACAGTGAAACATTGATTACGGTAGGAAGGGATTTTCAGCATATGGCGTCGTTGTGAAAAAGCTGACATTTCAGTACTTTCAAAAAAATCTGAAAACTCGTGTAATAGGGTTTTAGAAGACGCTGAGTTAGTGCTCAACTTTGTACTAGATGAAGCTTTCCAAATAGTGTTAGCGCATTTTTCGCAACATCGAGAAATCTGCTGCTATTGCTTACATGGCGTAACTTTTTGACGAAGCGTTCGATAAAACCCAAAACATAGTTAAAAGCAGCAAATCTAATTAGCTTAGTATGAGAGTTTCTGGTCTTTTGTTTCCTTTCTGGAGCAACATATGGCCCACTGGCTTAGAACCCTCTTCGAAGTCCCTGTCGTAGTCTTACACTGATCTGTAAAACTAAGTTGAAGCCAGCTCTACGACATAATTCCTAAAGCTTCTTGAGAAACTTCATGACAAGAAAATTACGATCAAACATTCTATACTTCTTCGTGGAGCCTATATTAGCTGCCGCAGTCATTATGTTTACAACACCTTTCAAACGTGGCTTCTACATTCCACCTCTTGCAGCTTCTGCCAATTTCAGTAAGGTCTTAAGGTCATCTTTCCAAGGGATATTCTCATGAAAAGCCCAAAAATGTTCTGCACATGACTTCAGCTTTATTATGGATCATAGAATAATAAAACTCAACCCGCCTGCACAATCTCCAAAGTGCGCACATCTAGAAATCGCGAGAAGTGGAACAGAGTTTGTAAAGCCGTGGATTCATAATCCTGATCATAATGCAAGTCGCGCACTCCACTTCTTTGTACAAAACAACCTCCCATATCATCTGGGGCAAATTTGAGTTCACACACCTCACTTGATCCAGACACTTTACACATGATCCTCAACCTCATGCTGTTATCAAGAGGGACCTAAAAATTTACCGAATAAGCTCCTGCATCAGTTGGAGTTTTGTTTGCTTATCATCGTCACACCTGATGTGCCCTTGTAATCCGAATCGTTTTTCCAGCAATTCGAATGTTTTCCACTTTGATTTTTACCTTCTTGACCAATAAAAACGACTCTTTGCTCAGCATCATAAATTGCATCAGACTGGTCAATGGTAGGTATCGCAGAGTTTCTACTTTCAATTCTGCTGGCAGATCGCCCCACACATGAAATTCACAACAGCTTGACATTTGTGCGACTGAAACACACGGACGTACAATCGAGCTGACGCGATGGCAAATTTGCGTGTGAACAGATAGTTACGCCTATACTCTGCGGGAGTATTTCTGGGTATCGTCATGGTTAATTATAGTTGACTGCACGGTATTGACCAGGCTGAGCGCCCACGAGCATGTCTCTTGCGGGCTAACATTGACATCGCGCGCATGAGTCATCATGGCGCTCGTACTCGGCAGCCGCGTTGCAGGCACGCTCGCGTGCGTTCAGCCTACGGCGACCCGGGCGATTTCGTGCAGTCGACCTTACAATTTACAATCATTCATCGGAGTTCCTAGCACACACCTTACAAGGGAATGGTAAGAAGTCGAAGTGGCCAATCCGAGCAAGCGCTTACCATTATTTGATGCAGCATACAATGCTGAATTCGAACCTGTATTCCATATCTGCTAGCGCCTTTGTGTACGAAGTTATGAGCAGTTTTATTGCGAAAAAATTATGCATAAAAATTGCGAAATTGAGCAACATTGCTGCACTTTCAGCTCACCTTTAGGATTTAAAAATACAAAGGAATCTAGCTGCATGTTTTGGCCAGCATTGAGGCGAAAATGATTGATTGATTGATTGATTTGACATCTTGATTTGACACAAACATGAAAATTTTCTCTTTCATGATTGCCCCAGAAAAAAATTACAACATCTGCATATTCAAATACCAGATAGAATGTATAGCGTGAGCAAGAAAACTTTTTGTTATTTATGATGATTCCTCATTTTTTGCGCACAATTTTCTAAAATTAGCTTCGACTTAACGTGGGAATTGTTGGTGACCTCAAAAGTATCATCTAGCTTTGCTCTATCGAATGATATATTAGAACATGTAAGATAAAGGAAAACGTACCTATCTTGTATCTATTCTAAAACAAGGCTTATGTTAATTTTTTTAGGCATACCTCGCGCGATTCGGCACAACAGCGATTCTTCGTAATTCGTCGTGAATGCGCTGCCTTTGGTCAGAACTTGCTCTGTTTGCAACAACTTACACAAGCTACCCAAATATGCGTCCGAGAAGTACACATGATAAGTTTATAGAAATCTGGAAAATCGCCGAGTCGCGTGAAAGTGGCGATTCGGCCGAATCGCATGAGGTATGTATGCCTTGGGCCCAGGGTCAAGCGTGTGATGCGACTGTCGCAACGAGGGGTCGTAAAGGGGGCCTACGGTGAGGGGGGGGGTCGTAAGAGGGGATAGTTTGGACTAAAAACCGTACGATTGAAAGCAAATCAAATAGCAAGTTATTTCTACATGCTCTTAACAATGAATTTATGGAATGCCGTGTACCAATGTATCAAATAAAAACGAGTGAACAATAATTTGAAAACATTTGCAAGCGTAGAAATTCGCTTCATTTGCTGCACTTTTGAAAGATTATGACTTAGTTCTTTTTTTTTTGATGGGAGTCGCTACTCCCGCAGAATATTGTCTCAAACGGGGATCGAACCCTGCTGGCATGACTAAAATCCAAAAAATAAACACTTTCAGAAGCTCAAATGCTACTAAAGGCATGTATGTTTGATAAAGATGTTGGATGTACCGATTGGTGTAGACATCCTGCTTCCGAAGGCTCACTGAAGACTCGCACACTCGTCAAAAGCGCGCATGTAGATCAACAATGACAATCAATAATTCATAAATCTTTTTGTAATGCCATTTATGCGGCCCTTACACTTTATATGTACTTTAGATAAGCTCTGTTACTGCTGTGCGAAATCTGGTGCCATTTTATAAACTGCGGAATTTCTTATGATTTTATGTGTGGTGGCAAAAAATGAGAAAAGGGGGGTCGTATCTGCGACTGATCTAAATTTCTCCGGAGCTATTGAAGCTTGTTAGCTGCAAACTTGCTGTAATACGAGGCTATCCCTCTAGTTTTTATCATAAGAATTTCAGGCTGTTTTATAACTTCTCTGGTAAGTTACAAAATTTTAAGCTCAAAAATCCCAATTTTTGCTTTTTAGGATCGCATCTAAATTTGCGAGAGCCTGATCTAAATTTTTTCGAGCTCACTGCTCCTCAAGGGCTGAAACTTTTTCTATGAATAGTCTGGGCACTGTGCTACAGAACCCGTTCTTTGCAGCCTCTCAGTCTTTTCCTGGCCTTAGTTACGAATTTTTAAACTACCGTGCTCATGCATGTTTTTGACGTCGTTCTGGACGGCGCTAAAGCGGTTTTTTTCGCAGGAAAAACTGTGGAAGAGATAAGAACTGAGCTTCTTAGTCGAAAACATCTTTTGTAGTTTAAGAATGTCATTTTGTTTTCCGTGTAAAAATTTGTGTCGCATACGGGAATCGAATTTGCTGGCCTAAAGTATGCCTGAAAATTCAAAAGTAAACTTGCAGAATCTCAAACATTATTGAAGGTGTGTATATGTGCTAGAGATGCTGGGCACACCCGTTGGCCTAGAGATTCTGCTTCCGAAACCTCACTGAAGTTCTCACGCAGGTGTTTTAAGATTGACATTCGTTTATGCAGGTTACCGCGAGAAATGTAGGCAGGGAAGGTAAGGGGGATAGATGGAGGCGGGGGAGGGAGCGGGGGGGGGTCGTACGGATGGGTACCTTCAAGGGGGGGTCGTAAATGAGGGTCCAGGATCGCATCAACACGCTTGACCCTGCTTGGGCCTTAGGCTTAAAGAATATAAACATGAAGTAACTTGCTGCATGTTTTTAGCATACAGGCGAACTTGGCTCTGTGCTGCCAAATTTGCGCTTTGATGCACGAATTTTTGGCAAAATAACGACCTTTACCGGCTCGTAACTCCGTCCACATAGGCGCTAAGCAGATATGGAATAATGATGCGAAGTCAGCTATACTGCTCTCTTGACATACAGCCTATCTGGATTGGCCACTTTGATTTTTGACCATTCCGTTAGTTGGAAATTGGTGATCTACTCGTGACAAGTGTATGATGCAGACGCACAGCGTTCGAGGGACCTTAGCGCTTCTGACTCTAAGGCTTGAGATTTACCTGACGATGGAGGTATAGCGGGTGTTGACGAATCGCTGATGTCTGCGCTGCCTTCAGCTGTTCATGGCTGCTGCGCCGAGTACGCTTTGGGTGCAAGAACGAAGTAGTTTTACCCATTACTACGCTTAGCTTAGGCCATTAACGAAAGTAGGCTTGACAATTACCAAAATTGAGAAATATCATTATATGACCAAGAAAGTCGTACTGTTTTCATAAAAAAATTTTCTTCATAATAAGCATAAACCATGTTGCATATACTGAGAGCTTTTAATCATTTGACAAATACAAGCGAGTGTCACAGTAGAACCTTGATGTGTGCTTGAGGCAACATCTAAACTATCTAGGTCATAGCAGACGTTAATGTGCTCAGGTGTATTAGTAGTATCCCACTAAATCGTTAAAATCCTTTAGCTTTTCATCGTTACTCCATTTTAACTACGCACTTGATCAGATTTCATTCTTTGTCGACCTTGTCAATTCTTTATCAATTTTCTTATCGATGCAATTGCGTTTCGGTCTTGAAAATTGGTCATAGTTCATCAGTATCGAAACAAGTGCTCTAGAAATCCTTCAGAAATTCAGAAATATGGTAAAAGGGGCAAATCCGAGCAAAATCAGCAGTAGCAGCCCGAAGCAGCTAAAAGAAGCTCATCAAAAGTGAGCTTCCTATCGCGTAGCAGCGAAGAGCAGCGACGAGCAGCAGGGAGCAGCACCTCCAGCTAAAGTGAGGTAATTGATAAGTAATCGTTCAAGTTCCGCTGTAAAAGCGGAGCCAAACGCGTAAAAATTGCTTTAGAAGGTGGAAGCGGCAATGGTCACTCCGCTCATCGACGCGGGTGGTCTGAAGATGAGAGTCCAAAATTTGGCTTGAATGTGTCCAGAAATGTAGAGAATTCGTCCTTCGTTATCATTATCAGGTTCTCGACAGTATTGAGCGCATTTATGCTCATTTCGGACAGAATCACATCGGGGCGGAGCGACCACCTCCGCTCCCACCCTGTAAAGCATTTCTCGCTTCAGAGTTCAGCTTTCGCAGCAAGACTTCAGTGTAGGCAACTATCAATTTAGAAGCTTTTTAACGTGCCTCATCAACCCTGAACTGCGTGCTGCGCTGCGCGAAGCTGCGTGAAGTCTCCATCTACTCCGTCTCGGAAAAAGTGGCGACGGCGATATGAACATGACAAGTAAGAACGAGAGAACGTGTAACCGGAAAACAAAAAGTTCTACAACAGTAAAACTTTATGACAAAATCAACAAAATTACAGAAGCCCTAGGTCAAAAACATCACCATGTATAGAGATGGCAAGCTTCCCATATTTAGTGTGCAACTCGCAATAGAATCTGAAAGCAGGTCAAAATATTGTGCAACAAGAAATGTAGGTAAAATTTCGTTTCTTACTCAGACGCATCATCGACATGCTTGATGCATTTCGGATCAATCCCCATAAGCAGTTCATCCCAAGCCAAGGGTTGATCGGAGACAACATAAAAAAACTCGATTTCTCGCTGTCCTTGCAACCATTGCTGCAACAATGATTTCACTGTTTTACCTACAGAAACTTTTTTTTTCAACTTTCCATTCTTGTCCAGTCGATGCTTGAGCAACATAAGCTGCGTGTGAAAACAAAGTCATTTGCCTAGAATTTGCAAAGTCATCAAGGAATGTGTAAACTCACATGTATTAGTCGATTGACAGAACGTGACGTGATGTGGGATGAATTAATATCCAGATCAGATGCTTGCAGATCGCATAATTGTTTGTCGAAAAGATCCGCATTTATGCTCTCGACTTTTAGCGTTCGGGCAGTACGGATCTAGATTTGCAGCGTCGAAAGGAATATATAGAACACCACCATTTTGCTTACCACTTCGTGCTCAAATACATTACTACTTATTACTGGTAGGTTATGATTAGAGACCTTGATAGTGAGCCACGATAAATGGCTTGGTAGAAAAGGAATAATTAGGCGAAGAAAAGATATATCCCATGTGTCTATTGTGATATCTTTTGCCCGCAATGTCGAACCCAGGTGTACATATAGAGCACGGGCAGTTTCTGACACCTCGAAGGGCTGAAAAGATATCTTATTTATCATGAAGTCACTGTAAGCTTGGTAGTTGATAGAATTTTACTGATCGTCGATTTCGTTGAATTTGCCCGGAATATTCTTGACAATTGGTCATGATTGTTGTAATTTTACAGTAACGCCATCCGTTGGGTGAATGTATAGTCCCCTCCACAGATCGTGCTACCCTTGGTCTGCGTCTCAGACCTGCCACGTGTGGCTAAAATGTTGGCAACGTTGGCAGCAACACGTTGGCAACATGCAGCACCATGTTGGCGTGGCCAAAATGTTCTGCCAACATGTTGGGACATGTTGCAAACATGTTGTTGCCACGTTGCCAACATGTTAGCCACATGTGGCAGGTCTGACAAGGGAACGATCCCAACTTAAGGTGTCGAAATGGAATGAACCGCATATCATTAGATGCGCCTTGATGAGCTGATTGCAAATCTACCTTCCGTATCTGCGACAACGTTATCTGAAAGAAGTTATGAAACTTAAAAAACGTAAAGTAATGGGGGTTTTAGTGCATAATTCGCTTCAAAATCCAACTTGGGAGTGTATGACTAGCATGATATTGAGTCTATTGATTTCAAGGAATGCCTCACACTCTAAAGAAGCACAGATAAGTGTTTTTGAACAACTAATTTTCGAGGTATTGCGCTGTATATTTGCCAAATTTGCACTTTTCATTGCTCTTAGCTTTTACCAAAGAACTTTAGTTGCTTTTTTAGCTGTTCAAAAACATCTATTTGCGTTTCTTTTGAATGTGAGCATCCTGTGAAATCAATACACTCAATATGATGCTAGTCGTGCACTTCCAAGTTGAATTTCAAAGCAAATTATGCATCTAAACCCCCGTTATTCACATTTTTAACCTTTCATAACTTCTTTCAGATATCGTTGTCGCAGATATGGAAGGTAGATTTGGAATCAGCTCATTAAGACGCATCTAATGGTATGCGGTTTATTCCGATTCGCCACCTTAAGTTGGGATCGTTCCCTTGTGAGACGCAGACCAACGGGTAGCACGATCTGTAAAAGGGACGATACAGTCGAGTACATTTTGCTCAATGTGGAATGCTTGTTGCATGTAAAATGCGATAAATTTGCGCGTAAACACACAGCCACGCCAATAATGCCGGCTTTTTGCACGCGCATCTTACCGGCATCACAGGCGTACAGTCGAGTAGATTTCCTGCTTAATATAGTGTCCCTGCAGACGCGACAACGCTGGGGCGTCAATAAATGCCTTGCGATTCCCGAGCTAGTGTTTTCCAGTGTCTTTGCTTATTTCATCCTTTTTAGTTGACTCAATGCTGATAAAGAGGAAAAGGGTAGGTTAAAGAGTTAATTCTGTTTACTAAGAAGTTCTATCATCGCATATTCACAGGTATCCACGTGGAAACATTTAGCGTCAGCTTCTTTTCTGTTTTTTCTGTCATTTCCTTTTCTGGCGCTATTCGGCTATCCGGGCCCCAAAATTTTTTTGTCATGGATTTCGCTCAAACTTGGCCTATAGGGGTTATCTGACATGGTGATCACGAATATCACCTTTTCTCTGCAGGAAAACGCCTCCCTGCAGGGTTACGGTAGGTATACGGTGGAGGGTCAAAATCATAGATTTGGCTGAAATTTAGCCTAGGGGTGTTATTCGGCCCGCTGACGCCGAATATCACATTGGTTTTGTACCGTAGCGTCATTTTCTCGGGTTACGGTGGGTATACGGTAGGAGGTCAAAATCTCAAAATCCGCTGTAACTTCGCACAGAAGGCTTATTCGACATGCTGATTAGAAATGTCACACTTTTTCCGCACGAAGACGTCTCCCTGCATGGCTACGGTAGGTTTACGGTAGGGTCAAAATCACAAATCGGCAAATGTATCTTCCCCCTGTGCTTTGCTTAGGCAAAAGCCGCAGCAGAGTGTGTAGCGCGCGGCAATGGTCGTGTGTGCAAAGCTTTACGGTCGTCCGAGTCGCCGTATATTCGTTTCAGGCAGAACTATATTTCACACCCGTTACCGTGTAGCAACCGTAACCCGAGAAAATGACGCTACGGTTCAAAACCAATGTGATATTTGGCATCAGCGGGCCGAATAACCCCTCTGGGCCAAGTTTCCGGCAAATCCATGATTTTGACCCTGTACCGTAGTCCTACCGTAACTCTACCGGACGGCGCTGTCGCACGAAATAAACATCATTTTCGTGTTCAGCATGCCAAATAACCCCTCTAGACGAAGTTTCGGACAAATCCGTGATTTGACCCTGTACCGTAGTCCTACCGTAACTCTACCGGACGGCGCTGTCGCACGAAATAAACATCATTTTCGTGTTCAGCATGCCAAATAACCCCTCTAGACGAAGTTTCGGACAAATCCGTGATTTGACCCTGTACCGTAGTCCTACCGTAACTCTACCGGACGGCGCTGTCGCACGAAATAAACATCATTTTCGTGTTCAGCATGCCAAATAACCCCTCTAGACGAAGTTTCGGACAAATCCGTGATTTTGACCCCCTACCGTATACCTACCGTAGCCCTGCAGGGAGGCGTTTTCCTGCGGAGAAAAGGCGATGTTCGTGATCAGCATGTCAGATAACCCCCCTGGGCCAAGTTTGAGCGAAATCCATGACAAAAAAATTTTGGGGCCCGGATAGCCGAATAGCGCCCCTTTTCTTCTGTCACTTCTTCTTTAAAACCTCCTCCTTCTTGTGAGGCGTTTCTTTGAACGCTAGTTGGCTTGTCTTGCAGCAACTTCGGCTTTCATCCATAAGAAATAGCATTTTGATTAGGTACTTTATGTGATAAAGGTAAAAACCCACTAGCGTTCAAAGAAGTACCTCACAAGAAGAAAGAGACATGATGACAAAAAATAGATAAGAAACTGACGCGAACTGCTTCCACGTGGATATCTGTGAATATGCGATGATAAAACTTCTCAGAAAACAGAAACTACTCTCTAACTTACCCTTTTCTTCTTTATCAGCAAGGAATCACCTGAAAAGCATAGAATAAGCAAAGAAAACACTGGAAAACACTAGCTCGGGAATTCGCCAGGCAATTATTGACGCCCCAGCGTTGTCGCGTCTGCAGGGACACTATACTAAGCAGGAAATCTACTCGACTGTAGCTATTTGTTCATGCGCAGATCTCACAGCATCTTACCTGCAGTGCGAGCATACATTATCAAATCTACTCGACCGTACCGTTCCTTTCACAGATGCTGCTACCCTTGGTCTGCGTCTCTGACCTGTGGCACGCGTGGCCATTATGTTAGCAACATACAGTAACATGTTAGCTTTGAGGCTCTCAGCCAAGATGTTCTGCCAATGTTGTTGCATGTTGCAAACATGTTGCTCCCGTTGACAACATGTTAGCCATACGTGTCGCAAGTCAGAGACGCAGACCAAGGGCAGCAGCAATTGCGGAGTGGACGATGAAGTAGAAGACCTACTCGCGGATCTGCTGAAAGCTCTCTTTCTCGTTAAGTTCTTATTCATCAGCTGTTCGTGATTATTTTGTCATCGTTCAACGATGATGCTCTAGCATCCTGACAACGCAGATAATCGCCGGGAGCAGGCGATCCGCAAACTCGCACTTTTCAGCAGGCGGTCAGCAAAATTTTGGGGCGTGGCCAAACTTCGGCGAGAGGTAATATCTGCTGCATGACGAAGGCGGTTGCCCAAATAGGCTGAAGGCTGTCGCGCACGCGGCGCGCGGGCAACTGTCAACCACCGGGCGCGCGCAGCGGTCATCCACTGTAGCGTGCGCGTGCCCCGTGGCTGACAATTGCCCGCGCGCCGCGTGCGCGACAACCTTCAACCTATTTGGGCAACCGCCTTCGTCATGCAGCAGATATTACTTCCGCGTCTGCGAGCGGGCAGCAGCACAAGATTTTCTGCAAGCGCTCGTCAAATAATCTCTTTCAGCGAGCGCTGGCCAAACCTTCAGCAGGTGCATGGACTCTATTTACGCAGTCGGGCGTACGCTGAGCAAAGGTCAGACTCTACGTAACAGAGGTGTCATCGTTGGTTTAATTACTCAACTCTTCGCGGAAGGTAATTAATGAGTGCCCGGACAGATCGCCACCCCATAATTTATGAAAGTTTGGGGCGCATGGCGAGGGCCCGGCACAGATCGTCTGGAAGCAGGCTGGACTTCGTTTTTGAAGCAAAGAGCAAAGGGGATATCGTTTTGGACGAGTCGGAACCGAGCACCAAGAATAAGCGCCATTTAGTCGAACACAAGCTTTTCGGACAGGTTATCACACGATTGACATGCTCTATCCTGCATGGCGAAAAGTGCGCGCGATTTGAAAGCAAGGCTTAAATAAACAGATTGCTTGTTCACACCGCACACAGAAGCACATGACATCAAATTTGAACTGTATACATAGAAAATTATTTGCAAAAGAACTATGCAAAGATATGAAAACTTATGTGAAGTAATACCTTTTCCAAAATTAGATCGTCTCCAGACGGCCACCAGACGATCTGAGATCGTCTAGAGCATATATCTTCGTCACTTCACATAAGTTTCGGACCTTTTTCGCATGGACGGATTCCCCGGTCAAAAACCTATCCCTGAGCATGAAGACATTTTCATATCATTGCCTTCGCTTTGTTTTTTGCCTTCATTTCTTCTCGCTTTGTTAAATATCGCGCTCTAATGCCAAAGTCTTGTGCATGCGTAGTATTCAGCTCCAATATGGATTTTCACTCTTATCTTACGTCTTTTCTTTCAGGCTAGTAAACCTTTCTTGTTTTCATCTTCTCCTAAGCAGGTAGGTCAAAGAGGACTTCGTAAAACTTCCGAAAGTCAGGAGAGATTTCGTTTTCAGAAACCCTAGAAACCGACTCGTGCCGGGCCCTGCGCATGGCGCAAACGGGCAGCAGAGTCCCACCTGTTGAGATTCGAGATCGGGCATGGTCAGGCATCTGCCATCCCCGACATGGCCAAACTTGCCAGATCGGACCATATCTTCAAACAGGCAGGAGCCCGACCAGCTTGGCTTCATGTATCGCAGGCGCCAGTGCTCGCGCCTATACGGGCTATGACCTGTACAGGAACCCCTTCCCATATGGGAGATTGATAGATACCGCCCCAGGAATCAAATTCTGGTGCTTCGCACACACTATAGCGAGGATTCGATGCCGTGTGAAAGTGCGAGAGTGCCTGCCTCATGTTATCTGTGCGCTTGGGTGGAGCCTAATGACGACCTACTGTCCTATACCCTTCTCGGAATGAATGCCGGGGAGCAGCAACACATCGAGAAAATCTCGCGCAGACTGTGGATCATGACCTGTTCACCGTTTTCGGATCCCGGTTTTATCTGGAAAATCCAGATCAGATCAGATTGGATATGTTTTCGCTGTGGCTATGGCACCCCTTTGTTCGTCATGTACGACGGCTTAAAGGGCAGTGGCTCGGTAAATCTCAACCTAGTGAAGTTTGCGCTTACGTGGGGTTATTCAATACGCTGATCCCGAAAATCCACTAAAGCTTGAAAAACAGAACAGATTTGGCAGTCGTTGCAACTTTCAACTACAGTAACCCGACGCCATTTACAGGGTCTTCGTTGCGGGATTTTCTCAATCTCCTTTTGAAAATGAAGTTGCACATTATTTTTGCTGGAGTGCATTTTGCATTTAGCTGTGCTAATTCTGAGGTCTCCATAAGCTGGCCACCTACCTGTGCGCGGTCAATTTTGAACACGTCACCTAGGGAGACAGGCTTTACCACATGTGGACGAAGGAACTCTTGGAGTTGTCTCCAAAAGACTAGCGCATCCAAGAGCGAGCGTCCTATTTCCAGTCAATGTCTGTTGACGCTGTTCTTGTGACAGTTCATCACACTGCAATAGTGAGTACGACTTTGCGTTCAATTTTGGGGGTGGTAAGTTGAAGAGGTTCAGTGTTGTTGCGAACTGATATCATGCTATGAACGAATACTTCCTTTTGGACCCAGCTGACACTGTGATCTGGGTCTAAATCATAAAATTTATTTTCTGTGGTTGTCATGCTGAGCACAGCGTATCTGTAATTAGGTGAACCCGTGCCCATTTCACAAATTTTGAGTCTTGACTAAGCTGGGTACACTAGAAACTCAATTCCAAGTGGAGAAAATTCTCGTATGGTTGCCCTGCAGCGGTTGACTGTGCTTTGCATTACAAGTACAAAGCACACTCCGACTTAGCTTCTTCATCCACAAGAATGGGGAATGTTCTATCACAAGTTGCTTTACTAGGCAGTACATTGACGGGCAAAGTTCAGAAATGTTTCTTGTGCACCTAAATCTTAATTCCTTCAAAACTGTGCCACTCTTTGTCAGCACTTGTGGATCTATTCACACATGAATTCCCCAGCTGTCAATTCTGCTTAATCATCTGTAACAAGCGTTGCTTTTCACCGTTTCTTCATGGGCTATCCAAAACAATGCGCTTTTTTAGATCTTAATTCTTTGCAGTTCTGTTTCGCTCAGTAAAACAATATAAGCTACATTCTTCTACTCCTAAGAGATTCCCTCACAGCGCGTGGTCATTTCCGACTAAGTTGAAGGTTATAAAAGGAAAGATAACGTAAATGAAAATTCGTTTAGCATTCCCGGTACGTAGTCGGGCGCATCAGTAATTTTGCTTTCAACGCAACTTGAAACAGTGTAGCTTTCGAATCCTCCAAATCTTGAAACTGCTTTCTTACAAGCTCTAGAGTTTCCCTTTACCTCATGAAAATCCAATATGAACATGGCAAGCAGAGAGGTAACGGGAGCTTGGAGTGCAGCATCATTGTCAAATTGACCGAAAGGCAGATAGTTGGTCCCGCCACGCATACCCTGCAAGTAGCGGCGCGTTACTGTTGTTGAAAATTGCAATGATTGCCAAATCTGTTCTGTGCTTGAAAACGGCGAAAGTGAGCGTTATTAATGCCCTTTCCCTTTAGAATTGGACAAGCGGAGCAAGGCTGATGACGCCAAATCGTTGCAGGACCCAACAGTTATAACATTGCGGCGGGCAGCCTCCAATGGTGAGAAGGAATTTGCCACTCGCCCAAATGCGTGTAAGATTGGCCTGCGCGTGTAAGTTTGAGAGCAATTTTCTCGGCAGGGAAAGCATGCTGTGCAACCCGGATTGCACTGTTTTCATACTTGGGCGATAAGGAACCTACCGCGTCAAAATCCTAAGTTGTTGGATTTTGCCGATCCACCGTCTTTGAAAGCAGTGTCCAGGTAAAAAGTCGACTTCGAGATTTAGCGCTTACCCGGCCTTCGCTAAGCTGAATCCGAAAATCTACACTAAAGAGCGCGAAAACCGCGAAAAATGGCTCTAACGCAGGAAGGAAATCAGATGTCGGCGGGTTCTTCCTCACTGTAAATTCACGGTCCCGTCTTTCGGAGCGGTCTTCTCGATTTCTCTAGCGCCCTGACATCTCCACAAGCCAAGTGCGAATGCGTGACTTGAAATCAGAACCGAGAAGATCGATAGAGAACTGGGACCGTGAATTCACAGTGGGGAGGACCCCGCCCACTTCTGATTCCCCTCCTGCGTTAGAGCCTTTTTTTCGCCGTTTTCGCGCTCTCCAGTGTGGATTTTCGGATCCAGCATAGCTGATAGGCCCTGGTAAGCCCAAAACCTCGATAGCGACTTTTTGCCCGCACATTGCCTTTAAGGCTCCCGCCAGAGTGCCGAAGTTATGCCAGCGCTACGCCAGCATTTCGATCGATACACGCGTATTTCGTTGAGGCGGGGCTAGCTCAGCAGGTAGATGTCCCCAACGAAATACACTTGTATCGATCGAAATGCTGGCGTAGCGCTGGCATAACTTCGGCACTCTGGCGGGAGCCTAACACACAGTTCATTCGGACATTCGGATCAAACCTGGTAAAACTACTTGAATATTTCGATAAAGGAGAGCTGTGCTTTGCCAACAAATTTAGAATAAATAACCGAAGCATTAGATAAAAATAGACACACTTACTTGTTCAATCTTTAACTCTTCAACATCAAAGAGTTTCATGTAACGAAAGAGTAGCTGCATGGCAACAGACTGGAAATCCTCTTCATAACAATTCAATATTTCTCCCCAACGAAGAACCACGCTCCCTCCGTCGATCCGGTGGCGAATTTTGACTTCATACTCTTCTCCGTAAGTCGGCTCAACTTCGAAATTGATGCTGGCACCCTAGAGCAAGATCAACAGAAATATCAAGGCTGGGTCGAGGAAGTTACGACGCTGATGAGCCCCGCATGCGACATACAGGGCTTATCAAATGTAGTGTAGCTTGCATCAGCATCTCCACTCCCGCGCTGGACTCTGCGTCTCTTCCGCGAACATGCTCTATGATCACTTTCCCAGGGCGAGCGTGGGAAAGGCAACCCTCAATCGATTGGAAGTGATTGGAGAGCATTTTCGCGAAAGAAACGCAGAGTCCAGCGCGTGAGTGGAGATGCTGATGCAGGCGACACTGTGTTTGATAAGCCCTGTATGTTGTTGTCGAGAGCACTACTGTTGGTGTCCCAAGAGTGAAGCCCGTCAGCGACCTAACGTCCTCTACTTTAATCTTGGGGTCGCATGCATCAACATCCCCGCCGGGGAGAGAATCGCAGTTTAAACAAAAGCTCCATATCAGGAAGCTCCAGATATCTAGAATTCACGCTGTCTACCCATCCGTAGGTATTCCTACCATCTTTCACTATGAACATACTGAACAGAAGCGAGAAGCTGTACAAGCCCCATTTTCCGCTTTTTGTATGATCCCTTGATGATCGCCGACGGCCGACGTTTTTTTCTTCCAAGTCAGTGAAAACATTCCGAAGTTGTATTGCTTATCTAACCCAACAGTGCTAACAAGGGAATGGTCAGAAATCGAAATGGCCAATTGAAACAAACTGCATAACGTTAGATGCACCATAAAGCACTGACTTCGAATCTGTCTTCAAAATCTGCTTAGCGCCTGTGTAGGTAAAGTTATGAGCCGTTAAAGGCCGCTATTTTGCTAGGAAATTGTGTACAGATTCGAAATCAGCGCTGAACGCTGTATCAAATGATAGGCACCTTGCTAGGATTGGCCACTTCGACTTCTACCATTCACTTGTAAGCATGTTGTGTATAAGAACAAATGGTGTTTTAGGGTCATGAAATTTTCGACGAACCATAGGTCGAATGTTGGGGTTTATCGGAAAATTCGATTTTCCAGAAACTCATCTATTCTTATCAGCAACGTGCTTATCGTTAGCACAGTTGAGCTAGATGAACGGTGCAACTAATTGTAAGAATGGTTTTCGTTAACTTCGAAGAAAGAAAAATGACTTTGAAGAAAAGACGGTCGGTCGCCGGGGATCATCAGGGGACCATACGAGAAGCTGGAAAATGCTTCTTATATATACATCTTCTCGTTCCTGTTCAGTATGTTCATGGTAAAGGATGGTAGGAATATTTACGGATAGGTATACAGCGTGAAATTCAGTCTGGAGCTTCAGGATATGAAGCTTTCTTTCTAAGCTTCTAAGCTTTCTGATCCCCTCCCCAGCGAGGATTAATGCGTGCGCCCCTTGGTGAAGTACATCGATTATCCTCGATCCAATAAACATGTCACTCATGCTTGCTCCTGCGGCTCGATACTGGTACCGTATCAAATCAACTTTGAACTTCGCTTGTGAAACGAGATTGTAGCTCTCCTTGCTTGAAAGCATAAAGCGCATCAGTGAAGAGAATGAGAGACGTTTCAAAACTGCTATCTTCAGTTCTGCTGGGAGTTCCGGCCATTTTTGAAACTTGCAGCCACTCGCCATTCGTGCCTGAGACACCAAACAATTAAGGAGAGCTATATTTCACGGATGTTACCGCTGTTGCCGATGGCTGCAAAGCTATTAACAGGGCATAACAATCACTTTCATTTTTCTGCATAGATCCCGCCGACTGATGGCTACAGTCTGGTCAATCACGTGTCCCCTTTCCTGTCGGTGCACTCTCTAGCAAAAGTTTCGCGCCACGTTCGCGCTGGTATGGCTTGGGCGAACTAGTTCCATTGATTGGAGGTCCACAAGCCTTCCCCTCCGTCGCAGATGCGTAGCTCCTATGCGAAAGGGAGCGGAGTACGTATTGACATAGACTGCATCACTGGCTCCCAGATTCGGTGGAGGCGGGTTGCACCATCCCTGATTATAAAAATAAACTTTTTATTGTTAGACCTCTACGTTACATCGTTTTTCGTACTCTCTCATTAACTTTACCTTATAATGAGGGAAAGTCCTCAACCTGCCTCCACATGAATCTAGGAGCCAAACATCGTCTACCTTACCCCTTCAACGACGTGAAAAGAAAAAAACGTGTAAGACCTTGGGCAGAGTTCACGCGATTTCATCGCCGCGATTCTTCAAACAAATCAAACAGTTACGAGTCTATTGCAATCGATCATCTTGCATTTCGGTTGTAATGGTTCTCCATCACGACCAATCGTGACTAACTATCAGAACCGAAATGCTAGATGATCGGAATGCAATGGACTCGTAACCGTTCGTCTTTTTGGAAGAATCGCAGGATCGCGTGAAATCGCGTGAACTCTGCCCGAGGCCTAACGAAATTCACCGGCAACAAAGATAACCGCGGCAGCAGTGGTAACAGCGGTAACAGCGAAAATCAAGACAGTAAGAATGATAAAACCGTAAAAACGTTCGCTAGTGTTGCAAAAATGTAACTCAGATTTTGCCGTTATCGAAGCAAAATCACGCGCCTTCTGGCAGACTCGATGATGCTATAGGGCTGTGAGAGCGGCCATATTACTACAGAAGGTGATTCCTGCGGTCCTGTAATTTCCGCAATTCCTGTGATTCCTCCATTTTCCGATGTGCCACACTACAAGCGCTTTGCGAAGTTCAGTATCCTTATTTTTTCGCAATGTACACTGTAGTGGGATCGCAGGAATCGCAGGAATTGCAGGAACCACAGGATTGATATGGCCGGTGTCTTTGCGTGATCGTGAAGATCGGTGAGAATCCCACAAGGTCGCAAATCAGTTAAACATTCCGTACTTCACACTACAGGTGATTGAAAGCTAACATCTAATAGCTAAAGGGCTTCTGAAAGGAGAAAAAGGGCAAAATGGGCAACTGCTCGTGCGACTCGGGTTCCCGTGCTGTGGCCTCACGAGAAAACTGCCGTTGACAGTGGACTGTGGACACTCTCTCGTGTTAGCCATGGCTAACACTGCAGCTGCAGCCTTCGAGCGGCATTCAGAGTGCTCGTCACAGACGCCGGCAGGGTGCAAACGATGGCCGCGCGGGAGACACCAATGGGCAACGCTGTCACGATGGAGGAACATATGTGCTCGAGAGGGAGGTCCCCCGCGGATATCTGCCAAAAGTGCGCACCTCTCTGTATAAGTAAGTGGTCATTGCCGCCAATCTGCGCTCAGCCTCCTCGGGAAGGGTAGGGGAACGAAGGCCGCCAGTTTGAACCGCCTTTCGCGGCAACTGGTCCTTTTGCAATGTTGTTACATGTCCTTCGGACTAGTCCGCGGAGGCGACCCAAACTGGCGGCCTTCGTTCCCCTACTCCCCCCCCCCCCCCGGAAACTTTCCCAATCGTTTAAATCCAAAATGGAAAGCTTTGAAAAACTCCGTTGTTGCCGTTTTCGCGCTGTATTGAGTGTTTTTGGATTAAGCGCAACGAACAAGCTCAGCTGAGCAGAAAATCTAGAAAGTGAGTTACAACACAAGCATCAAATGTTGGCAGCGTGCAACAACGTGCTGGCAAAATGTTTTTGCAGTCAGCCTCAACGCTAAAAGCAGTGTTCGGACAAGATGGGGTTCTGGGATTTCGTACCATGCGAAAGTCCTCCACAGACACAGTATTGCGCTAGTACGAGGTTATAACTTCCGACCTAAAACAAGAAAAACGATCGGGAAACGAGGAAATTTACGCCTCAGGGCGGAGTCTTCCGACCGGATTGAACCTGCTATGCAGCAGAATACGCAGGCCGCCACAGTAAAGGTTGGGTCACGCAGTGACTTTGCGTCTCAGTCTTGCGGAGACCGTCGGACTTCAAAATGTAAGGCTTTGAAGGACGCATGTTCTCGCTGTTTTGGCACCTTCTAATGTGGATTTTCAGGTTCAGCGTTGCGGATAACCCCCGGCAAGTGGATTTTCTACAAATCGAGTTTTTGTCCGGACACTATTAAGGGAGCGGCCATAGGTTGTGGGTGTTGTCGATGTTGTCGGTGTTGTCGGTGTTGTCGATGTTGTCGGTGTTGTCGGGGTTGTCGGGGTTGCCGAGGTTGCCGATCGTTGTAGGACCTCATGATAGCCTCCACGTTTCGCGCTCTCTCTAAACTGTCTCTGACCCCAACAACACCGACAACATCGACAATACCGACAACACCGACGACACCGACAACATCGGCAACATCGACAACACCGACAATACCGACAACATCGACAACCTATGGCCGTTCCCTAACACGTTGCGTGTTGCTGACACGTTGCTGCATACTGCTATGATGTTAGCGATGCGTGCCGCAGGTCACAGACGCAGAGCAAGATAGCGGCAACTGTTGGAACGATATCTGTAGTCTGTACCCCTAGAAAGGTTCCTATAAATACTACCACTCGCACACCAAGCTCGCTGCCTTCCACTTCTTTTAACACGTCAACTCAGCGATCTAAGGCACTACTTGTAGTTAACGTGTTGTGTCGATCGATAGGCAGCGAGTTGGTTGTGCCGATTGTAGAGACTACTGCATGCGGAAGGCGCAGAAACACTATTAGTTGAGCGGACGTGAATGCAACGTGCGCGTATCCTCATCGTTGTAAATCTTGCGCCTCATGCGCTCTGCGGCTAAAGCCGTGTTCGCGCCCAAGGATATTGCGCGTTTGTCATGCAGCAGCCTATACAGTCTGCCCCAATCCTAACCAGGCCAAAATTGGCATGGAGGGAGTCCGCGTCGCGAGGGTTTCGCGCCACTTCTGCGGCTAGCTAGTCTGCTCCCTCCTCAATCTCATCGCTCTCTGCGACAGCGCGCGTATGCAGCGCAAACCCCTAGCGCTGCGAGCGCGCAAATACAGCCGATGGTTCGGCCTGATCCCGATTGGGGCAGACTATACCTACGGGATGCATCGAGGATATCATCGGTGGGTCAACGTACTCCCACGGTGTACGTTCGCCGGAGCAATTGCAGATGTCCGAACACGTTAGTGAACTTGCTAACCCTCTACTGCAAGGCATTATTCTTTGTAATCTCCTCTAAATTTGGCACGAGGGACAACAGCATATCGTGCTCCCCCAGGACTGTTCTATGAACTAAATGTGGCTGCCTTTCGATCTTTTAACAAGTTAAATCCAGCAAATTCAAGGCGCTTATTCGAAGTTTACGTGCTAAAATGATCGAAAGGCAACCATGTTGATGGTTCACATGGGGACAGTTCTGGGGGATGCACCATATAAAGATACGTGGCAGTTTAGAGAGTACAAAGAACCATGCTTTGCAGTAGAGGTTTGGCAATTCATCCACATGTTCAGATATCTGCAAATCTCCGCCCAACGTACACGTGGAGACAACGATAACTCTTCGAAGCACAGACCATGTTTTCATTCATAAATGCCAATCATACATGCGATGCGCGCGACAGGCTGGCAGTAAGCAGCACGCAAAGAATTTCGCAAGACTAGCAAAACATACTTTCCATCGCTAAAATCTTTCTTAATGTCAACTAGTGGACCAGTAATTGAAGGTGCTAGCAGCTGCGCGCCTTCCGGACCTCACCGCGGTTTCCCGCTGTTGGAAGATTTTTGAATGGAACTAACGATCATACTCTATATTCTTTATATATTAGATTATTATCAGGGTTGAGCGTGGGGTCAGGCGCGCCCGACCTGGGGGGTCGTACTGGGGTAAGACAGAGGGGGGGGGTCGTGATTAGGAATCGAGTTCGTTCGATTGAGGAGATACTACGATTAAGGTGAAGAAGAAAAGCGCTAGTTTAGTGGATATCGCGACCTCACCAGTACTGAAGGAATGAACGGTTTAAACAGCATACTGATTGATTTCACAATCGAAGTTTCGGCAAAACTCAAATCTTCATCTTCTACCTTGACATATTATAAATTCATCAAGGAAGCTTGCTGTGTGAAATGGGTATCATTTCCGAGCACGTCAAATTACCTCTATGAGCCCTACAAACCATTATTTACAGCATTATCTAGCGTTTCTTAACGACTAAAAAGCGTGATTTTCAAACATGATTAACTTGTTTTCAAAAGTGAGAAAAGTCAATTTTTTTGTACTCGTAACAAAGTATTGTTCCCCACTAGTCTAGGCTAAAAATCGCGCTTTGTATCGCTTGCAAATAGTGGAGTAAGAAATGATGCCAAAATTCCGACCGGCGCGTTTTTCGCCATGACTGCTTTAACTCCACGGATTACCACAAGGCCGAAACAAGTCGAATCAAGTCCAAACACTTACTGTGGAATCTTCGAGGGTTGTGCTAGCGATTCACATAAAACTTGAATAAAAAAGCTTCCTCAATGATAAAGTTAATCGGGTCAGGCGCAACCCCACAAAAGGTCAGGCCGCCTGAGCTTTTGAGGGGTTGCGCCTGACCCGATTAACTTGTTTTCAAAATCTAAAAATCGCTCCATTTCTGCTATGAGTATTGAACTCAAAGCCTCTTCTTGCAATACTGCAAATTTGGAGCCAAACAATACACCCCTGTGGGAATTATAGCTCTGAAAGTAGGGCTATCCAAAATCCAAAACTTGCCGTCAAGTTGCGTGTGCTGTGCAATCGCAGAAAGTCGACCTACAGACCTCCAAAAAACAAGAACTCCCAAAAACGGCTGATCTCTTCGAATTATCACAGCCTGAGGTCCTGGAGGTGAAGCAAAGGGGTCGTTTAGGGGCTTTCACTGGGGGGGGGGGGGTCGTTTTGGAAAGACTTGTGCCTGACCTCTTGCTCAACCCTGATTATTATCTATCGTTGATTCGTTGACCGCACGGACTCGCGGCGGACCACGCGCGGCGCGGCTAAAATGTTGTCAAAGCACAATTTGTACAGTCGGTTTCATCCCGGGTTAGGCGAGACAGTCTACGTGGAGCAGCGCATGCGCATCGCTGGAGGCTTCGCGAGCGCATAGCGCTGGCATTTTGCCAAGCGAAGACTAAAGAGATTAGAGAGACGCAGACACGGGTTCTCAGCACGATAAGATATACTGTGGCTGCGAAAAAGCGCGAGCTGTTGCGAGGCGGACTTCCGCCAGTCCAATTTCCGCCTAATGCGGGTCGAAACTTACTGTACAATGACAAATTTGTACTGGGGCAAGCGTTTTACCTCGCGGCGCGTGCTCCGTAGTGATGTCTAGTGCGTGCGGTTAGCGAATGAACTATACGTATAGTGGTAACAATAGTAGTGAGGATAGCCCTTACAAACTACCAAATGTTCTTCAGATGAATGCAGGCGAGCGGGACCCCTCTCCGGGACGCGCAAATCTCTGCTCCAGAGGTACGCCAGATTTGGGAGAGCCCCGGAGCAGAGATTTCGCTACGGAGGTACGCCAGATTTGGGACACCTCCGGAGCACAAAATGGGAGGGCTCCGGAGCACAAATGGGAGGTCTCCGGAGCAGAAAATGGGACACCTCCGGAGCACAAAATGGGAGGGCTTCGGAGCACAAATGAGAGGTCTCCGGAGCACAAGATGGGAGGGCTCCGGAGCACAAAATGGGAGGTCTCCGGAGCACAAAACGAGAAGTCTCCGGAGCACAAAATGGGAGGGCTTCGGAGCACAAATGGGAGGTCTCCGGAGCACAAAATGGGAGGGCTCCGGAGCACAAAATGGGAGGTCTCTGGAGCACGAGTGGCAATTCCCCGCTGGAAAAACCCCGCATCTCTGCCATTTCTGCTCCGGAGGTATGTCGTCGACTGTCTGAGATAAACCATAAGGCACTAAAGCGACAGCGCAGTTGGTACCCTTGTGGATGAGATATTCATCCCGAAACCATATCTCGCTACCGTACTTGGCGGACGATTCGCATATTTTTACATCATTTGCGTAAGAACTGACCGCCCTCATAATGGATGCGCACAAAACCTTGCAAGCTGATGCAGGTCATCCGCTAACTACAGTACTGAGACAGGCCTGTAAATGTAACATCAATCGTGGAGCGAACGACCCTTGTATTTAATAGAATTAGGTGATAGCACTTCCTTTGGGGCTATCATTGCCTTCGGAGTAAGAAGTCGCTACACTGGGAATGTACAGGTTGCGTAAAATCTAGCAACTCGCGCCCTTTAGACATTAACGCGCGAGGCAGTTGAAATAGGGTCCCAATGCGCTATAAGCTTGTCACGGGCGAACAGAGCGCGCACCTTTTTAGATCTATTTTCGTAGGCTTTTGAATTCTTCTACTCGAAACATACTCTGCGATGTCGAAAACAACATGAAAGTAGACAGGAAAATTCCAGAACGCAAGTTACAGCATATGGTCCCTTGCGTCGCTTAATGTACAAAGTAAAGAATTGTGAAGTCTACTGCCGAACGAAGGCGAAAAAACATTATTAGTTGAGTGCGAACACGGCGCGTGCATAGCTAGACTAACATGGGGAGGAAGCAGGTCGTTCGAAGGGAGAGGTCCTGAGCCGACATCCGCCACTGCGCATTTCTCTCCATCACAACGCGTGTTAGGCTCCGAGCACTGTGCTGCATGGAACTGTTCCCGGACTTCGGGATCAGTATCAACTAGTCTCAGGAGTCGGCGTAGATAGAGCCTGTTGGCGACCTATTGTGCTCTACCCCAACGTTATAAACCCTGCCACTCATGCGTCCTGTGGCTAATACAATCGCGTTTGCGCCCCTAGGTTTGCGTCTTTGTCCAGTAGTGGAACTGTTGTTTGGTCATGAAAATGTGGAGCTGAAGTGACAGTGCTTATGACATTTAAGGCAAACTATTCGCTAGTGCGGATATTTTCCAATATATAGAATCGTGAGCTCAATTCAAAAATCTTCCAATAGCGGGGAATTGCGGCGGGTCCCGAAGCGAACGCTCTTCTAAATAACCCCCTTAGGCTGCGTTCATGCTGATCCCGAAGTCCGGGAACAGTTCCAGCACAGCGCTTGAAATGAACGCTGTGCTGAAACTGTTCCCGGATTTCGAAATCAGTCTGAACGCAGCCTTAGATTAGGTTCACTAGTATCTATGAGCACACGAGCAACGATGATTAACACAGCACTGCTGACACGCAAACCCGCCCATTTCGCTTTTTCACGAATAAAACAACGTTTTGATATTTTTACATGCAACAATTTCTGCATTCAGTGCGTCAGAGGCCATGGAAATGAAAGGCCCCCACACCGGGATAACACTTAACAAAATCTCCTCTCAAAAGCCCCAACTTTTTTTATTGATGAGTAAGAGCTATGACTGTTACTCGTAGGCAAATTCTGGCTAGAAGGCCAGAACGCGCGCAGTGGTGTGATTGCATTGCGCGGAGCTGTCGCGTTACATTGTATAATTGGTGGTAAGGCGTGCGTGTCGATTTGCACAACCGAATTTTGAATGTGCGCAATGGTAGAAACATTTAATTTTCTATGCGGAAGAGTAAGATCAGGTGCCTTTGCCTGAACTCCGACGGCTAGAACTATACCTCCCGCCGAAAATCATGTTGGAATAAAGCGTTGGCGCTGACATCTCCTTCGACCTCTCGTCTGAAATACGATAAAAGAAGTATCTAGGACATTACATCTATCTGGATGCGATAGATGCAGTAGGCAATCAGATTTCACGAATCTTTTCAGATTTTCGCTTTCGATGTAACTCAGTATGTACCTATTATCCATGTACCTAATTGACCTATCGCAGGAAAGATTAAATCAATTCGTGAAAAGTGACTGTCTACCGAATTTAATGAGGCACTTCTGTACATCAGAAATGCGCCTCGCTGAGCTTGGTCGAACAGTGCCCTTGTATCCGAATCGTCTATTTTAAACCAAGATAGAGCGATGCGACGCGGAGTTATGAACTGCGGTGAATTTCAGTAATTTTTTTATGGATTATGAGCGATATGCAGGCACAAGTGTGGGAAGCTCAGCATCGTCTGAAAACTTGTGAATTTTCATTTTCTTGTTTTCTAGCGGGGTGAGAAAAATAGAAACGCATTTACAAATGTTTGAGGTGAGATGCACGAAGTTTGAGGTGAGATGCGTAAGCAAGTTAGATGTAGGACTCTTGGACGATGTTTCGATTTTTTCTTAATCTTGAACATCTAGATCTTCTTAGCTTTTGCTTTCAAACTTCGCGAGGATCGAAGTTGTGAAACTTACTTTGCGTGATCTTGAAACCTTTTCGATTTCAAAATTTCTTGTATAAAAACTTCAGTATCGAGAAATTCGACAATGATTTCGCTTACCTTGGCAAATGCAATCCCATCCTTATAAACATACTGGGACTCTTTTTTCTTTGTTTTTGATATTTTTCTCAAAAAAAGTTTCCGACACAAAACGAATAAGTGCAGATTTCATTATTTCTTTTTTCTTGTCACCATTCAAGACTCGACCAGAACAAGATGTTATGAACAGCTCCCAGCATTTATACACGATAATCGTCTCGTTGTATACTTGTGTTTTGCCGTAAAGCGCACATAAATTAGCGTCTTTCAGTGGCTAAGTCGCGTTGTCGAACAAAATTGCGATGACACACAGACATCACATGGGCCACATTCAATTTCTGTTGGAATGCCTGTCTGCCTTTTTTACATCGTCATATCCTTCCTTGCTAATCTTGTTTATAAAAAAATGCGATCTCCGAAAAATGTTTCACATGCTGGTTTCAACACTGGAATTTTTCGGGAAAAATTATAGAAGTCGTTTCTGCAAGAGATTGTTTCACAATTCTATGAGTATCATCGAAGTTAATCAGCCCAGTCTCGAACTGAGAACTGACAGGATGAAAACGAAGTTAGAAAACTTTCCAGAATTTCATGATTTTATGCGTCTTTCTCATATAATCCAAAACCTGTTCATTCTACCTAATTTTTCTTAGCAGCTCTGTAACAGAGGAAAAATGCATTTTTCGAAATTGCTTGTCCGTCTAAATTTACCGTCTGTTTTGTCTCAAGACGATTTTTGGAGTATTCAACCATTTTTCTAAGAGAATTCGTCCTAGCATCCTAGCACTACATCAAAAGATCATGGAGATTTCAAGTCAGGGGCAATTAAGCAGGATTTGGTTGAAGTTCTTGTAATCAAGAACCTTCAAAGTTACCGTCCACACAGGACACGGGTGACGGGATTTTGATATTATATTATAGCAGAGCCCCTGACTGAGCAAACACCCAAGTGCAAGAGATATCTAGAGCGAGAAAACCGCCCCAGAAGAAGAAGCGGCCACCATGACTCCGCCCATCAACGTGGGTGGTCTGAAGAGGAAAAAGTCGAAATTTGGGCTTCATGGTAGACACAAATATCGCAAATTCGTTGACCAAAAGAAGGGCGGGTTTATGACATCTGGATACGTTGAAGCAAGTCCGGGCTCTTTCTTTTCACACCACCCACGTTAGTGGGCGGAGTCATCGTGGCCGCTTCTACTTTTGGGGCGGTTTTCTTGCTTTGGAATTTATCTTATGTATGAAACGTGGGTGTTTGCTTAGCTAGGGGCCCCGCTATTATTTCTTACAAAATCTCATCACCCGCAATTTTTGGCGCACGACGCCTTTGAATCCACGAAATATCATGTATGACCAGCCTTGTAAGAGATCAGACTAAATGAACAGAACAAAAATGAAATTGAGCTGCTCAAGCACGTGAAACAAGTCGCGGTTTCCATTCTTGGTATGAGGTAGCATAACTGAAGCTAAAATTTCAACATTCACAAAAGTGACGCTTCTTCTTTATTTCCGAATCTTCTTCCTCCATATTTTGCTTTAAACACTGACCCTTGAAATTCCTATAATAAATCGCTCAAAATTCTCAAAGCCCGATGCAGCTGAGCAATTTTGCTAACAACAAAAATAGACTTAAGTACAGCAAAATAATTTTATAGGTAGAAACATATGAACTGTATACCGGATGCGCCTGAGATTCTCAGACGTCTGCCATGGATTACAGCGAACTGCTTGCACATAGTTTTATCATTTGCTACTATATTACTATCAATCAAATTCGTCTCAAAACTAAGAAAATCCGGTCTACTAAATGCTTCAACTGTAATGTTGATGCTGCTATTTACTGCATTTGCCAATGTGCATGCTGTCGTCCTCATAGTGATTCAGGTTAGTAGAAGAACATATTTCGCGCGATTATAATTTCCGCGCGTTCTGGCGAGTTTTCAGCGGTTTATAACATTTGTTAGATTACTTTGGATGTAAGGAATACGATGCACTTGCATAAACTTACAAAAATGCATACCATGCGAAATTTGCGTGGTGGATTGAAAAACAACAGGCAAATCGCCAAACCGCATGGTACCGCAAGTCGTGCAAAGTATAAAGGCAGGACGAAGGCGCAGAAGCAGCATTAGTTGAGCGGGCGCGAACGCAACGCGCGCGCACCGTTGTAAATCCTGCGCCTCATGCGCTCTGCGGCTAAAAGCCGCGCCCGCGCTTAAAGATATTGCGCCTTCGTCATGCAGCAGCCTATAGTCTATTCAAATTGTAGTGTGTTCGAACGACGCATCCACTTGCGAGGCTTCGCACTCCTTCCAGGGGACGTTTGGTTTGAGCAATCAAACTGGTCTCATTGGTTGGAAATTAGCACGCGACACCACCGCGCTGCGCATGCATAGCCAAACACAAAAAGGACAATGCATTTGAGACATACTGCTTTGACTCCTAAAATAATGACTGCCTCATAAATGCTTTAGGTATACGGTATCATCAACAGTGCTATACACACGGATGCATGCAGTCTTAGCATGAAGACATCAAATTGTGCAATTTTCAATTTCACCTTATTGTCGTGTGTGGTCGGAATGACAATTTGCCAAAATGCTCTATGGATCGATCGTCTAGCGGCCACCATACGTCATAAGCTCCACCATCAACATGCTAAATGCTTTGGTGGTTCATTATGTGCTTTAGTGGTAAGCGATTTGATGCACTATACCTTTGGAAATTGCTCCACATTCAAATTTTAGCGCTGTATAACCGAAAGAAACTGTTTCAGATTTCTCTAGCCGTTTTGGTGCCTTTATTCATACTATACGATGATCCTTATGATGATGTAGTACTGACGTGCCTGTTCATTCCAGCTGGTAGTTCAGTTGAAGTAAATCGCTTGTTCAACGCGTTCCTCATATTGAACCTAGTAGCTGTGACTGCAAATATTATACTGTATCTTGTGAATCGGCGAAGACAGAAGACGTAAGTACCTTCACACTGGGTAATCAGTGGCCCGCGACATATTTGAGAAAAAATTCTTCAACTTCCTGGATTCCTGAGAAGTCCGCATCTGTTACATTTCCTCAACATAATACACCTTACCCTTCAGCCGCCAGCACACGACTGTATTAGTTGGAAAGGCATACCCTTGACTCTAATTCTTAGCCCCGAAACCGGATAGTGTGCAAAATAAAACATAAAAAAATTGTGAAACTCTTTTGCATGTTCCTAGAATTTAATCTAAATGCTTAAAACAATGGTAGGTACCAGTGGCGTACCGAGGGGGGGGGGGGCGGGGGGGGGGGGCGCCCCCCCCCCCCCCGAGAATGGGTCGCGAAATTTTTGAAAGTTACTTATATGGGTTATAAAAATATGTAAGTGACTTGTTTATTTTTGTAAATAATTAAAATAATTTTTAAAAATTTTTAAAAATTCAAATTAGCCTTGTAAAAAAATTTTTTTCGGGGGCGTGGCTGATGCCACGCCCCCTTTTTCCATATTTTAGGGGTCGGGGACCCGAAAAAATTTTGGGAAGCACTCCCAAAATTTTTTCGGAGTGCGTGGCTAACGCCACGCATCTTCTTTAGAAAAAAATTTTTGTCGCCCCCCCCCCCCCCCCCGAGCCGAAATCCTGGGTACGCCACTGGTAGGTACATAATCGTTTTTTTGTTTTTTGAAATTCTTATTGACCGCCCACGCCCCCTTTATCTAAGATTGTGTCTTTTATCTAGGATCTGGGTTATGGACCCGCAAAGATTTTGGAAAGCACCCCAAAAATTCTTGTCCCATCTCCCCCCCCCCCCCCACGCACCGAGGAAACCCTGGGACCCTCTAAACTGAGCTCAGAAATTATTCAAGGTTGAGAATGCGAAATCCTAGCGTCGTCAGTGGGCCCTATTTTTAGAGTTGCAAGATATTTTATACTGTCAGAATAATGCACAATAATGTCTGTTTAGATTACGATTCAATGTAACAAAACGCTATCGATCATTTGAAAATATTCTCATATCGAAATGGGTAGGAATGGTGGTGTCTGTTCAATTCATATTTCTAATGACATATTCGCTAGCTATGTTCCTCATTAGAACAAAAAGTCAAAACATGCATGAGGTGACCAAGCAAGTACTTAGAATCTGGTTTTATGTAAGTCCTACTTCTTCTTCAACCAAATTTGCAGCATGCATTAGCTTTCATTTCCAGGTTGTTCCTTTCTCAACCGTTGCACTACCGTTGATTTCGATTCTCGCGTTTCGAATTTTTCGAAAGCATCGAGCGGCAGCTATAACGCGAATGACAAGCATGAAAGCTGACGACAACACCTACATGAAACATCTGATGAAAATGTGGAGTTAGAAGAAGGAATAAATACTTCAGATTTTTTATACTTACACAGTACAGAGCAACGGATTACGATACTCATACTAAAAAACTATTTTACAAAGCTATGAAGTTTTGAAATTTTGAAAAGTTATTTTGATTATGGACAAATATAAACAAGTCACTTGCACAATTTTATAACCCAAATGACCCATAACCTATAATCCACTCGAGATAATATAAAATTAAATAACAGAAAGAAGGAACACGAATGTTTATGGATAATGACTTGTATCTTACTTATGGTCTGTGTCTAAGCTCAATTTGCGCACAACCGGTTTCGAGGCCAAGAAGTATGCCAGGTCTGGAATGTTTACTTGTCTATGCATTCTCTGAACAGGAAAGCTACCTAACTTAACTGAAGTGAACTGAAGTGCAATGATATCCCATGTTCGGCTTTGAATGAATCTTGGCATGGTGCTGAATCCTTATGTGCAGTTGTTAAGCCTTGACCAAGATTGTTACAACTCTTTTATTAGGCTTACGTTTCGGCTGATTCGCCTTCTTCAGAGCCTAAAAAGTGAGCAGTAAATGAAATCTACCCTCCAGTTGTCTTATCGTCACAGGAAAAGGGAAAGTTGTGAATGCCTATAGACAGCTCACCTTAAACCTGCCGAGTGAGGACTGCAGACCACCACTGACATGCGTTGAGTGACTAGTGAGCTACGGCACCTGGGTATGAGGGTGTTGGTCAAACCCGCATAACTCCAGGAACGGCGCGAGTTCGTTTGTGGCTGTGGCACTTTTTAGGCTCTGAAGAAGGCGAATCAGCCGAAACGAAAGCCTAATAAAAGAGTTGTAACAATCTTGGTCAAGGCTTAACAACTGCACATGAAGTGCAATGATATGACACTTATTGCAAACTCCGTTGAAAATGGTTTTTTTTTTCTCCAACTTTGTGCGGTACTGACAGGCCATTCGAAAATCGTGACAATGGTGCGACCGCTCGCGACATGCACACAGTTCCGGCAAGCGCATTTTCTTGTTTTTCATCTCTACTCGAATGTTTCTCTGTTCACATATGTTAGTATTTAGATTTCGACAAATAAGTGAATAAGCTGAGCGTTGAGATGATGCTTTTTCAAATGAGCATTTTAGGCTCCTGTGGGTAGACCGTAGTCAAATTCGTCGTCACGGTTTCGAAGATGACCTATAATTTTGCTAGTCGAGGTAGCGTACAAGATTTGAGCGCTTTGCACTCAGTAACGGACAAGCTTCAACAGCATCTTGCATTCAAATATAAACAACAATTACATGATCTATGATGGAAAGCATAAGGCATCCGATGTTTTTTCTAGAATGAATTTGCTCAAAAGGATGCGAAGTCAACGATAAGTTCGCGACATGTACTCTGAATAGGGATCCACCAGTTCGCAATAGTCTTCGCCTATGCACACCAAAAGTCGATCATCAAAATCGTTGCGAAGCAAGGCCAGACGCTTATGTAGAGGGTGATGTTCCACGTATTTGTTGAAAAAGGGACTGAAGTGTTGCAAACTTTGAGACTTGGAAAAAATTGATAAAAAATGCAATGCAAAGGTGAACAAGCGGCGCGTCCTACGGTATTGCTATTTCGGACCATACGACTCACCGGTGGGTCGTATTTTTAAACTTTGCAAGGTTAAGAAGAATCTGCTTGAGACTTCAGCATGGTTAGGAACAGATGGAGTTCTAACTAGAAGTCTACCTTCGGGACCATCGGACTCGTCGGCAAAAATAAGAGCGAAAAATTAGGCACCAATGGGTCGTAAGTTCGAAACGGCAGAATCGACAAAAGCCTAGCCGTGTAAGTGTTAAAGACCAGTTTTCGCAGAGTTTCAAACAACTTACATGTTTTCACAACTGGACTGAATTCTGTTCGTGTTCACATTTTCAAGGACCAAGTCGTGGTTAAATGTCTTCGTTTCCAAAATACAAATCTTGACTATTTTTCGCCTGCCTTCTACCCATTGCTGAAAAGGGTACGGAACAATTGGGGAGTATACAGGGTGTTCCAAAAAATGTGCACACTGTTGGATCGTTAAAGGCAGTGGATCGGTAGAATGAGACCCGTGGCAAAACAAGGTCACAGGGTAGGGGCCCCACAATGGAACCTATCGACCAAAGTGCGATCTTCCTCTGCCACTTCTAACCCCCGAAATTTCAACGCGGAAGCAGCGCTCATCTCCTCTCCTCTCCGACCCCGCCCACCCCATGGACGAGTGACTACCACGGTCAGAGCGCGCATGCCGCTATGCTATACATAAGGGTCCCGCAACCAATCTGCGTCTTCGAGGGAGACGGCCCATCTGAACCGCTAACATTAGCAGCCTAATTACTGCGCGCCTCTGATTGGGTGCTGCCGCCGCTTGGGTGAACGAGAGCTATGCTGTCGTTAGAGACGTCTGAATTGGACGCAAAGGCGTTCTCATGATAAAAGAATCAAACAAGATTTCGATTCCCATGAAACTCGAAAATGTTTTATTTGGGCGGCTTAGGTAAATTCTTCAGCTTACACGTGCAGACTTCATGGTGTTCTGAAAGCTGGGATGGGCGAAGAAATCACGAAATGGCCTTAGAAACATGCAACCTTTCCAACTTTTTGTCTTCATAATTCGAACATCTTTACTATCATTGTCGTGTGCCTCACTTGCTTTGGAATGCTCAGAAATATTTGAAAACTTTGCTATATTTTGAGAAAGGCGACGTAATTAGCGTTGCCCGGGCAGAGTAATTAGCGCTAGGACAGTGCGGTTCAGAAGGGCACACACCCCGTCTTCGAAATTGCGGGCTTCGCGTTCACTCGTTCGTAGGGTGGGCGGGACCGGAGAAGAGAGGAGATGAGCGCTGCTTTCACTTTGAAATTTCGGGGGTTAGAAGTGGGAGAGAAAGATCGAACTTTGGCCCATAGGTTCCATTATGGGGGCTCCTACCCTGTGACCTCGTTTTGCCACGGGTCTCATTCTGCCGATCCACTGCCTTTAATAACTTCCTTGCTTTGATGTCTTTAGCAGGCCCTTAGGCACCGTTCTGTAAAGCGAGGTTCAACATACATAGATTCACAGTATGGAGCAAAACATCCATCGCTCTTCATTACTTTGGGATTACGGTAGGAACTTCGACAAAGCTTTCAGGCCGTTGAAGGCCATATTCTGCCTCGGAAGAAAACCAAGCAAGTTGAACTTATACTATGGTAATGGAAGCCGCTGATTTCGAATATGAAACTTCCACTTTACTGTGATGCCTCTTTCCTAAGTTATTCCAGGTAAACCGTAATAACCGAACTCCAAGCATTTGTCAGATTACACCGTCTAGAAAGCTGGAAATACTCGTGAAAAGTTGATGGAATCAGCCTACGCAAAAACCTGTACGATTTCTCAGACTTTTTGAAAAATATTTTGTCAGATGGCATAATTTACAATGGTTCCATAGGCTAGAAGTTCTTCACTAATTCCACATTAATGAAGAGCGATTGGTGATTCGCTCACTGTACATTCAAGTTGAACCTCGCTCTGTGGGAGCGGCCGTAGTTTGCCGGCAACAGTTCCCGAGGTTGTTGAGGTTTCCGGCGTTGCAGGGGTTGCCAAGGTTGCTGTGGTTGCCGGCGTTGCCGAGGTCAGAGACAGCTTAGAGAGCGCGCGAAACGTGGAGGCTATCATGTGGTCCGAGAACGACCGGCAACCTCGGCAACCTCGGCAACTCGCTACCTCAGCAACCTCGGTAACCTCGGCAAAGCCGGCAACCTCCGCAACCATTACTGACAACCTATAGCCGTTCCCTAGAGAATGGTACCTAAACCTAAATGGCGAAAGACATCAAAGCAAGGAGGTTACTAACGATCAAACAGTGTGCACATTTTTTGGGGACACTGTATGTCCTTCCACAAATGCGAGCAAGAAAAGCCCTCCAGAATCTAAGATGACCACCACAGTCGCGAACTTTTCACAAAGTACCATAAGATGCTCCTTGGCTACATAATTGCTCAAAAAAGTACGTACCAAGATCAACCCATTAATGCCTCTTTCCGAAATCCCAGATGCTTTAAGATCAAGCCATGACGCTCTTAGTTGAATAAGTTGTCCGTCATTAATCTCGCAAATAGCGTCAGTGTCGAGGTATGGAGCAGCCTTTACCTAATGGGAACAATTTTTTTCACTGAACGACAAGCCAGGGTTGCATTTACCACTTCAAAGTCGAAAAACACAGGATTTAAAATATTATCATCGTATGGGTATGGATCGCTGTTATAAAATCGTAATTCGCATCCGGGAGATACATGAGGCATAAGCAACGGGAGAAAAGAGAGATCATCCGAGCGTACAGTAAGCGCTCCACATGTAATGAATGATGTCGACGGTAGCTCACTTAGGGTGCTTTTTACATCTGCAATATTTACCTGAAAGATATTGTATCACACTGCTGCAGAGGATACAAACTGTCACAAACTCACCAACTGCAAAAGTATATTCTTCGGTTTCAGAATCTTTGTTATTTGGAATAACACACGCATAGAGACGGTGAAGCATGACTCCTTCGGATATTCTGGTCCCATAATAACAATCTGCCCTCTTTTCTTTTCCCTCCAAACCTAATCATTTTTTCCGAGAAAAAACGTTTATTTCCCTATTTTCAGGTAAATGAGCCGCATTTTTTCGAATTTTCAAGCGAGCTACTCAGCCACTTTAATGTTTCGGAAAGCGATTCTTACGCCGCACGATTCTCTTAGGCACTATGCAGTACACGCTACATGGTCCCTTCGCGAAATTTTTTGCTGGTTTGGGCTGATCGATTTCAAAAAATTCGCCCGCGCTTACACCTGAAAATAGGGTAGATTGTTACCTGTGTGCTATACATCTCCCATCCTCTACAGTAGAGAAGTAAATAATGTATTCTTTGCGGTCAACTGCTGATCCGAATGGCATGTAATACACGATGATACTCGACTGTTTTACAACGTCCTGAAGTGAAAATTTATACGAATCGCAAAAATAAACGGTCTACTCCACGCATAAATTGCGGTGTATCTGAACCCACATATCTTCCCACTTGTACGCATTCGCTCCTGTAACCCCAATGCAAAAGGAAAACAGCAAAGACTGGAGTTTTCAGTGGTGACGAAACTTCCATGCAGTCCTTGCTAAGAAACATAAAGTTTCTCAGGGTTGGGTACGGAAGATTCCGAACGACTTTAACTTTCAGTTCCGTCGGCAGCTTATTCCAGTACGCGAAATGGTCTTCAAACACATCGACGTCAGGATTTGGAATGGAATCCTCGTTCATTTTACCTAAAGCAATTCACAAATAAAGCTGTTTCGTATGAATTGAGCACGATACGTCACGATGAGAGATATTGAGAGGAGGTAGAGATAAACAAGGAAGTAGAACAACAAAGGCACGAAAACTCAATCGGAGAAGAAAGGTGACAAAAACATATAACTCCCGAGAAAGCGAAAAGCAAGTAATGAACAGGAAAGCGTATGCTCTATAGAGCTCTCAAGGACAGCAATTGTGCGTTTGATTGCAAAGAAAACCATGCCTAAATTTTATTACGTACTTTTGATGAAGCAAGTTTTAATTCGCCCTAATCAACCGAGTTTCTTCAAGGCTCCCCGAATGAAATGGAGGTTTTTAACCATTCCTCATGGATGGAACGTGTTCTGATCGCTTTTTTGCTGAGCATAGCTTCGGAAATTGCTTGCACATGAGCTCACCTACATTTCACCTTGACTTTCACAGCTTTGCAGGCTTGTAACTCAGTTTGCAATTGAGATGTACATTTGTATATATACTCATTCAAAAGAGTGAGACTTTCTCGACACGAAGGTGCAGAAAAGAGGTAAGTTTGAAGGAACTTGGAAATTTTGAGAATGGGTTAAAAAAGTGCTGTCTTGAAAGAAATCCCAATATCTTCCAGTTAAGGTTAATCGCTGCCCACCTGTTTGTAATGGAAATGCTTGTTTGAGGGATACACCATAAAAGGTCAATTTTTACAGATCTTCACAAATTATTGCTTTTGTGTTGCTCTTGTAGATATATCAAATGCAAATTTGACTCTAACCTACACCTATCGCACTCAGAAAAGCATTTCTACCCACCAGAAGATACTTGTCGTCAAGAGTAAATGGTACCTTTCGATTACAAATTCGTCCACTCTAAGTTGAGACATGGAGTGTGAGGCAAACAAAGCAAACTCCAGAACAAATTGCGTCTTTCTTTTCCGCGATCTATAAGAGCATCTCACTTTTGCTAATAAAAATAGCACATTAGACACCGCCTTGCTTTCTAGTTTTGACATTAAGCGGTACTATAGAATTTATAAGAGATGTTCGTTATTTGCTCTAAAACGAAAGCCTCAGATCCCAAATTATAGGTATTTTTTCCTTCACACCCACGATAATACGGCATACAAGAGGTACACAAAATCATGAGATTCATAACGATGTGTTGATTAGCAAACTTTTGTGCAAGCTGATTCTAATCCCGGACGAAGGCGTACGTTCTAGCTTTGCGAAGCTGGTGGAACACAGCGCTACACCATTCAGACACGTGGGTTGCACAGATAAGATCGATAACCGCCCGCGCGCTGCGTACGCGTGGGCTTACCTCATATGGCCGTCCCCTTCGTCCGGGAACAGCCTCTAACTCAGGCGAAAAGTGAAAATAAAGGCAGGGACTCGATACGCAAATGAGGGATACAAACGGCTGGAAGGTTGTAGAGGTACTTAACTAAAAATAAAACTACTATAAATAGAACACAATATACTTTGTAAGCTCGTCCATGCCTTCTCTGAGAAACAAAATGTTGACAAAGTCAAGACTCTAAAGGCAGGTGCTATACTCCTCGAGGAGTATAGCATGGCGACGGGCGATCGCCAGTCGTAGCGACTGGCGATCGCCCGTCGCTAATCGATACGTATCAAACGTGTAGTCGCCGATATTGGCGATCATTACTCATTTCCCACTTCCATTTCAAAGTACTCACCAGCCGGTGAGGTCGCCCTAAAAAGAATGAACTGCAAGACCAGTGATTCCCACATTCAACACTTAACGGTAACTTGTTTGGCGACTGGCGATCGCCGGTCGTGGCGACTGGCGATCGCCCGTCGTAGCGACTGGCGATCGCCAATATCGGCGACAAAAATCGCTGGTTCTACACGTATTTGATGCATATCGATCGTCGCCATGCTATAATCCTCGAGGAGTATAGCACCTGCCAAAGTAAAGATGACTGGGAAACAAGCGACAAATTCTTATCCTCTTTCTCATCTCTTCCCCTCCCCATAACTCTCCTTTCTCCACGAATACTATGATCTTTTTATGTACAACAATCATGACTTATAATAAGCGGCTTAATCTGAAGTTGTGTGGAGTTTGTCCGTTACGAAATTACAGTGAGGAATGATTTACGATACTAAACATCATGTGAGGTTAAGGCGAGTATGGTTCATTTTTAACTACAGCTCACGTTGCAATAAACCGAACAATGATTTGAGAGGCAAGCTCCTAGAAAGTGAGTTTACCACGGTTCACGATGCCAGTGCGAACCTCAGCGAAGCAGAGGTGAAGCACTGGTGATAAATATTTTCAACGGCCAGGCAGGATACAATGAGTCTCATTGCCACTAACAAGTACACAATGCTTGATATCCTTCGCTATAACATGATTTCGTGGAAGCTCCAATATGTGGTTTTATAACCGCTAATGGTCTAGTTTACCTCCGTCTTATTTTCAAAAAATGATCCCATGACATAAAATTTACTAATGGACATGAAAAATAGATGCCAGGCAAGAAAGACCTCTAATGAACAGCAAAGCGAAAAAATTCTTGTTTATACAGGAAAAATAAACTGGGACACAATATGTGATATGCATCATCGAACAAATCATTCAAAAAAAATTAGAAGCAAGAACCAGGAACAAAATTTGCATACTCCAAAATCTGAAAAACCTGATAATGCGCCGTTAGACTTTTCAGTTGAAGAGGTCAAAGCGCATGCCTTTGCCCAAAAATATTAGTAGATTCTGCTATGCAACTCCTTGACAGAGACTTTTAAACAATCGTAAAGTATGAGATAAGCAGCATACTCACGAGGTCAAATAGCAATTTGAGGTGGCAGAATTGTGAGTAAAATTATTATCGAGATCGAATTACCCTAATTTCACGCATACAAGGCGCGGGGTGGTCCTAGCTTTCATCGACCAGCCCGAACACGGCAAAGGACTTCGCAACCAAAGGAACCCCATACCGTGCTGCGTTTTGCCTGACGAATCGTGCGGAATAAGGATCGCTTCTTAAAACACGTTGGGGCGGCTGAGCAACTCGATGAAAGCTAGGACCACCCCGCGCCTTATACGCGTGAAATTAGGGTACTTGAATGGCTCGAATGGCGAACAACAAAATTGATCAGTCTAAGTACGATAGCGCTCATAGTTCGTCAAAACAAGACGCGATTGCCACCGCGTTCGTGAAATTTGCGTCGCATCGCCATTTTTCGGTTCAGACTAAAGGAATTCTGAATTCTGCGGCACAATGCAACATACAAGCCAATGGGGCGCATCTTGTGATTAGTGAGTGGCCTGTATAAGTAAGGTGGGTATATACAGTAAGAAAGCAATTTTCACGAAACTTGACAGGAATTGAACTGGGTTACTCCTATTAGATACAGCGTATATCTGCCATAGCCAAAAAGGCAATTCTACTTATGAGGAGATGCGTTCCATCAGTGTCGAATTGAACGGTACCTCCTTTTAATAACGAATTTGTCCCTTTGAACTAAATGGGGATGTGCCGCAAAATTTGCAGAATCCGCAAAAAATTGCTTCTTTCTTTCTTACAAAAAGCGCTATTGTTATTCTACCAGTAGAAATAGCAATTGAGATTCGACACTACCTTGCAACTGAATGTCATCAGCAACCCAAACTATAAATCGCGCATGAGGGTATACTAGTTATAGACTCTAGAAGAAGTTGTTGGATATGATGCGAATTCAACGATAATATAGTGACATGTAATCTGAATAAGGATCCACTATCTCGCAATACTTTAAGCCTATGTTCACAAGTAGCCGATCGTCCAATCCGTTGCGAACCAAGGCAAGACGCTCGTGTGTAGGACGTAATGCCACATATTTGTCGAAAAAGGGACTGAAGCATTGTAACTTGATTAGAAGGATTTTTGAACTGCAGGAAAAATGTGATTGCAAATCCTGTTAGTCGTCGAAGCCCGTTCTCCATCGAATGACTAACTTCTACAAGATTTGAAAAACTTACATTTGCAGAAGTTCAAGAGAACTAAACTGTACTTTGGTTTTGTCAACATTTTCAAAGATCATGTCGTAGTTGAACCTCTTCGTTTTTGAAATACGGATACTGACTATTTTTCGCCTCCCTTTCATCCATTGCTGAAAAGGGTATGAACTTGGGGATTAGTATATGTCCTTAAGATGCGAGCAAGAAAACTCCGCCTGAATCTCAGTTGACAACCGCAGTGATAAAACTTCTCATGAGGTACATTAAGAAGCTCCCTAGCTAAATAACTGTTCAAGAAAGTTCGTACCAATATCAGGCCATTGAGTCCCTTTTCCGAAATTCTGGGAGCTCTCAGATAAAGCTCGGATGCTCTCAGATGAACCAATTGCTCGTCACTGATATCGCAGTCAACATCAGTTCTGATGAATGGAGCAGCCTTTACCTGAAGGGAAGAAATTTCATGCTGCTGAATGACAAGCCAAATTGCATTTACCGCTTCAAAGTCGAAAACTCCAGAAGTCACATTATCAAATGTGAATGAGAATGGATTGCCATCAAATCGTAATTCGCATCCGGGAGTAACATGAGGCATAAGCATCGAAAGAAAAGAGAGATCAGGCGAGCGTACAGTAAGCGCTCCACATGTGATTGATGATGTGGATGGTAGCTTCCTCAAGGTTTCTTTGACAACTCTTATGTTTGCCTAAAAGTTTTTTCATCACACTGTTGCATAGATACAAGTCGTAATAGACTTACCAGCTCCAAAACTACGTTCTCCGGTTTCAGATTCTTCGTAATTTGGAATAACACACGCATCGAGACAGCATAGCACGACTCCATAGGATATTCTAGTTCTTTAGCCATATTCTGCCCTCCTTTCTTTATCCTTTAAACTTATTCAACAATTTTTCGTCGTCAATTTAGTAGATTTTCACCTGCGTGCTATGCAACTGCAACCCTTCCCCTCGAATCCGATAGTATAGTTTTCACTATCCGCGTTAGCTGATCCGTCCAGTATGTCGTTCACGATGATACTTGCGAAAGACCGTACTATCGCCTGGAACCAATATATTAATCGCGCATAAACTATTGCGCAAGGCTCCGAAAATATGTTTACATTGCTCGGTAGTTGATTTCTCTAGTGTCTCATTGCCTCTCGCTCTTTCCTATAAATATATTCACCATATTAGAGGGCTCGCATGCATCTAGAAAATCACGAAGCGAAGTACCGAATACTTTTGTAAATGCAAAGGCAAGGAAATCTGCGGTGACTTTTGCGCGATTTTGAAGTACTGGAACTGAATTTTGTTTCGATGAAGGTAACAAAGACTAGATTTCCGTCGTTGACTCTATAGGGAAGGGGGGCACCCCACCCCCCCCCCCCCGAGAAGGGTCGATAAATTTTTGAAACTTACCTACATGGGTTATAAAAATATGCAAATGACTTGTTTATTTTTGTAAACAATTAAAATAATTTTTAAAAATTTTTAAAAATTCAAATTAGCCTTGTAATTTTTTTCGGGGGCGTGGCTAACGTCACGCACCTTCATTTAATAAAAATATTTTTCCGCGCCCCCCTCCCCCGGACGGAAATCCTGGGACCGCCCCTGACCTATACATCTAATATTCGTATCAGTTGAGAAAATCCCATCACATAATTTCCTAGGTTTTTTTTGGAAAAATGAAATGGCAGCAGTTTCAAAATGATGCTAACTTGCTGGGTTTTTCAAAGCCTCAGATAACTAACCGCTGGACAGTAAGAGAATGAACATTCGAACCGCAGTGCTGTGGAGGTTTCCGTTTTCAACTAGTGTGGCTTCAAATTTCTGCGAAAGATATCGTTCAAATTTCCTAGATAGTAAACAAGTCCTGCGAAACTGCTGCATTTTGTCCGCCAGAAGTTCCCGTGGGTTGTGTAAGGTGATTACAGTGTAGTGAGGAGCAGTCGGTTAATCACTCCATACTACAGATGCATGCGTAAGTCAGAGGTAGCCTTCCAGTCATCGTATTTTGAGTAGGTGTAAGACATGGAGACAAGAGAGATAGCAGAAGTTAGCAATGTAAACATGCTTTCGGGCTCTGTATTCCTCACACCCTTCTTCTCCTCTTGCAACCCGTACTCCTCATCCAGAAGGTAGATTGCATGGACTGAAGCTTTTAGCAATGATGTAAGTTCCATGCACTCCCTGCTAAGAAACATGAAATTCCTCAGCGTTGGGTACGGCAGATTCCGAACGACTTTAACTTTCAGTTCCATCGGCAACCTGTTCCAGCAAGTGAAACGGTCTTCAAACACGTCAGCGTCATGATTCGAAATGGAAATATCGTTCATTTTTCTAAATTCAATTTACAAATGAAGCTGTTTCGTACGAGATATATTGAGCACAGTACGTCACAACGAGAATATTAGGAGGGGGTAGAGCGATAAACAAAAAAGTACGAACGATGAAGGCACGAAAACTCAATCTGTGAAGAAAAGTGACGGAAATACATTACTCCTGAGAAAGCTGGAAATTGGAGCAAAATGTATAAACGCTAGAGCTTGAAGGCAGTGAATTGGCAAAATTGACCCCTCGGATTTTGATGGTGTTAGGTAGTAGACCCGTCAAGTACACTGTAGCCCCAATCTCATCTGTCAATTCATGCGCTCATACAAAATTCATTCTCCGACTAACAAAGGAAGTGTCACAAATCGTAGTGGCCGTTTGAGATGGAATGGGTGGTGTGACACGTCACCCAGAAAGGCATTTCCAAAACCATCCTCGCTAGCTGCAGAACAACTCTGGGAGGGGAGCTACGGGCGTTTTTCCGCACGAGACCCAGTGCGCCTTGCTCGAATACGTCTGCCACCGTCAGCCAACCGTATCGGTTTGGCGCAGTGGCAGGTGTGCTGACTACCGTGCAGATGTTTGGAGGTGCGAATCCTCTGCTAGACAACTTTTTGCAATTTGTATACAAACTCCTGAAATGTGTACATTAGTGGCCAAAACGTGTTTCACCCCTTTGCTGGTGCTTGAAAGCAAGAAAAACAACGAGATTGCCTTCTTAAGATGCTCTTATTGTGGAAAACTTTTCTGCTTCAAGCATTTTGTTCTAGAATATCATATATCTGACAGGAATCTTACTACAAGTTAGGAACGCATTTCTCTCACTTTTTCCATGTATTGTTCGCACGCTAGATCTGACAATAAAGTTTTATGTAACTGAATGCTTCACCACGCGTACAGGAGGTCTTCGCAATAAAAACTACTTTCTACTCTTTCTAAAAACTATTTTCTACTTTTAAGCACCAGTAAAAGGGTAAAACACGTTTTGGCCACTAATGTACACATTTTAGGAGTTTTTACACAAATTGCAAAAAATTTGCCCAACTGACATTCGAGTGATTGATGATTCCTGACTGACGATTCCAACGTTGTCTAACAGAGGATTCGCACCTCCAAACATCCCCATAGTCAGCACACTTGCCACTGCGCCATACCGCTACGGCCGGATTCCGGTGGCAGTCGTATTCGAGCAGCGCACTGGGTCTCGTGCGGAAAAACGCCCGTAATCCTCCCCGCCCCCCTCCCCCCCCCCCCCAGAGGTGTTCTGCAGCTAGCGAGGGTGGTTTTAGAAATGCCCTTCCGAGTTACGTGTCACACCACCCATCCCATCTTATACGGCTACTGCGATTTGCGACACTTCCCTTGTAAAAGACACAGCACCCTTTGCGTACTAATTAACAAGTTCAAGAGTGTTCTAACCAGGGCCCAGCATTGGGGTAAACTGAACTTCGTTTTTGAAGTTAGAAGCAGCGGGGATTTCGTTTTTATAAGGTCCTGGGGGAGGCACTGAATAAAAAAACGGCGAACATTTCAAGTTTTACTCGTTGGACGTGTTCTTTCGCAAGCGCGCGAATTTCAAACGCAGGACTCAAACAAACAAATGGCGTTTACAACGTACAGACAATCACGTGGCTCCGAATTTTGGCTACATGTATACAATATTACTCCAAACTATGTTATGTAAAAAGTTCCAAAAACTTATGTGTCCTAATACCCGTTCCCGAATTTGTTGGTTTCTAGACCAACACCAAACCAACTGGGTTGGTTCGGAGCATAAATATCAGAGAGTTCACATAAGTTTTAAATCTTTTTGATTTGAACGATTAGAACGGTCAATAATCTATCATATAGTGAAGAGAGCGGATCATACCATTGCCTTTTCTCTTATTTTGAGCCAAAATGTAAATCTACGCGTTGATATCGCGCTCCAATCACATGCGATGTCCTTGTAACTATGTGGCGTAAAATGCATCGCCAGATTGTTGAGGCCACAGATTTGGATGGTCTAAGAGGTTTTCGACATTCTGAGCACTAAAATGGTGCCATACCCAATGACAGTGCCTTTGTTTAACTCGAAATGTTCACTTTTTGCTTTTTTGTCACATCAGATACCTCAAAATGCGCTTTCTTTCGCTTTTTTATTGTTATTCTGGTTACATAAGGGTTTCCCCTACTGACTTTTACGCCAAGAGAAACTTCGTAGATTTTCGCGAAGTCATGGGGGACTTCGTTTCCAAACATGCTCTAAACCAACGCGTACCGGGCTCTTTTTCTAACGCGATTTGGTCGATACTATTGAATTCTTGAAGGAACATGTTCGAGCAACGCGAGTTCGAACATTTCCTTTCACGAATTCATATAGTAATTGGGTGTAGGGCGTTAGGCGACAAACCCAATATCTTGTACCCCAGAAAACTCCCGTGCAAAACTCTTCGGCGGCAAAGCAGGGGGTGGGAGGGGAACAGGGGGGGGGGGGGGGGGGGAGCCGATACATAACTCGAAGCCATTTGAAAAATGGCGCATAGTTGTATATTACGGGCTTTACGCTGCTTGCGTTTTGCACAATTTGTCGCCTAAAGGAGCCTCCAGACCTGGGTTGAGCGTGGAGTCAGACGCGCCCGATCTGGGGGGTCGTATTGGGGGTAAGAGCAAAGTGGAGAAGGGGGGGGGGTCGTAATCAAGAAGCGAATTTGTTCAAAAAAGTGAGGAAATATTACGATCGAGTAAGATGAAAAAGAAAAGCGCTCAACCGTGAATTTCACAACTCTATCAGAGGAGTGACTTTCATGAACAGCATGTTGACTAACTCGAGAAGTCTCAGCCAGATTCCGATTCTTCTACCTTACACGTAAACCGTAAGGTAAACAAAGAAGCTTTTTATGTAGATTGGGTATGATTTCCGTAATCAGCATGCCACATCACCTCAACGAGCTCTGCAAACCATTACCTATTACATTTTGTAATGTTTCCTAACGTCTAAAAAGCATGATTTTCAAACATGATTAATTTGGTCACAAAAGTGAAGGAAGTCAGCTTTTTGTATTCATAACGAAGTATTACTCCTTATCAGTCTATGGTAGAAATAGGACTTTATCGTTTCAAGATAATGGAATAAGAAGTACTACCAAAATGTTAATCACCGAGTTTTCCACCTTGGGTGCTTGAACTACACCGATCACCACAAAGCCGAAACAAGTCGAGGTAAGCTCAAACACCTATTGTGAAATGTTCGGGGTTTATACTTGCGAATCATATAAAAATGAGGTGGAAGAGCTTCTTTGGTGATAAAGTTAATCGGGGCAGGCGGGTAGAGGACTATATGTCTCCGAAAAAGGGCGGTCCCCGGTCGTTTGCGACGAGTACGCACCTTTGTACATGCGCGGACATGCATTCCTGCAGGAAATCCGCGCGGGACTCTTCCACATTCGGCGACATATAGTAGTCCTCCACCAGGGGCAGGCGCAAAAGGACAAGCTGCCTGAGCTTTTGAGAGGTTCACTGGCCCCCTTAACTTGCCTTCAAAACCCAGAAATCGCTCCATTCCTGTATGAGTATTGATCTCCTAGCTTCTTCTTCCTACAATGGAAATTTGGAGCCGAACTCCCCACCCTCAGAAAAATTATGGCCCTTTCAACTGGCCCATGCAGATCATGGTCTCATTCTGCCGATGTACTGCCTTTAACTGAAAACGAAACAACTTTTAATAAAACAGAATATCCATTGTATGCTCGCCCATACCTTCTCTGAGAAACAAAATGTTGACAAAGTCAAGACCCTCAAGTAAAGATGATTGAGAAATACGACAACTTCGTATTCTCTTTGTCTTACTTTTCGCGGCGGTTCACTGGGCCTTCTATCGATTTATTGATTTGTTTACGTATTTCTCTAAAAATGGAAGCTTATCACATTCTAACCGCATTTTTCATGATCATGTAAAGGGGGCGGTGAAGTTCATTTTTAGTCTCAGGATCCCGAAGATGCGGTGAAATGAAGTGGGGATGTCCGAAGGCAGGTAAGTCCTCCATAACAAAGGGGGAGGGGGTCTCTTTTCAGTACTATACTGGAACCAAAACAGCAATTACTTCTCCCCAAGTGAACAACAACCCGGGCTGGACCGGGAAAGTCGGCTAGTAATAAATATTTTCAAAGAACCGGCCAAGATACAATAAGTCTCGTTGCCCCTTACAAGTACCCAATCTTGGTATAATTCACTCTGACATGACTGAGTATGGGCCGTGGGGTTTATAGCCGTTAATGTTTTAGTTCACCTTCCATCATGTAAACATCAAATTCCAGAATGATCCCATGACATAAATATTAAACAAAGCATGGAAAATAGATGCCAGGCAAGAAAGACCTCAGTCATGAATAACAAAATGAAAAATCCAAATTCATTTGAGGAAAAATAAGCTGGGACATAATTCTCATGCGACATGTATTACTGAGCAATCTCATAACAATCTAGAAGCAAAATCTAGAAACAAAATGTGTATCTCCAAGATCTGAAGAACCTGCAAATGAGCCATTAGACTTTTCAGCTGAAGAGATAAAAGTACATGCCTCCCCCAAAAATATTGGTAGGAAACATTTTGCTATGCAACCATCCACAACCGAGATAAGCGAACAACCGTAAAGTATGAGATAAGCAGCATACTGACGAGGTTAAACGGCAATTCGCTGGCAGAATTGTGAGTAAAATCGAGATCTAGTTACTCTAAATGTTTAGAATAACGACCAACAAAACGGCCAGCATAATTACAATATCGCTCATAGTTCCTCAAAAAAAAAGATACGACTGCATCGAGTTCGTGTCGCGTCACCATTTTCCAGTTCAGAGTGAGCGAATCCTGAACTCTGTGGCACCATGCGACTAAGCGCAATGGGGTGCATCTAGTGATATGTAGAGATGTCTGTTTGGGTATGGTAGGTATAGAGTTACAGGAAATTTACAAGACTTAAAAGATATTGAAGTTGAGTTGCTTCTCGTACGTACATTAGCGTATAACTGGCATACCCAGACAGGCAGTTTTACTTTTCAGAAGATACGCCTCGTTGGGTCGAGTTGAATGGTACCTCTAAATTCCGATTTTGTCCACTTTGAAAATCGCGTCTTTTTTCTCGCAAACAGCGGTTCTGCACTTTCGCAAATATGCCAAACAAGATTCAAAATTGTCCTGCATTCGAATGTCAACAACAACCTAAACTATAAATCGCGCATGAGGGTATACTCGTTATGCACTCTAGAACGAATTTGTTTGGAATTATGCAAAGCTAACGATAATTTCGCGACATGTACTCTGAATAGGGATCCACTATCTCGCAATAGTTCAAGCTTATGTTCACAAGTAGCCGATCACCCAATTCGTTGCGAACCAAAGCAAGACGCTCGTGTGGAGGGCGTATTTTCACGTATTTGTCGAAAAAGGGACTGAAACGTTGCAACTTGATTAGGAGCGTTTTGAAATCGCCCGAAAAATGTGATTAAAAATCCTGTTGGTCGTCGAAGTCCGTTCTCTCATCAGATGACTAATTTTCACAGGATTCAAACGACTTACATTTGCAAAAGTTCAAGAGAACTAGACTGAACTTTGGTTTTGTCAACATTTTCAAAGATCATGTCGTAGTTGAACGTCTTCGTTTTCGCAATACGGATCTGACTACTTTTCGCCTCCCTTTCATCCACTGCTGTAAAGAGTATAGAGCAATTGGGGGTCTTCCACAGATGCGAGCAAGAAATCCCCTAAAGCTCATTTGACAACCGCAGTCGTGAATTCTTCACAAAGTTCGATAAGATGCTCCTTATAAGGGAAGGATACTTAATCGCAGTGACGATTGAGTAAGCGGTGTATACCGCGTATATCGTCCTCAGACGGTGATCTCTAAACCGCGTTCTATATCTGCTATGACGTCATTCTGGAGGCGTTATAAAGGGTTTTGGTGCAGTGGATAGTGGCTTTGACTGCGGAGCTGGACGTCGTGGGTTCGATTCCTCTGGGATGCCACCCGTTTTGCGTTTTTGTAAATTTTGGCAGGCAAGTTGCAAAACCTGTCACATCAAAAAAAGTTGATTTTCACAATATGAAGCAATATATTTACATTTATTGGCAATGAACCACCGGCTAAGTTGAAAACACTTGTTTTTAGCCTTGCCCGGCTGCGATGACATTCTTTTTATTCGTTGTGCGCACTTGAACGCGTTTTTTTTTGTTTTGCATATTTTGTGCTTTCATATCATATGTATTTATGAAGGCCTTTCAATGTATAAATGAGTAAAGTATTCAATGAAGTCTAGAAAGGAGTGCTTTTAGGTTATACGGTGGTTCAGTGCCAATAAATACAAACATACAGCTTCATATTGTGAAAATCAACTATTTTTGATGTCGACATGTTTTGCAACTTGTCTGTTAAAATTTACAAAAATGCAAAACGGGTGGCATCCCAGGGGAATCGAACCCACGACGACCAGGGAATGCGGTTTAGAGATCACCGTCTGGGACGGTATACGCGGTATACGCCGCTTACCCAATCGTCACTGCGATTAAGTATCCTTCCCTTGTTAGCTACATAGCTTAAAAAAGTACCGTACCAATATTAGGGCATTAAGTCCTTTTTCCGAGATTCTGGGCGCTTTCAAATGAAGATTGGACGCTCTCAGACAAATGAATTGCTCATCGTTGATTTCGCAGTCAACATTAATGTCGATGAAGGGAGCTGCTTTTACCTAAAAAGAAGAAATTTCATGCTAGAATGACAAGCGAAAATGCTTTTACCACTTCAAAGTCGAAAAGCCCTGAATTCAAAACGTTATCTTCGAACGAGGATGGATCATATACATAAAATCGTAATATGCAACCGGGAGATACATGAGGCATAAGCATCGAGAGAAAAGAGAAATCGACCGCGTGTACAGTAAGCGCTCCACATGTGATTAATGATGTCGACGGTAGCTTACTTAGGGTAATTTTCGCATCTGCAATGTTTGTCTAAAAAAAATTCTATCATACTGCTGCAAGGATACAAATCGTCATAGACTTACCAAATGCAAATCTACGCTCCCCGGTTTCAAATTCTTCGTTATTTGAAACAACACACGCATCGAGACAGTAGAGCACGACTCCATAGGATATTCTAGTCCGCTAGCCACATTCTGCCCTCCTTTTTTGCTCCTCCAAACTTATTTGACAATTTTTTCGTCACAGCTTAGTGATTTTCACCTGCGTGCTATGCAACTCCTGCCCTTCACGCTACTGAATCCGATAGTATAGCTCTCCTCCACGTTAGCTGCTTCGTCCGGGGTGTCGTACACGACGATAGCCGCGAAAGACTTTACTTCATTCGCCTGGAGCTGTGATCTTAATCGCGCATAAACTACCGTACAAGGTGTTCTGAAAGTATGTTTACCCTTTGATTCAACGGGAGGAAACTGGAAGGTAGGCGAGGTCTAATCAAAGCTGGAGAATGATCAGAGAGCACGCTCGCGTGAGAGACGCAAGCTGCGTGGCGGGCGCGAGCGGCCACCTCCCAGCCGTCAATCCCGTTGAATCAACAAGTATTTGCTTGGTCGTTGATTCTCTAATGTCTCATTGTCTCCCGCTCTTTCCAATTTACCATATCAGAGGGCTCGCTTCCACTTAGAGAAACACGAAGCGGCGAACACTTTTGCAAATAGTCATGGTAGGAAATCTCCGGTGAATTTTGCGCGATTGACAAGTAATTGAAAGCCGAATTTTGCCTCCGTAAGGCTAACGAAAAGATTGCACTTGTGTCACTGGCTCTATATTATTCCAGTTGCTCAAGAATCCTAATATGTCAACGAAACAACTAAAGTCAGTGTCAACTACGTACTCCCTTTCGCTTGGGAACTACGCATGCGCAACGTAAGAGCCCTGCGTACGGACCTCCAATCGATGAGGCCTATTTGAATGCCCGAGCCATAGGCGCGCGAAGGTGGCATCGTTGCGCTTACGAATAAGGGATCACTTGATTGACACGAACTGTATAAGCCTGTGTATCTACTATTGAAATCAGCCTGTGTAAAAACACATCACATGATTCCCTAAGTTTTTTTGGAGAAGTGAAATGGCAGCAGCTTCACAATGATGCTAACTTGCTGGAATTTCTCACAGTCTCAAACTGACTGGAAGTAGCGCTGGACATTCAGAGGATGAAGCTCCCACCGCGTCTAGTGCTGCGAAGGTTTATGCTTCAGATCAGTGTGGCTCAATTCTGCGTAAGTGATCATGTTCACGCCCAAACTTCTTTGAAAGTAAACAAAACCCTGAGGAAATGCTGCAATACTGCTGCAATATTGCAGCATTGCTGCAATATTTTGTCCGGCAAAAGTTCCCGTGGGTTTTCTAGGGTAATTGCAATGTGGTAAGGAGCGGTCGGTGAACTACTCCATACCACACATGTATTCGTAAGACAAAGCCAGCTTTCCAATCATGTAGTTACATCGAGTACGGTGTTAGACATGGAGACAAGACAGATATCAAAAGTTAGCAAGGCATGCTTTTAGGCTCTGTCTTTCTCATATTTTCCTGCTCATGCAAACCTACCTCATCATAAAGGGAGACTGCATGGACTGAGGGTTTCAGCAATGACGAAACTTCCATGCACTCTTTGCTAAGAAACATGAAGTTCCTCAGCGTTGCGTACGGCAGATTCCGAAAGACTTTAACTTTCAGTTCCATTGGCAGCCTATTCCAGTATATGAAATAGTCTTCGAATTTAATATGTTGAAGTATATTGAGGAGAGAATACGTCGCAGTAAGAGAGTTTCGACGAAATCAAACAAGGAAGAATGATCAATACACGTAATCATGAACTGATTTATAACAAGTGATGAAAACCCACTATTCATGACAAAGCTGAAACTTGGACTAAATTAAGTAAAAAAAACGGTAGCTTCAGTAGATTCCAATGGCAAACTTGGAAATACACTTATAAACCGCTACGGAAAAAAAAGTAGTGACGTTGACGATTCACAATCTCACAAAGCAGGACGCTTGCCTTCTCCCTTCGACTTGACCCGTATTTTAAAAAAACTTCTTGAGATATGACTGTGAACCAAAATATCTTGATAATATTCTGAGCAAGATGTTAGCCGATATGAGAGCACTTTTAAGAAATTCCAGTATAAATGGGATAACCACTTGACGACCAAAACACTCGACGAATTAACCAACAAGAAAAAAAAACTTTCATTGTAGCGAAACAAAGTGCTTTTTTGTACACACAGACATACATACAGACAGACAAACAGACATTCAGCTTCATATATAAGATTATTGTGCATAAAAAGGGCATAGTATTCGTGGAAAGGAGAGTTATGGGGAGGGGAAGAGATGAGAAAGAGGATAAGAATTTGTCGCTTGTTTCTCAGTCTTCTTTACTTGAGGGTCTTGAATTTTGTTATCCTCTTCTTTCTCAGAGAGGGCATGGGCGAGTATACAATGGATATTCTATTTTAATAAAATTTGTTTTGGTTTCAGTGAAGTACGCTCCACAGCCTCTCCAGCCGTTTGTACCCCTCATTTGCGTCTTGAGTCCCTGCCTTTATTTTCACTCTTCGTCTGAGTCAGAGGCTGTTTCCGGACGAAGGGGACGTCCATATGAGATGCACGCGAACGCAGCGCGCGGGCAGTGTCGACCTTATCTGTGCAACCCACGTGTCTGATTGGTGCCTTACCGCTGTGTTCCACCAGCTTCGCGAAGTTAGAACGTACACCTTATCCGGGATTAGGCTTCAGTTTGCACCAAGGTGGCTATTGTAACACATTGTTAACACGTTGACGACCGTGTGTATCCGCGCGTATGCACGCCCTGACCTCCTTGTAGCGCTTTCGTGCATCAATTTATCATGTGTAAACGAAAATTTCTCAGGTAACTTCTATGCAGTAATAACACTGGTGGCGTGGTTGTCATATAGAACACACGGCATTGCGGTAGCTGTTAAACAGTCCAAACCGCAGCCGTAGATCATCAGTCCATTTTGAGGTGGTCAAAAATGGCTCGGTCTTCAACGTGTTAAATCACATGATTTTGTGTACCTCTTATATGCTGAAGTAAGGAGAATGCGCTCAAAGTAGTTTATTCTTTCTTCTAACTCCAAAAGGGGGGCATGGTGGGCTATTTTGAATTTTTAAAGTTTTAAGAATTATTATCTTAAATGTTTACGTATGTTCCGAATAGAAAATTCCATTTCTGAGCCGATCCGGACCAAACCTTGCACACTACACTTCGGGACCGGGCGGGTGTCATAGGCAACTTTTCGTTATCGATCGATATCGATTTTTCGATTTTTTGCAAAATTTGAGCTACGGGGCCGGGAGTTGGCGCAGGGGGGTAATTGAGCATGCTGATCATTCTATAACAGAAAAATGGCAACGTATTGATTAGCGCTTTTTGCACCGGCCTTTAAATTCGTTGCGTGAGCCCAAATACCGTACCCCATTCCCTCTTGTTTTTGATGAAAAAAAAGGCGATTGACGCGCATAAACTGCACATGCAATGTGGTCTCCATGGTCTAGTGGCTAAGGGGTGCGACTCTCAGCTGCTAGACCCGGGTTCGATTCCCCGCTCAACCTCCTCTGATGCTTTGACGGAAAAAGTTGCCAACGCTCTGAGAAAATTTTACACCGAAAGGAACATACAATATGTCAGCTAAGAAAAGCCACAGAAGAGGGAACTACGGGAAGGATGCTGTACGAAAAGAAGGAACATTCTCGTTTATCTAATGCGAGGGTTAGTCTAGAGAAAAAGCGCGATGTGTAAGATGGGTGGAAAATGAGCTTCACCGAACGCCACATCTTTGTTGACTCAAAGGTTCTTCTGCAAGCAGTCGTACTTTCGTCATTGGAACTATATGCGCAGCATGCCTTCCAGCAGAAGCTTTCAATAAAAACATCACTAGACGAAGTTTATTAGCTTTTAGGGCATTGAAAAAGTGTTATACGAGGCTTTGGTGACTCAATACAATATTTCTCACACCTGCTAGCCATTGGGCCGCTAGTCTTATATATACAGCTGAATGTCTGTCTGTATGTCTGTACTTATGTTCCGGATAGAAAATTCCATTTCTCAACCGATCCGGACCAAACTTGGCACACATATATGTGAAAAAGGCCGTCAAGTCTGTTGTGTCATCATTTTCTGTGATTACGACGAAGTCTTCATTTCGTCATATCACAGAAACGCGGCGCATAGCATGACAAATCTTCGGATGTTGGAGACAGCCCTTTTCCTGCCACAGGATTGACGAATCAGCATATTTCGGTCATATAGGACTCTTTATGAAAGAGAAGTCCAGGCAACACAACAATGAAGAAAAAAAGCGGCAATGACCTTCAAATATATGTCCGTAGATGCGCGTGGAACGGCGTCCTCCCTGCGCGAGTTTCTACAGAAAGGTCAATGGCGGCCGCTTGCCCTGGCAAATGTTTGCCGCCCGATTGGACGGACACATTGCCTGCCGCTTGCACGGTCGTTTTTATTGCGTACCGATTGCGCGGGAAAACTGCCGGGTAAGTCAACTAGTTACGAATAAAATAATGACAGGGCCGGGCGGAGCCGGGTAAGTCAACTAGTTACGAATAAAATAATGACAGGGCCGGGCGGAGCCGGGTAAGCCAGCTAGTGATAAATATTTTAACGGCCGGGCAGGATACAATCAGTCTCGTTGCCACTAACAAGTATACAATGCTTGATATCCTTCGCTATAACATGATTGCGTACAGGCTCCAATATGTGGCTTTATAACCGTTAATGGTCTAGTTTACCTCCCGTCTTATTTCCAAAAAATGATCATTCCATGACATAAAATTTAATAATGAAAACATGAAAAATAGATGCCAGGCAAGACAGACCTCAGTGATGAACAGGAAAGTGAAAAACTCACGTTTATACAGGAAAAATAAACTGGGACATAACTCACATGTGACATGATCATTGAGCAAATCACTTATAAAAAATTAGAAGCAAAATCCAGAAACTAGAATCTGAATACTCCAAAATCTGAAGACCTGATAATGCACCGTTAGACATTTCAACTGAAGAGATCAAAACGCATGCCTTTCTCCAAATATATTAGTAGGATATTTTGCTGTGCAACTCCTTGACAGAGACATGTGAAGAATCGTAAAGTATGAGATAAGCAGCATATGTACGAGGTCGAATGGCAATTTCAGCTGGCAAAATTGTGAGTAAAATTGTTATCGAGTTCGAATTACTTTATAGAATGGCTCGAATGGCGACCAACAAAGTTGATCAGCCTAAGTACGATAGCGCTCATAGTTCGTCAAAAGAAGACGCGATTGTCACCGCGTTCGTGAATTTTGCGTCGCATCGCCATTTTCCGGTTCAGACTAAAGGAATTCTGAATTCTGCGGCACAATGCAACATACAAGCCAATGGGGCGCATCCTGTGATTAGTGAGTGGCCTGTATAAGTAAGGTGGATATATACAGTAAGAAAGCAATTTTCACGAAACTTGACAGGAATTGAACTGGGTTACTCCTATTAGATACAGCGTATATCTGCCATAGCCAAAAAGGCAATTCTACTTATCAGGAGATGCGTTCCACCAGTCGAATTGAATGGTACCTGCTCTGAATAACGAATTTGTCTGCTTTGAATTGAATGGGGATGCGCCGCAAAAATCGCAGACTCCGCAGAAAACTGCCTCTTTCTTTTTTGCAAACAGCGTTATTGTACCTTTACCAGTAGAAATAGTAATCAAGATTCGACACTACCTTTAAATGTCAACAACAACCTAAACTATAAATCACGCATGAGGGTATACTAGTTATGGACTCCAGAACGAAGTTGTTTGGAATGATGCGAATTCATAATTCTGTGACATGTACTCTGCATAAGGATCCATTATCTCGCAAAACTTCCAGCTTATGTTCACAAGTAGCTGATCACCCAATTCGTTGCGAACCAAAGCAAGACGCTCGTGTGGAGGGCGTATTTTCACGTATTTGTCGAAAAAGGGACTGAAACATTGCAACTTGATTAAGAGCCTTTTGACACTGTCCGAAAAATGTGATTAAAAATCCTGTTGGTCGTCAAAGTCCGTTCTCTCATCAGATGATTAATTTTCAAAGGATTCAAACAACTTACATTTGCAGAAGTTCAAGAGAACTAGACTGAACTTTGCTTTTGTCAACATTTTCAAAGATCATGTCGAAGTTGAATGTCTTCTCCACAATGCAGATCCTGACTATTTTTCGACTCCCTTTCATCCATTGCTGAAAAAGGTATGAACTTGGGATCAGTATATGTCCTTCCACAGAAGCGAGCAAGAAAAGTCCGCCTGAATCTTAGTTGACACACGCAGCGATAACACTTCTCACAAAGTACATTAAGAAGCTCTCTAACTACATAATTGCTCAAAAAAGTTCGTACCAATATCAGGCCATTAAGTCCCTTTTCCGAAATTCTGGGCGCTCTGAGATGAAGCTCAGATGCTCTCAGATGAACCAGTTGCTCGTCATTGATATCGCAGTCAACAACACTCCTGATGAAGGGAGCAGCCTTTACCTGAAGGGAAGAAATTTCATACTGCTGAATGACAAGCCAAATTACATTTACCACTTCCAAGTCGAAAACCCTAGAAGTCAAGTTATTACGTTTGACTATGAATGAGTATCGACTCGTTATGAATAAGCATGGATTCATGATTCGTCCATCAATTCGTAATTCGCACCCGGGAGTTACATGAGGCAGAAGCATCGAAAGAAAAGAGAGATCAGTCGAGCGTACAGTAAGCGCTCCACATGTGATTGACAATGTGGATGGTAGCTTCCTCAAGGTTTCTTTGACAACTCCTACGTTTGCCTAAAAGTTTTTTCATCATACTGCTGCATAGATACAAGTCGTTATAGACTTACCAACTCCAAAACTACGTTCTCAGGTTTCAGATTCTTCGCTATTTGGAATAACACACGCATCGAGACAGCGTAACACGACTCCATAGGATATTCTAGTCCTTTAGCCATATTCTGCCCTCTATTCCTTATCCTTTAAACTCTTATTTACCAATTTTTTCGTCGTCAGTTTAGTAGATTTTCACCTGCGTGCTATGCAACTCCTACCCTTCCCCTCGAATCCGATAGTATAGCTCTTCCTCAGCTTGTCGTTCACGACGATTTTTGCGAAAGAGCCACTCCTCCCACCTGGAGCCAAGATCTTAATCGCGCATAAACTACCGTACAAGGTGTTCCGAAAGAATGTTTACATTGCTTGTCGTTGATATCTCTAATGTCTCATTGTCTCTCGCTCTTTCCTATAAATATATTTACCATATATCAGAGGGCTGGCTTGCACTTAGAAAAAACACGAAATACCGAATACTTTTATAAATGTAAAAGCAAGGAAATCTACGGTGATTTTTGCGCGATTGGGAAGTATTGTAGCTGAATTTTGTCTCGATGAAGGTAACAAAAAGACTAAGTTTCTGTACTGACTCTATAATTTTTCAGTAGTGCTCGAATTTTTATGCCAACGAAACAACTATAGTGCTGGCCATAGCCATAAAGCCACCCTAAAAATCACTGTAATTTGAACCCTTTTACTCGAAATTGTCTGAAAAACCACCAGTCTCTCTGCAAATCAACGTCATATCAAGGACCAAACAGCCCCCAATTTAATTGATTTTGGCCGGAGAAAAATTGAAAAGTTTGAGAAGACGGGTTTCGAAGGCTGGTCACAGCTATAAAGCCACCTCCCATTTTCGATCAATAATGCATTCTTTGAACCTAAAATTTTTGTACATTTACAGCATCAAAAGAGAAGCATTTGTTGCACCTGGGAGCTTTCGCTTTCAGAAAAGAGGTTTCATAATGCATTTTTTTGCTTCAAAATGCATAAAAAGTCATAGTGTTTAAAAAAAACTGCCTTTTCACCTAAGTTTCAAGCACTTGTTTGACTCGGATTAAAGTCCTAGGATTCGCTCCGCCTTTGGGATGGATACGGTGAAGCGCGCTGGAGTCAACATTGTGTAGTCGCTGATATTGATAAAAGAGCCTCACCTTACCGAGGTGTAAGCGGGTACTTTTCCGTTATCCGGACCCATTTTTTCAAAAAGCTCTCATAAAATACGTTCTTCAGTCTAAGAACAATTTTTTATGGTTTCCACGAGGACTGTCTTCCTGCCACGTGTTAGAAAAATATTAACACGTTTTGGTCCATTTTGACATGTTTTTTCGAAATCACTTCCGGTGAGGTAAAAGAGCATTTGTGAGCACCCAAAAGCTGTTTAATTGGTTTGTCTGAGAGCAAATCTGAAATTTATATCAGAACATCTTGATCGCTTTCAGCAACGATTCAGCATTGCCTTTTTCTTCAAACTTTTCGTCTTGGAAATATAGGCAGACGAGACTATAAATGATAGCTCAAAGTTCCTTGCTATTGCTTGTTTTTCCATTTGAATGATGGGATCCTAGTCCACTTCTCTACTCTTGACAAAGCCTAATCTGTTTAATAATAACAGAATGACGTTATTATGATAACAATGCTCATTTTTGACATTTCAGTCGAAGATGGGGTCACTATTGACTAATAAAGAGATTGAACTTACGTCGCTAGGTAGGGCAACTCAAACTCCTAGTTAAACCTGTTAAACATGCAAATGGCATGTCAAATTTTTTTGACACGTGGCAAAAGGTTGACGCTCCTTCCTGTGAAGTCGGGACCAAATATAGTACGAGGGAAGAAGCAATATGCTTCTTTGAAAAAATGGGTCCGGATAACGGAAAAGTACCTGTAAGCGCGCTTCTGGACGCAAAACTCGATTACTTCGGTTTCTGAAACATCTGGTCTGATGTTGACATTTTTTGCATGGCGGCTTACTCATGCAAAAGCTGTCAGAATCTTTGCAAAGACATATCTGCAGCATTGAAGGTAGGGCGCTTTATCTGCGGTTCGGTTGTGCGCAGTGGATCCCACAAGACTTCAAATTTTACTCCATTGAACTCCTCATAGAGTCAAATCGTAGAGAACTGTCGAAATTACTAGAACTTCAAGGTTTTGAGTGGATTTCCTCCCGATCGAGCGGTCAGAGTGGGTCACGATTACGCAGAGTGCACCACCCGATTTTGAAAGAAGGGCGTCCAAGGCGGAGCCAGAATGCTCAGAGTTGCGATGACGTCCAAGCTATGCGCACGATTCTATCGTTGTACAGGCAATGTGCTGAGCACTCGACAGAGCTTTTCGGGCATTAGAACTCAACTTCTGCGATTCGATAGCTCGTCTACCAGAAGGTAAGGTTCAGGCTCTTTTATCAATATCAGCGACTACACAATGTTGACTCCAGCGCGCTTTACCGTATTCATCCCGAAGGCTGAGCGAATCCTAGGACTTTGATTCGAGTCAAACAAGCGCCTGAAAATTCGGTGAAAAGGCAGTTTTTTGAACACTATGACTTTTTACATTTTGAAGCAAAAAAATGCAGTATGAAACCTATTTTCAGAAAGCGAAAGCTCCCAGGTGTAACAAATGCTTCTCTTTTGATGCTGTAAATGTACGAAACATTTTAGGTTCAGAGAATGCAGTATTGATCGGAAATGGGAGGTGGCTTTATAGCTGTGATTAGCCCTCGAAACCCGTCTTTTCAAATTTTTCAATTTTTCTTCGGCCAAAATCAATGAAAGTCTCACATAATTGACCGGTAGCGCTGGACAGTCAGAAAACGAACCTCCCGCAACCGCAGTGCTGCAGAGATTTCCGTTTTCAACCAGTGTGGCTTCAAATTTCTGCAAATACCATTTTCTTTCAAACTTCTTAGGTAGTAAACAAGTCCTGTGAAACTGCTGCATTTTCCGTCACAAGTTCTCGTGGGTTGTGTAAGGTGATTACAATGTAGTGAGGAGCAGTCGGTGAATCACTCCATACTACTACTCGCTCCATACTTTATGCTTAAAGGCACCGTCCACCCAGATCCTCGACTTCCAGGTTTTTGTTGTTTCAGGGCCTTCTCATGTCCCTGATTCCAAATATGAAGTCGAGAATCCGCGAAAACCCCGACAATCCCCATCCGGAGAACCCACAGGCAGGCTTTCCAGAACGGTGATTGGATGAGCACGCACAAATGGGCGGGCATGGATGGGGAGGGGCAGGCGTGGATGGGGGTCCTCGTGCATCTTCGCTATTCCGGAGCAATTTTCTCTCTTCCAAAGCGACATATTGCGCCGCGATTTGGGCATTGGCTTGATAGGAGGCCCTACTATTATTTGCTGCCAAAAGCCCAACACCCTCAACTTAGGGTGGACTGTGCCTTAAAGTCAGAGGAGGTCATCGTATTTTGAGCGAGTATGAGACATGGAGACAAGAGAGGTATCAAAGTTAGCATGTGTACATCCTACTGGACTGTCTTCCTCACACCGTACTCCGCATCCAGAAGGAAGACTGCATGGACTGAAGCCTTTAGCAATAACGCAATTTCCATGCACTCCTTGCTAAGAAACATGAAGTTCCTCAGTGTTGGGTACGGCAGATTCCGAACGACTTTAACTTTCAGTTCCATCGGCAAACTGTTCCAGCAAGTGAAACGCTTTTCAAGCACGTCAACGTCATGATTCGAGATGGAAATCTCGCTCATTGATTTTTCTAAATGTTACAAATAATGTAACACGAAAAATATTGAGCACGGTACGTCACAATGAGAGATATCAAGAGGAGATAAAGCGAACAAGAAAGTACGAACGATAGAAGCACGAAAACTGGGTGGGGGACTATATGTCGCCGAATATGGGAGAGTCCCGGGCGGACTTCTTGCAGGAACGCATCTCTTTGCGCATCCCAGTTGCGTATATTGCAAATGACCTGGCGGACCGCCCCTTTTCGGCGACATATGGTCATCTACCCATGAAAACTCAATCTGAGAAGAAAGATGACAAAAACACGTAACTCCTGAGAAACCCTCCGCGACCTGCTTTGCATCCTCCTCCAAAAAGGGGGTTCTGGAGGTTTCGTGGATTCTTGACTCTATATTCGAAATCAGGGCCTTCAGAAGGCCGAAAGCGATAAAAACTGGACGAGAATTTAGGTGGACGATGCTTTTAGTCAGGGCTCGGCACAGGTGGCTTACAAGCAAGCTGGATTTCGTTTTTCGGACAAAAAGCAAAGGGGGTTTCGTTTTTGTGGCCGAAAAGACACAAAGTTTGCGACATTTTTTTAATCGACGTTTCGTATTTTAGAAGATTTTTTAGGGATTGCGGTCGGGGTCAAAGGGGACTACGTAAAAATTCGCAAAAGTCAAGGGGGACTTCGTTTTCTGCATTTTCACCTAACTACCCGTGCCGAGCCCTGCTTTTAGTGCAGGCGGCCCTAAGCCTCGTTGCCCTTAACAAGTACCCAATGCTTGATATCCTTCATTAAACATGATTGAGTCCGGGCAGTGTGGCTTCTAGCCGTTATTCTTCTAGTTTATTTTCCGTCGTATAAACATCAAAATTCAAAATGATCCGTTAGTCAATAGAACACATTTCTACAATTTGTCAGGCTAGAAAATGTTTCACTGGAAAGTTACCAGTAAAGGTGCCGTCGCTAATGGGGCTTAGTGTGCAGTCTCACACATTAAGTTACAAATGACTCGAGGTTATATTGAAGTATATTGAAGAGAGAATAGTATGTTAAGTATGCTGAGGAGAGAATACGTCGCAGTAGGAGAGATTCGATGAAATCAAACAAGGAAGAATGATCAATACACGTATCATCGGTTTCAAGATTCGTGTGGAGGTGGAGTCTTGCCAACTCACAGCGTAGCGGTTTTTGCCAGCGAGAGAGCACGAAAAGCAATGCTATGACGTGGAGGTTTAGCAAGTTTACTTGTGTTATCAGGCAAAGTCCGCAATACACCTCCACACGAATCTGGAAACCGATCATATCACGGACTGGTTTATAACAAGTGATGAAAAACCCACCGTTCATGACAAAGCTGAAACTTGGAGCAAAATATTTTAAAAAACAGTAGCTTCGGCAGATTCTAAAGGACAGGGCTCGGCACGAGCTGGCACCAGGAAGAATCTCAAACGAAGTCCCCTTTGCTTCCAAAAAATTAGTACGAAACCCTTTGACCCTTTTTCTCCCTCATTTACCTGCATTGGCTTTTTTGTCCTTCGTTCTGGGTGGGACTGTAGCCCAATCATCATCATACTCTTTAATAAAGCGCAGGCACCCCCATCTGACGTCAATGTCGGTCTGTTCGTGCCACGTTTGGTTGTTTACCACTATGCTCCATGAACCTGCACTTTAAAACTGCCCTTTTTTGTATTGATCTTTGCCATCAGGCTGTCTGCCTTCGGTATTGGAGCTTTTTAGCCGTTCTGTGCGGTATTCTGTAAAGAGCTGTAGGGATCATACTCTTTAATAAAGCGCAGGCACCCCCATCTGACGTCAATGTCGGTCTGTTCGTGCCACGTTTGGTTGTTTACCACTATGCTCCATGAACCTGCACTTTAAAACTGCCCTTTTTTGTATTGATCTTTGCCATCAGGCTGTCTGCCTTCGGTATTGGAGCTTTTTAGCCGTTCTGTGCGGTATATTCTGTAAAGAGCTGTAGGGATTGCGATAAGCAAATTGAAGTAACGCATTGCGACTAAGGCAGCGTCATTAAAAGGAAAACCCGATAGATAAGACAGAAAAGAAAAATGTGGAGATATTTGAAGAATTTTTATTTTGAAGAAGCTTTAGAATAGAAGAATTTTTTTACAAAAAGACTTTGGAAGCTGTTTGATTATTTCATTCGTGATCTATTCGTCCTCCATTCTTCGTAGAAGTAGGAAACTAATGGGTAATGAGGGTTGGGGGCAGCGAAAAGGATAAGCAAGATTCGCTCAAAACTACATATAGAGGCAGGATAAACGGTGTTTCGTACAAAGGAGGGTGCGGGGGAGTTGGGAGGGGGTTGGGGTGGATGTAGTGGGAAGGGAGCGAGAGAGGAAGGTGTGGCACGAATAGAAGAAACCTGATATGCAGTCGAAGTTAGTGGTACACTTCCCAGAGAAAATTTCTAGCATTGAGAGGATTTCGAAGCTAACGCAGCATGGGGCGTGCAGCTATTTGAGCCCGAGCTAAGGATTTCTAGAGTTTTCCTGCGAGCTAAAGAGCTGGGGACTAAGTTACTACTCTTCAGTGCTTTCTGCATGAAATTGTGCATGCTTGAAGGGATTACGCTATACTTTTGGGGATTTCGAAAAGCTTTGATTGAAACTAAAGCGAGTGGGACAAGCTAGATAGGCCCGGAAGGAAAACGGGAAAGTACAGTATTTTGGCATGAAAATTTCTTAGCGGAAATTGGATCGTAAGCATCAAAAGAAGGAAATTTGAGTTTTGTGAATTAAACGGTGGTTAGAATCACAACAGGAAAAGTTCGAATTTTCTTCGCGAAATTGGTGGAAGGTATTATGGTATCTGATTTGAAGTTTCTGAACTTCGAATCAAAGATGGTTAGAATCTGAACATTGGAAAGTCCAGATTTTCTTCGAAAAATTGGTAGAAAATGTCATGAGCAGTTGGCCCATTGAGAGCGGAGATTAGAGGGACTTCCCATGTAGTATTCACTGTGGGATCCAACAGGTAGTCGCGGGACCGGCACCTTGGCCAGCAAATTCTGTGTGGTACTCTGTAAAGCGCTACTTGGCAAAGGGTAAAGATATCTCATGCGAAATTTTGAGGTAAGCAGTTTTAGCAAAATCCGAAAAGGGGGAGCACAAGGGGTGCTATGGCACGATTAGAAGAAGCCTGTGGATCGCACGGACATGTGGTGGCACATTTCCCAAAAAAAAATCCGAGCATTAAAAATTTTGGTGGAGCTAAGGTAGCATGTGGCGTAGAGCTATTTAAACCCAATTCAGCTAAGGAAAGTGTCGTCGATTCGCTGACCGCACGGGCTGCTCAAACGCTACGGATCGCGCGCGGAGCGGCTGAAATATTGCGAGAGCGCGATTTGTGTAATGGCGAATTTGTAATGGGGCAAGCGTTTTACCGTGCGTGCTCGGCAGTCATGTCCAGTCCGTGCGGTCAACGAATCGAGGATACAAGTTTGCTGAGGAGAGCAAGGAAGTAAATACTAATGTTCGGTGTTTTTCACATGAACTACTGCCTGGAAGGCTTCATGCTACACATTCGGTTACGAAAAGAAATGAAGACAATGCTCTAAAGGTTCTAACATTTGATCACTTCTTACTTCACACACACAGCCAGTTCAAAGCGCCGCGAAGCGGCGCTTTGAACTGGTACTCTTTAATAAAGCGCAGGCACCCCCATCTGACGTCAGTGTCGGTCTGTTCGTGCCATGTTTGGGTTGTTTACCACTATGCTCCATGAACCTGCACTTTACCACTGCCCTTTACCACTATGCTCCACGAACCTGCACTTTACCACTGCCCTTTTTTGTACAAGTGATCTTTGCCATCAGACTGTCTGTCTTCGCTATTGTTTATCAAGGTTCCTTACGCAGGCACGAGCAGTCAAACGCTGCTACCACAACTCCTAAGCGGTGAGATCGATTAGTCCCATAACCGCTTCACGATATTTCGCTTTATTTCAGCTACGATTTGACTCCATTATCCGAATCTAAAGACGGGTAAGGTATTCTACCATCGTTTGTTTCATCTGAAAGGCTATCATTCCCATCGCCCTGTGATACCTGCCTTTTCGCACCTCATCGTTTCTGTGACTATTTCTGATTCTTACCACTATCTCTCCTTTTATGCAACTCTGATCGCTCCTAGAGCAACAAAAGCGCACCAACATATGCAATCTCACTTTTATGAGCAATTTTTCATTTATGTTAAAATTATATTAGATTTGAGGATTTCATAATTGCTGCAAAGTTCTATGCCTCAAGAAGAAGTCAATTGAAGTTTTTTCTGAGAAACTCGAAATAAAATTGAAGCGATTTGAGCAGCACCTCCAATGTGGCTGCATTTATGTGGAATTTTTCTAGAAGCTGAGCAGTTTTTTGAGAGTAACGTTTGGATCTCAAAACGATCATCATCTGCCATTTTGTATCAGTAAATACAAAAAAACACGGTACAAGTATATTCAAACCGAAGAATTGGCAAAACTGACCAAAAAATCAATGATTCTAAAAAGATTCTATCAATTATCATTAACAATATAATGATGCTGTTTCCGTAATTTTGTCAAAACATTGCACAACCTCAAAATCGTATAGACAGTGTCTGGATGAACAGTTGAAATTGGATATACACTTTATAGTAGCATTCTTGATTATATTCAAGTCAGCAGCCTACTAAGATGAGCTGGAAATTGAGGTAGACACTGGAGTTGGGCTTATCATAGGTGTTGAACAATTTGAAAAGCCCATATAGAACGCGAACGGGAGTTTGGAATTGGAATTTTTGAATTGAAAAGACTCTGAGCAAGCTTCCAACAACGCATATTTCGTGATGAGGAAGGGATGTTCTTTGATTCAGAAGGTTTTGTAACTATAAGTTGGAACGTTGGCTTGAGCTGCAGCGATGTTCGCCCGCGGTTTCATGACCGGGGACATCGCTTAGTTCACCCCAGGTTTACATACGGGCCCAAAAGATCTAAAGGGAATGAAATGTTAAGGTAGTTCGTAGGGACAGTCGATGAGGAGAGCAGGGCCTCGGGTGAAAAGAGGAGGAATGTACACAGCTGTAGCTCGGAAAAGCTTGCCGAGTTTGTGACGTGACGGCCACTTTGTCAAAAAATTTCTGAATGTGAGAATTTGAGGGTATCCGAGGATTTTCGCAAAATGGTGAATGAGCCACTTTGGCAGCTAAAGTTTGTCGAAAGGTGATCACGCTAAAACGTTGCCTCAAAACCGCGCGAAAACGCTAAGGGCTTGCCCTGCATTTCCTTGCAGGGGAGTTTAAAGAAAAGGTGGGAACAGACAGGTCCCAACTAACACTATAAGCAAACAGCAGACATGACGGAAAATCTTGGCGTGCGCGGCACAACATGCCAATTTTGGCTTGATTCGGGGGACTGTAAAGGCGCAGTTCGCATTTTCTCAACAGCAGCACATTTGGGGCAAGATTCGAAAGCGATTGAGTAAGATCTGAAGGATGTGGAATGGCAGAAAAGATTGGTAGTTCGGGAGTTTCATAAAGGAAATTGGATGAAAAAGAATGGGAGGAGAGGGGGATGCAGTTTGGCTCAAAGAACTCAGGAGACAGCAATACGCAAGTTTGCAAAGCGCAAGAGCATACCTACTTGGAAAGCTGGGAGGAAGCGGTTGAAATTCTGTTGGCACTTTTGTTAATACTTAGGAAACCACATAGAGCAAAAAAGATCCTCACAATTAAATTTGATAATTTCTGGGTTTCTAAATGTCTGAAAAATGCGTGCCATACTTTTGAAGAAAAGGTTCCCAAGTTCTATCTTTGACAGTCAATCTCACTACACACACATAGCCAGTCCGAAGCGCCGCGAAGCGGCGCTTCGGACTGGTCCGGAATAAAGCGCAAAAAGGCGAAAACAAAACAACGAGAAACCTACGGCTTCTTTCTTTCACCCTCCATTCCCTTCCCCTTCCCTCTCTCCCTACCCCTCCACCTCGCCCTCCCCAACCTTCTCTGCAGATGAGACAAACAAAGAAGTAAAAAATGACAAAAAAAAAGACAGAAAAACAAAGTATTAAAGGTAAACGACAAAGAGGGCCCAGCGAAAACGAAGGATTCGCGCGTCAGTTCACAGGAGCGCGCTTTGCGATTGGAAGCTTCAATGAATATCTTTTAAAGGCTGTAAACAAGCCTGGAGAAGATATTATGAAACCGTTTTTCCTCTGTATGATAACAATTACAATGAAGATACAATTTATGTAAAAAAGTATAAAAACTTATGTGAGCAAAGGGTCAGTGCCAGCTCAGCTGGCACCCAGCTGGCACACCAGCTAATTCAGAAAAAAGTTTAGCACAGCTTTCATTCACATAAGTTTTCATAAATTTTCGGGCCCTAGTTCGGGTTCCTCAACGCGCATGCACACACCAAATTTTGTGTCATATGATTGCGTTTTGTTTGTAAACAAGGCTTTTTTTTGTTTGGGGCAGGATTCAAATTCCCGCGCTGTGTTAAAATTGGCACGTCGGCGGCATACTGATGGTATGAGGTTGGCATGCGAGTGGCATTCTAGAGGCATGCTAACAAATAGAGGTACAAAAACTAAAGATGCCGCCGGATTGCGGTGGCTTGCCGGCCACGGGCCGGCGGGCCCCTGGCGCATTCTAATAGCAAACAGCGACATGCTAACCCGCAAAAACGATATCTCCTCTGCTTTCCGCCCAGAAACGATATCCAGCTTGACCCGGTGCCAGCTGTGCCAAGCCCTGCTAATGGCAAACTTGGAAATGCAATTATAAAGCGTTATGGAGAAAAAGTAGTAACGTTGACGATACACAAGTCACAAGGCAGGAATGCTTGCCTTCTCCCTTCGAGACCCGTCAAAAAAATTTCTTGAGATATAACTGTGAACCAAAATATCTTGATAATATTCTGAGCAAGATGTTAGCCGATATGAGAGCACCTTTGAGAAATTCCAGTATAAATGAGATAACCACATTACGACCAAAACACTCGACGAATTAACCAACAGAAAAAAACTTTCATCATAGCGAAAACACAAGTCAAGAACTTTTTTCCACGAAGACTATCTGATATTTTTTACTTACGCGGTGTTGTAAAAGAAAAGAACAGATTCCACAACCCAATTAAGTATGTCATAAAGGAATATGTAGTGTGATGAAGGGGTTTTTTTACTAGATGTACCTTCAAACTTTATAGATGAATTTTATTGATGAACAAAAAAAACAAAATCTATTCTTTACTCTCCATAGCACTGGTTCTAGTGTGTTTGAATCAGCCCTAGATAAAGCTAAAATGACCCAATGTGGCTCCGTGATTGTCAAGCAATGAGCACCACAATTCAAACTCATGAAAAGAGAATTGAGGGCAGCAATTATGCCATTCATCAACAATTAAATAGCGAATCTCCAGACAACAAGGCGATTTCCAGATGGAGTTCAAAGGATGAGCGTAAACAGTTTTCTAGGTGTAATGAACCGGCCAAACTATAAGCTACGAAACCATATTGAAATTGAAGTTTGGCTCAGGTGGACGTCTACAATCGTGCGAAAACTTTATGACAACCCCAACTTACAAGGTCTACCAATGAACATCTGAGATTCCGTCCTCTAATCTGTTTAAGCTGTGAAGCAACAAACGAAGTCTGAAGCTCCAGTATATAGTCATGCAACTGCAGTACGGCCGTGTCCATATCTGAAAAAGGCAGAGTCTATCTGTAAGATTCAACAAAAATTGTGTCAACCAAAGTGTGAGCCAATCACGCGAAACAAAAAGAAAACAAGTAAACAAATATACCTCTAATCTTCATTAGAGTGTGGATCCACTAGTTCGCAGACTTCTGGGCTAATGTTCAACAAGACCACGCGGGATTTATTGCGAATTCCGACAACTCCAGCAATTCCAGCTTCAAAACAGCTCTCCGCGTACTCTTTTAGGGATGGGCTAGAGACTGAGTTATATGCGGAAACTAGGAATCAAAACGACTCTATTTATTCTCCTATAATACCCTTTCTATTGATGCCTAATTATAGCAAGCCTCTGCGTAGCAACTTATATCAGAATCACCTTTTTTGAATTTCCGACTCAGATAGAATATTAGCGCTATCCACATTTTCGAAAACCATTTTTTTGTCCAAACCCTCCATAGCTGTCAAATGAATTCGAGCAATTTTTCTCTTGCCATCAGTCCATTGCTGAAAAATCGCTTAATAACATCCAATAAGCATGTGAAAGCATTGAATCAATTAGACAATGGGCCACCAAATTTATTCCTTATAAAGTCAATTGAACCACTACTTCTGCAATAATTTGATTACCACAAACCAAAAGAAGGAAAGGGTCAAATACCGCAATTATGCCATTTATTCCCTTGGACGTTAGTCGAGGAGCTATCATAAATACGGTATGTGCGCGAAGACAAACAAATTGTTTATCGCTGACTTCACACAGAACATTTGTGTCGATCGATGGAGCCATTTTCATCTGTCAATCAAAGAAGAGTAATTTGAAGATGAGGATATACGCCATTTACCGTCTCAAAGTCGAAAACATCCGAAGCGATACAGGCAGCCCCAGATTCCACGAATGGTCCAGGTCGGCTATCGTAGATTCGCAGCTTGCATCCAGGAGTCACGCGAGCGATGAGTGAAGTAAGAAAAGCGAGGGGATAAGCGGTCACAGTGAGTCTGTCGCACTTGAGTGATACTTCTGATGGGAAATCTTCCATTAGATATCTCACTTCACTCCTTACTAAACCCTGCAAAATTTTCTCAATATGTTTTTGTTGAAATTTGAAGATACTCACTATTTCGATAGATATCTGCTCTGGGTTAATGTATTTCATCATATTGAAGAATATTCGCATTGAAACTACATAGCACGTCTCTGAATATTTTGGTCCTACTCTGACGATTCTGCGTCCTTTCTTCTCTCTTTCAAAGGAAATCTATATGAATCTTGCTATGCCGAAATTTTGATAACTCACCTTCGCGCGATACATCCTCCATCTTTTGTAGCATTGAAAAAGATAGTGTAGTTTTTATGCAAATCAGGGCCAGCAGTGCCGGGAGGCATGTAGTATACGGTTATACTAGCACAACAATTCTCGTGACTCAACTAGGATGAAATGTTTGAAAGGCGTAATTCGCCGATGCACGCTAGGGACGCTTTTGCGCTCGTAGCCGCAAGTAGCCGCTGATAGCCGCCGCCCGCAGTCGTTAGCCGCTTTTGCTACCAGTAGAGCGCGAAATCCTCACACTTTCACCATCCTCAATACATTCCTTGCCTGCCCATCCTCCATTTTCTTATTCTCGCTCATGTGCGACCGACTTTCACAAATTATCTTTGTATTCATTGTCGTCACTAGTTAATTGCAGGGAAGCCTGGATGCTATCGGTGGGCTCATTGTTATCTGTCTTATTTGGAACCATTGAAACAGGAACAATTGAAACAACTTAATCCTCCGACTACTTCCTCGTTTTGACGCAGTAGCTATGGATTTCTCATGAGATATGTTTAATTGAACCAAATTATTTACGCACTGCGTACCAACATACCACTCGTTTAGTTTACAACAGCATCTTTTTTCGCAGAATTGGAGAAGATTCTAACCACGAATAAACTTCGGATAACCGAATGTCAGGATACTTGAATTGCAAAACCGTATAAGGCAGACCAATGGGAAAATTCTCCAGCTGCGGTATCCAAGCTTCCTAGCAAGCAGGTAATGACGACTACCGATGCGAAGAAAATGTGTCAGAGTCAGACTGCGCATGAGCGGGAATAAGAAAAGATTACGGGTAATAACCAGGCCTTATGTATGCTTTTTAGAGTAGTAAAAATGCGAGATTCTGCGCTCTCGTGAGAACAAAAGCGGTTACGGTGGATAACGGCAGCTGGCGGCGCCTGCGAGCGGCAATGGGCCGCTGAGCTGCCATGGCGGCCAAGCGCGGTATGCAAGCACTCCACATAGTCAGACTCGTAACAAAACTCCAGTATGTGCCTCACTCAATCGTAAAGATGTACTTACATCCTCGGGACCATAAATCTTGTACGGCATGTGCTGAAGGAAGACACCATAAACGTTAGGCTTTGCTTTTAGAGATAAAGCCATGCATTCTTTGCTCAGAAACGTAAAGTTCCTCAAAGTAGGGTATGGAAGGTTACGCAATACATCAATTTTGAAGTGAGTAGGCAGTGTATTCCAGAAAATGAATTTGTCTTCGAATAAGTGGGCATCAATAATCCGAGCAGACTTCGCATTTTCATCCATGTATTTCTGAAAAGATCCTACTATAATAACGCGCTAAGGCCGTCTGTTTTTGTGTATCCTCGAGTCATTTGTAACTTAATATATGAGTGTGCACACTACGCATAGCAGCCGACGGCAACCTTACTAGTAACTCCTCGCTGGAACCTTTTCCAGCGTAACAAATTGTAGATACGTGTTGTGCTGACTAATACATGAACAACAAATCAAAAGAGATAAGAGAACAAGGCGAAATCACGGGAAATGAGCAGGTCCTAGTCTTGCAGTTCGTCAAGTAAGGCGCATTATGTGCATAACACATATTAAGTTACAAATGACTCGAGGATATGTCTGTAAGTCTGTGTGAAAATCTGTCTGTCACGAAATTCATAGAGGAAGCTGCAACTAAGCTATCGGGCTGCAATTTTGCATAACATACCGTGCCAGCGTGTAGGTCCACCATGCGCAAGGACGAGCCGGTTTGATGAGCGGGTCCCTCAAAATTTGCGCTTCAAACGGGTCCGCGCGCCTTTTGGCACGCAAAACTGGGTCGCTAATTGGACTTTTTGCGAAGTTATGACTTGCCTGACAAGTAACTCTGCGCGCCATGAATTCTAGCCCAAAAAATGCTCCAAAAGTTTGCTTTTTTTGCGAAAACAGCGCCAAACGCGTAGATAGTCGATTTGGCAAGGTTTATTTGGAAAAACTGAAAAGATTTTTGCACTGAAATGTAGCCCAACGTGACTATTATCCTTATGACGATTATCAAATTAAAATAAATTCGGTAATCCGTACAAATTCGCATTTGTTTCCTTGCAACAAAGTTTTTTTCCTCAAAATTACCCATCTTACACGGAGATGCTTCATGAGTGAACAGTTGTTTACGATTCATTTGTGATGCTCAGCATCGCGTGGTGAGTTTCAAAGCCATTCTCATACAAAGCGAGGGAGAGATACAAGGATCAGGCGAAATATCCGTATGCCTTTCTCAAACATGAGAAAGGCATACGGATATTTCGCCTGATCCTTGTACGTCTTTCCCTCCTGTGGTAAAAAAGGTGCAAACTTGAAGCGAGGTTTAAGAATTAACGCTTTTTCGTACCATCTGCTGCGTAGAAGCTGTATTTTCCTTTAATCTGTTCTCCTCCAAACATTTTTTAAAGTTTGGCTTCTTCGTTTCAGCCCCATTTTCCCTCACAAATTTGCTACTTGCTCGTTCATTCTCATTATCACTCCCGCTTTTAGTGAGAAAGCACTAAGTTTAGAGCAATGTTGGATTTAAGATAGTACCAAGTACCATTCAAAGTAAGTAGCGTCCATTAACTTTGCTCCAATTTCGAAACTTTTTCCTTAGCAAGAAGAAGAAGTACAAAAATGATACCAAAACTTGCAAAACTTGCACTCAAACCCGTTAAAAATGGGCAAAAATTGCTATTTCCCACCGTCCAATACGATGGGGCCGCTACAGCGCATGCAACACAGTCGCTCAGTTCGCGCGCGGTGCTGGGACTGAGCCGAAACTTCCGGATAAGTATGAACGCAGTCCGAAAGCGACACGCTAAAACAGCGTTTGGGACTCCTCGCCATACCCTGACTGAGTGAGAGCAATACGCGAAAAAAACGCGGCGATGTGCCCAAAACTATTCGCGTCTAAAGCAAAGATGGTGCCGCTATACACCCAAAAATACGGTAAGCTATAAAAGTAAATTACTTTCCTATGGAAGTAGTAAATTTTTAGAAGTAAAAAAGCGCATAGCAAGCGATTGAGAAGCAGTCAATGAAGCCAAAAGTGTACAAAACAAACACTATGTATATTCTTGGATTGATAAAAATTCCAATACGTCTTAGCACTTAACTACAACTCACCAATAATCTCCAAGATGACGACAACCGCATAGCACGCATAGCTTGAGCGCTCTTATCAGTTCGAGGCACCGCTCGCCACCGATTTCCAGGGTTACTCAACTGCCAGTCCTATTCACAAAAAAAAAATCCCCATGTATCCGTGGAAAACATTCCTTGGTTGCCTATTTTTGAATTTTGCTTTCCGTATTTATACCTCTTCTGACTTAATTTCACGCAAATTTCTCATCAACATTTATAGCATTTGGTTTTCAGCTACCAACTAATGGAGGATGAAGGCTATATGGCCGTCATCTGTGCCATCCTCTATGACACCGAAGACGATGAAAAAGAGAAAGCAAGACGTGCCGAGTTACTTGAACATTTACGCGAGGTGCGCCAATTTCTTTATTTTTGTAGCCGCTTGGAGTTCATTTGAGAATTACTTGATATATGATCAGTTTCGTGAAACGAAATTTTTATGACAAGTTTTGTTTAAACGTGTTTCAGGCGCATGCTATAACCACACAGAAACATGAACAACTCTTAGCACAATGCCTGCATATGGTAAAATCTTTGATATTTTACATATAAAAAACAATTTGTTCATTTCTCAGCTACGTTATCACCTTGAGGTTATTGCTCATCTGCCGCCCACTGAGACTATGGTTCTTTACTTATTCAGGTAAATTGAATTCTTCCTACTTTGACATATCAATCAACGTTCTTTCAGTGAAGAAGTATGCAAACAATATGTGGCCAACACTGAAGAAATCTATAAATTGTGAGTGATTTTTTGCATACGCCGGCCCCATACTAGAGTTTTTCGAAAGTCAAAGTCGAACAGGAAATGCGGGAAAAACCAGCAACGAGAAATTCCAGGCATTTCTCTCGCACAACACATGATTTTTATATGTTCACGACACTCGTTTAGAGAAAGATAAGAATTCGCTGTGTGCCAGGCGATTTGATAAGCGGCTGCTAAATATATGTCTACAACGATTTAAAAATAACAGCGACCACCAAATGTCCAAGCAGTTTCAAATTTTAAAACTCATCCCATCAACCACTGATTTTAGACGATTATTTGATTTTGTAGTGTGCATTAAAATATGCCTTGCAGGAGGATTCGGATAAGATTAGTGTATTTAGTGAAGTTGGAGACCATTCAAACTTCAAATTAAAGTTTGCCATTGCACGCTTCAATGGCAAAAGTCACAAGACAATTGTGCGATCGGGATCAATCATCAAACGGTATGAAGTATTGATAGCATTAAAATCAGAATCTCTCCATTTACAGTCTGATGCAAATTGATCGAAGAGAGGACGAGTGCATTCAAATTTCGCAGCTTCCAATTGGCAATTTGGTGAAGAAGACAATATCATTGAAAGGTCGTCAATATGCTGTAGAACTGAAGCTTTTGGTCAGAAAAGTCTTATTCTGGTAGATTTTCTTATCGAAGACTCATTTTACAGAAAACTATCGACCATGAAAGCATGCCAGTGCTCAATTTTCACGATTTGTTGGAGCTCACAAGAGCGCTGCACGAGTATGATGCAGAAATAATGGTGAGCTTCGCTTGAAACGTGCAAATTATAGGGTAATGGCTAGTGAAAAAAAAGGTTGAAGGCACCATCCACCCAAGTCTGAAACTGTGAAATCTTGATGCAGTACAGTAGCGAAGCCCCTAATTCCCTGTGTGCTCAAATCTCGCTGTTTGTGTATTCCGAAGGGAGAAATTCGCCCCACATGGTGTATGCTCTGGGGACGCCACGCCCATCGATGTAAGTGTGAAAATAATGAAATTGGACTCGTTAGTGAAACATCCATTGTAAAACACAGTTCAGCAACTAGGTATTGGACCCGGTATCCAGCTCACTACTTTCAGACCACCCTGATGGGCGTGGCGACCCTAGCAGCATCCTCAATCTAGAGCAAGTTTTGCAGCGCGACTCAGGCAATCAAGTCAATTAGTTAGGGCCCCCGTGCACTGAGATCTCACCAACCTCATATTTTGGTAGTACCGGACGGAGGCGGCCACCCAGTAAGCGAGGCGTGCGAGTTTTAACGACGAATGATGCCCAAAAATGCCGTTTACACCCGATTATTATATTAATCGACTACGTTCCTCAAAATGCCCTTGACATCAGATTACAAAAAGAAAAATTCTTTATTCTAGGAGGGCGGTTACTCGGGAGAACTCTCGGACCGATCCTTTGCACTACTGCATCGCTCCGCGCAGTTCTCGAACATTCCACCAGAAGTGATAAAAATCGCGTGAGTCAGGAAAGTTATTACGTACTTACGATGAAATTTCTCCGCAAAACTTGTCTTGATACTTGAACCTTTATAATTTTTCCTGCCTCATTTCTTTGGCAATCTGAAGTCGAGGAGTACGGGCTATTCATCATACGCAGAGACTGGACGTCGTTGGTCCGACTGAGATAGTTCGTGTTTGGAAGAGTCAACGGACGGTTAGATGAATGAAACGGCCTTAATCTTAGAAACGCAGACAGCTTTCGCAATTGCACTCCGTCTCTGCGTCCGATGAATCGCTTATACTGCTTCCAACGTCAAAGTAGCTCATAGTAATATTGCCACCTACAGAACGCTTTCAACTTTCCTTGTGTGGGACACATCCAAAGCGATTCTGGATCATGATTCAATTCCACGACTCATAAAACAGCTAAAAGAGCAACAAAAAGTCAAGAAAAGCATAATATTGGTAATTTTGCTCTAGAAATCAAATACCTCGATTAGCTTCGTTTATTCATTCTAGGACACGGCGCTGGCTCATTTAGCAGAATGCGTTATCGCTGAACTACATGAAATATTGAATCAGCACGATGACAAACAACTATTTCCACCAGAAGGTTATAGTATCCTCAAATCTTTGAACGATTCACTGAAGTCAGCGACGGATTTTGTTCCAAAACATTTGCTACGGAAAAGTTTGCATGTTCAGAACAGTGGTAGAAATATGTGTCTTGCCGATCTGGGACTTATCTACCTCCGATCCAACATCAGTTCTTACTCGAGAACTGAGGCAACTGGTGAAAAATAGCGCGGAAAGATGGGCAGAGCAGGAATTTTCAAGTGACAATGAAGGAGAAAAGGTATATTAAAGTGTCCAGTCAATTCAGTCAAAGCGCACGCACATACTCTTGCAAGGCACCGTCCACTCAAATTGATGATGGTAAGATTTTGATACCGTACAATAGCGGGCCCCTAATTAAGTAACTGCTCAAGGTCCAGCTGCAAAAGGTGAGGTCCGAAGCGAAGATTGCTCCAAAAGGTTGAAGCGGTGCTGGTCGCTGTGCCCATCAATGTGTACGGTCTAGAGATATATTTCAAAACTGGGCATGGATGGCCCAGAATAGTTGAAAATCCGCCCATTATCGTGATCATCGTAGTTTCGACAATTCTGGAACATCTGAGACTATTTTGAACTTCCATCCTCAAGAACCCACGATGATGGGCGGAATGACCATCGCCGCTTTTCCAACATTCGCAGCGGAACTTGGACGATTACTTAGTTGGGGCTCACCCTATATGGTGTCAAAATTCACGATCCTTTGGGTGAATGGTGCCTACAAAGCCTACAGGATAAAATCGATATTTGCAGTTGCGCCAAAACGCCACGACTCTTAGGCATCAAACCAGCGCAGGAGTTTCCAAACTACGCAAATTAACCAAATATTTTAGGACGTATGCAAGAAAATTCATACTATGTGGGAACTGTTACACAATCATCAAAGCTACAGTCTCTTCTTCTCACAATTCAACATCAACTACGTTGGGGTTGTGCTCGAAACTGTAGACGAGCGGGTTAGTGATTGCAAAAATCGTTTTTCCAGTGATATCTGCTCTACAGATCGAGACATTCACGAAGGATTATCTAAGCAAATGGCTCTCTGCATTGGACTCACGCCAAGGTGAAGAGTTGGAAAAGTTCACAAAATACACGATGCGTTTGTATGATACCCTTCATTTGTTGACAGTGTTTGGAAAGAGAAATAAGTGAGTAACAAAATCATTAGCGCATGTTCGAAAATAATGTTCCCACACTTTTAGGGTGGAAATCTTACGAGTATATGATTTTGAAGAGTGGTTCTCAAATAGCACTGTATTCTGGACATATTCTTGGCGGGATATCAGCTTGAAGATGGTAATATATACCACAAAATTCTGACAACCCCAAAATAATTCCTTACTAGGTCGCTCGAACTATCTCGCTGAATAACGACGGTGATGAAACGAAGTATGAACATCACCGGCCCTTACCCGGGGGTCTATATTCATTTCTCTGCATACAGAAAGGTAAAAATAGGGAGTTTTTATGAATCAAACCTGCAAAGAACTTCAACAAACAGGCCTTTCCGATGACTATACTATGCTGGCATTTCGACGACCAGAAAACCTGCTCATGGGCTCGATAGCACTTGTACATGTGGGTCGAAAGTGTTATTGAATTGAAGTTTCTGTCGTTCTTTTTTTGCAACATTTCCAACTACTTCCTACCACAACGCATTTGCATAGTTTCAAAGTTTTCAAAATTCCAAAATCAACGAGCCCGACAGAATTTGCGTCTTCATGATGTTCACGAAGCACATGATCACCCCTTCACTCGCGTCCCACTTTTGAAAAAAATTTGTGAGTCATTAATATGGTGTTCTGAAATTTTTCTGGCCAAAAAGACATTTGTTACTATTCACAAGCGTTTTGCTTCTCAAAAATAAAATGCGACAGCAGAAACAAATTCTGTCATTTCCCTAAATAACATAAGAATCTAAATACAGATATACCGGAGCAGAAACATTTCTGGGATAAAGAGAGAACCCCACAAAATCCGCCTTTCGTTTGCGACTTTCCATTTTACGACGACATTTATCAAACCTGCATAAAAAAAGTGTAGAGATTGAGTCCTTCAGCTTTGAAGTTTGGAAAAGTAGCCTGTATCAGAATGTCATCAAGATTGTTTACGTGACATTTCCCTTTTTTCAAAAAATCAAGCAAAGGCGGCGGCGCGACAGCTAGAAACTACTTCCAGCAACCCTACAGAATCACAACTTTTCTTCACAAAGTCGAGGATCAAATCATTCAGATTTACGCTGAGAACATCTATGCTTACGCAAAAAAACTACATGCCGATGCCCTATCGAGCGATTGCGATACGGTAGGTGAAGATATAAAGCCTAATCCCAGATGAAGGCGGCTTCCGATGTAAAGGCGTGCGCGGGCCTGCGAGCTCCTATGACAAAAGATACTTGAACGCCGCTTCCATACGCTTCGCAGAATGAACCAACCACCTTCGTCAGGGATTAGCCTTTACTTGCAAAAAAAATCGACATTGCCCATTTAGGACTCACGCATTATGCGAGCAGTGAATGGCATTGAACAAGCGCTTTTGTTCATATCAGAGCGATGGCGAAGATTTGTGAATTTCGATCGGCTGGCTGCAGTGCTTTCGGAAAACGAAACAGAAGCTATCAGCACATCTTGCTTGAACGTGCTCGAAAGTACAAGAAAGGTAGCCATTTTTGGACCTCGAAGCAATTTTTCTTCGAAGGCTGCGTCGAAGTTAGGCGGGCCAGCTCGTTCCAACGCCGTGCAAGCCCGTGTCTGATGTCAATTCAATAAGGCTGCGTTCATACTGATTTCGAAATCCGGGAACAGTTCAAGCACAGCGCTCGAACTGAGCCCTGTGCTGGAACTGTTCCCGGATTTCGAAATCAGTATGAATGCAGCCTAAAGACAGGGCGAGCCATGTAGGTCCCGGCACGGCGCCGTTACGGTGCTGGAACGGAGCCAGCACTGCATCAGCACATGGGACTGACCGCTGTGTAAATTTTAGCCCTGCTCAAAAAACCTTACGATTAGCGACTCCATATAATGATGCATGTAAATAATATTTTCAGCGCTGTGAGCAAATCATGTACGCACTACTACGAGTGCATAGTAGAACAAAACGAGAGGATATACTCAAAATAGCAAAAAGTATCACTGTAGATAGCCATGAGCAGAGCAAGACCTTGGTAAGAGCGGTAGCGGTAATGACGTTTTTGGCAACTTTCAAAATTCTAGGCCATGTATATGCGTGAAATCTCACCAGCCGAGCGAATTCATGCAGTTCTGGATAACGTAGACCGACTGGCAAGTGATGTAAAAGGAGAATTTTTGCATAGGTAGGTGCGAAACACTCATAAAAGGACGACTGAGAACATCTCTATTCAGATGCGCACAAATTTCGTTGGAGATTCTACATAATCGGTTAGAGAAACAAGTTTCACGACAGCTGAAACGTTGTCACAGTCCTGATTATTATTCTGAAGTTTATGTAAGATTGACACTCGATGAAGCTTACGAATCACCAAATTACTATCTAGTTCAGATTGTGATGAAGGCAATTCACACTATACTCGATATACCTCCGGAAACTTCAAACTTGACGTCATTGCTTCATCTGTATAGCTTTACCACAAATGAGCTTATTCTTTCCTACTACGCTAAAGTGGTAGAAGGAGTGCATATGAAGAAAGATGATGAGTAAGAGATTTAAACTGTCTTTCTTCTCAATGTAATGGACTGGGGATCATCGCGACTTATGCACACCCATTGTCATTGAAGTGTCACCCTGCACGGCTCGCGTACCGCCCAAACCCCTCGCTTGGACCTTGCGCCGCCTGCGCCGCGTATCTTCTGGGCATTTCCCCACGCCCGAGCGGCAGGCAGGCGTGGAAATGCCACAGAATACGTTCGCAGACGCAGCGTAAGGTCCAGGCAATGTCGCCGCCCAAGCTCCACGAGCCGACGACATCTTCACTGAGACAGAGTGTAGTAGCACCCCTTGAGATTCAAAAGTTGGATTATCAACAAGAAATCAATCAAAATGTTTCAGAGTTCCTCATATCAGTATACAGATTGGATACATGCCAACTAGTGGGGAAAATGCATTGATCTTGCTTAACGGTAGGTTTACGCTACCAACACCGTATATTTTCAAATCCACCCCTGTTACAGTTGTGAGCCTCGACGGTTTACCGGAGCTCAATACATTCCGTAATCGGATCGAACCATTTGTAAGGATCGAACTGCTTCCAATCAGTCTGTATCCTCCTCCTTGTTTTCCGCTTTACAAAACAAGTACGCTATCACATTGCGAGGAATCGACATGGAATCAAACCTTCCAATTGTGAGTAAATAAGTGAAGGCTATTGGCGAACGAAAGCGCAAAGTCAGTATTATTGAGTGACGCAAATGCGGCGCGGCCATATCTTCAAAGCTATAAACCTTAGGCTTCGGCCATACTTTACCTTGTTACTCGTGTTACCGATGTTGCCAGTGTTACCGGTGTTACCAGTAGTGTTATCCGTGGTACTAGTGTTACTCGTGTTAATCGCCAGTCAATGAGATTGCGTTTTAGAATAAGACTGCATTTGTGATCATTCCACTACTCAACAGCAATGAAAGCGGTAACACGAGTAACATGAGTAACACTGGTAACGCGGGTAACACTGGAAACACGAGTAACCAAGTAAAATTGGTAATAATGACCACGAGTAACACGGGTAAAGTATGGCCGCGCTTTGCGCCAGTGTAACCGCTTTCATGCCACTTTGGTGGCATGACACTAGCCGCAAAGGTTACACTTCGGTGCCTTCGTCCGGCAGAATGAGTAGTAATAATACAGCCTACGAAATTGGATATCTCACTTCTATGGATAAGCGGTCAAAGATCGGAGACAGAGAAGCTGTCACCAAAAGATCATTAGAGACTTTTTTTAGAGAATGTAATCTCGTTCTCCCAAAATGCGCAGCAAAGCTTCCTGAACATCAGCTGTGGAACAAAAAGTCAAGACCATTGCCTCCCTCCCTTTCCAAGATTGAGTCTATAGTTGCGCATGTACCGACACAGTACTGGCTCAAGGCCAGCATGGCACCGCGCATACGCGGCTGCGTCGTCCACCTTGTTCCTGTGCTGGCACTGGAGCAGCAAATGAGCAACTATGAATGCAAATCCACAGTAAATGTTGCCGCCAGCCACTATCCTATAATCAAATTTCAGTCTCGTTCCTCAGCAATTATTCTACACTTATGGATCTTCGCTATGTATTTCAGTTATGGATCACGACAGGTTACATCCGAATAAAAAAAGCATCTTGCAGAAAAAATTCTAAATCCTAGGATATGCGATCAACTTATCGGTCGTACTTTCCTCGCCACAAATCAACTGCCGCGAATTGAAACCTTATCAGTCAGCAAACTTCCTGATGCACAACAACTTCCACTGGTTCAACCTAGTGATATACACCATCAACCCTACTATAAGGTATGAGAATTTTAGACAAATACGCAAATAACTGATTCGAATTTTTACAGCTGCTCAAAGAGCGCAGTGCATACGACAAGACAGCTAAAGCCTTTCTTAGACGAGAGAAAGTAGCTAAAGAGATGTACCTCAAATGCATAACAAGGAGACTGTCTACGAGGTTCAGGAGTACCAAAAAGTCAAGCTCATGAGACATGAATCTCAATGCATGAAAAGTATGCTGTATCGGCATTGTGAACTTAACGCGGGTTGTGATAAATGTTGTCAATTGTTGAAGCAAAAAAAGCTACAGGTTCAAAAATTTGTCAGAGGCAAAACCAAAAACACGTGCTAAATTGCCATTTTCTTGCGCAGATTTTATTCATGACATAACAAGCACACGCATTTTTCCGTGCAAATGCTATCGGCACCGCATGCCACCCTTTTGAATGTCAGACTTACAGTCGAGTAGATTTAGTGGTAGATATAATGTGCTTGCACAGAAGGTGAAATGCGGTAAAATTGGCGCGTGAAGAAATAGTTTCGACTGTGACGCCGGCCAATTGCGCGCGCAAGATGCCCGCGGTACTGAGGCTACTTGTTCACGCGCAAATTTTACCGCATTTCATCTTCTGTGCAAGCACACTATATTTACCGCTAAATCTACTCGACTGTACTACTTGGCTGTAGTAATGCTGGGAGCAAAACATAAGTCATCAAAGGGTTGGAATGAGATATGCACCGCTTTATCATTTTGGATTCAAAGACAACTTTTTTAGACCCCAAAGACGGTCACAAAAAGAAACAAACGAATTCTGGTGGAAGCTGAGAAGACAAAAGAACATGCTTGAGGGTAAACCGGATTTTTGTTGAAAATGGCTATACCGGAACGGAGCCTCATAGAGAGTCCGTCTAGCCAGTTGTAAGTAACAAAAGGCGAGAGTTTAGAACGAAAGATGACGCAAGATTCACAATGACGCTTATTCAGTGTTGACCCATCCGTACACGAAAACGATAGAGAAGGGCTATAGCAATGTTGCACCACAACTCAGCAGTGTTGCACTACTACAAGGGTTGATAAATTCAGCGTAATCATTACGCAAAACTGAGCAGAAAAAGGAGTTCAGGCAGTGTCCCGGCAGATTTTGCATTCCCATCTTTTTGCATGTTTTCGGCCTATTCGACCTATAGACCCCAAATTGGAGCTTTGAACGGGGTGAAAAGACCTTTTTCGGGGCGTTTACCCAATCAAAAGGCAGTTCGGACGAAAATTTTAAAGGACGGGAGGCCTAGCAGTCGTGGGGACCCCGAAAGGTAAACGAAGTCGTCTGAGTGCCTATTGGGGTTGCGCGCGCCGGTTCAGGGGCTATTTTCTCGGCCCGGCGGAGACATCAACCAACCAGACTGTGCCTGGAGGTCAGTGGGATGACCAGAAACCCCACCTTAGCAATATTTCCCAGGGGCGAATCTGCCGAGACACAACCTTCAAGGGGAAATTGCAAATGACATGCACTAAGTAATCTAAAAAAAGTGGCACCTTCCCTGATGGTGCCACTCATGCCTTGAAGCACAGTAGAATTCGGCTCTTTCGTAGGGGCGGAGTCGTACCACTTCACAGCGTTGCGGTTTTTGATAGCGAGAGAGCGCTCAACGTGGAGATTTGACACGTTTACCACGTCAAAAGAAGTCTGTAACCCACCTCTATACGAAAGGAATCGATCATAGAACAGTTGAATAAAGTCGCCCTTCTACAATTGCTGCTATTCTTAGTCTGCCTCTTGACCCCCGGCACACGTGCCCATTATGTTGGCAACATGTAGCAACATGTCGGCCTGAGGCTGTTAGCCAAAATGTTCTGCCAACATGTAGTTGCATGTTGCAAACATGTTAGAGCCATGCATGTCACAGGTCAGAGACGCAGACCAAGGGTAGCCGCAACTGTGGAACTGACAACATTTCTCCATAAACAAACTACCCTTGCGATGTCGAGATTTTGTGGTAAAATTTGCGCTTGAACAATTAGGCCTGAATTGTCGGCATTTTGCACGCACAGTACCGCCATTTCAAGCGTAGCATCGTCCCTTCCACAGCTGCTGCTACCTTTGTCTGCTCTCTAACTTGTGGCACGCATGGCCACTACAGCAACATGCAGCAACATGTTGGCGCTGAAGTTGCGAAAAAACAAAAATGTTATTCCATTATGTTCATGGGGTAGGGGACTATATGTCGCCGAAAGCAGGAGGTCCCGCCGGACATGACATGCACAGGCCCAGTATCGCTGTATTGGCCCGCGCGGAACCCTCCCACTTTCGGCGACATATAGTCCTCTACTCCACGTTCATGTTGCAAACATGTTAGCCACACGTGGTGCAGGTCAGAGACGACGCGTTGGGAGTGATGTGTAGGTATATGTAATATTTGCTTTGTATCGTGTATCCTTGTTTTTGTTGTGTTTCGATCCCTAGTACCCAGTGGCGGTCCCAGGATTTCGAACCGGGGGGGGGGGAGGGCGCGGAAAAATTTTTTTTCAAATGAAGGTGCGTGGCGTTAGCCACGCACTCTGAAAAAATTTTAGGGGTACTTCTTAAAATTTTTGCGGGTCCCCAACCCCTAAAATCTGGAAAAAGGGGGCATGGCGTCAGCCACGCCCCCGAAAAAAAAATTTTTAAGACTAATTTGAATTTTTAAAAAAGTTTAAAAATTATTTTAATCATTTACAAAAATAAACAAGTCGTCTGCACATTTTTATAGCCCATATAGGTAAGTTTCAAAAATTTCGCCACCCATTCTCGGGAGGGGGGGGGGGGGCGCGCCCCCTCGGACCGCCACTGCTAGTACCTTGTTATGTTAGACTAGTTGGCAAATCCGGCTCCGCCCGGCCCTGTCAATAACATATTTGTAATCAGCATGCTCGATTACCCCCCTGTGCCAACTCCCAGCCCCGTAGCTCAAATTTTGCAAAAAATCGATAAAATCGATATCGATCGATAACGAAAAGTAGCCTATGACACCCGCCGGGGCCCAAAGTGTATGTGTGCCAAGTTTGGTCCCGATCGCTTCAGAAATGGAATTTTCTATGCGGAACATACGTACACACATGCAGACATACATACAGACATACCTACAGACAAACAGACATTCAGCTTTATATACAAGGCTAGAGTAAGCGAATATTTTGTTCAGGTTGGGGTGCGCAGAATTGACGACTTGGATTGACGCCAGCATGGTGAGTGACGTCCATTCTGCGCGGGACCCCAACCTGAACAAAATATTCGCTACTCTGGCACCTACCAGAGGAACGAACGCCTCAATTAGGCAGCACCGCCTCCGCGGACCACTGGTCCCAACACCATGCACAACAGTACGGAGGCCAGCATGGTCCAATATGGAGGCTTACACCTCAGCCGTTAGTAAGTCACCTGCGCTGCCGCTTGAGCAGTGCCTTAGATATGGCCCCAAAATTACTTCCCACGTAAAATCCCTAGGGCTTCTGCGCCTTCGTCCTGCACTATCCTTCGAACTTCAGAATTGGCTGTGGCATCTGCGCATATGCTTCTGCTATTATGGGGTCACGTACCTCTAGGAAGACTTCTTGTCGGTTCAGGATCCACACGAAACAGCAGCAGTTTATATATTGACCGATTGTGTATTGTAGTAAGTAGCGTTTGGTAGGAGAATTGGCGGCGTAGCAGTACTTTTGTCGATGGCTGATTGTAGGGTAATGACAGTACAGTAATTTGGGGCCCTTAAATACGTCTAAGGGGCAAGGCACAGAAGGTACTGGAACAACCTCGTGAGGGCAAAGCAGACGGAGAAGGTGTGAAAGATCTTTGAAATGTTTGAGGCAACAGACAATAGAGATGGTTAAAAACGGTGGGACTTCCAGAACGAGAGATTTCAGTTGATAACAACTGATATGGGTAGCTAGTTATGTGTCAGCAGAGATTTGTCGCTCCATAATGCTGATAATATCACAGTTTCGCAACTGGTATGATGAGATTCATTATCTGCACTCATCTGCACCTGTTTTTCGTCGTGATGTCGTCACTGACTCCTGGGAACCTTCTTGAACGGTGCGGAATGCTTCGCTCCCTTTTACTCGCTTTTAGTCGTTTTTCGAGTTAAGTATAAACGTAAGGCTTAGAGTCTCGTCGGCCTTCGCTGTAAAAACGCCCAAAGATGCCACAAAGCACCAAGCATCGTATGGAATCACTAGGAGGCTCCTTCGGCGTAATTTGTAGCCCTCGAGCCTCAGAGTTAAGACGTAGCGTTTAGCGCCTTCGACAGGGTTGGCGGGACGAATTCCAAAAGTTCTGACTCGACCACCTGAACACTTCTTGTGAAGCAAATTTGGTAGTGCTGAATCAGCGAATGTCTAAGCATCGTGAAGTGGCACACTTTTTTTTCTTTACGGTCCCGCTTGTCAACAATAGATATCTGAAGTGCAGCAAAGATTTTGCAAACATAATGAAACATCATTTGTGCATTGATTTCGTAGTGTGAATGAGTCACTGCTATTTTTTACTAGCTGGCTTACCCGGCTCCGCCGTATGTTCCGAATAGAAAATTCCATTTCCTAACCGATCCGGACCAAACTTGACACACATACACTTCGGGCCCCGGCGGGTGTCACAGTCCACTTTTCGTTATCGATCGATGTCGATTTTATCGATTTTTTGCAAAATTTGAGCTAGGGGGCTGGAATTTGGCAGGGGGGTGTAATCGATCACCCCCACGGGGGTGATCAGCATGCTCGATTACCCCCCTGTGCCAACTCCCAGCCCCGTAGCTCAAATTTTGCAAAAATCGATAAAATCGATATCGATCGATGACGAAAAGTAGCCTATGACACCCGCCGGGGCCCAAAGTGTATGTGTGCCAAGTTTGGTCCCGATCGGTTCAGAAATGGAATTTTCTATTCGGAACATACGTATAGGGGCCTGCAGGATCGCGAGAGTCGGACGTGTGTACGGCCATTGCGCCGCGCACGTCCGATGTCACTAAGGCAAGTGCCAGACTTATCCACTTCAGCCGTTCGTTCCGTTCATAGGTCAAATCACTACACTGTCCAACAGCAAAGGTGGTGAACCGAATGAACCTGTTCAACAGGATAAGTCTGGCACTTACCTGGGCCGTCGCACGCAGTTCTGACGTGCGCGGCGCAATGGCCGTACGCACGTCCGACTCTCGCGATCCTGCAGGCCCCTATACAGACAGACAGACAGACAGACATACAGACAGACAGACAGACAGACAAACAGACGTTCAGCTTTATATATAAGATACTAGCGAGACAAGACAGGTTGCTGAACGTGACTGTAGATAATTCGAACTTACCATCATCTTGCCAGGCACGTGTTGTTCTTATGATCATCTTCTTAACTTTCTGTATACTCAACGTGACCATCTCATCTCTTCATCGGCAGAATATACTCTTTTCAATGGCAGTGAATTATCAGGGAATTTATGTGTTGGTAATGTTACATTTGGCCCGCTTATCTTTGCACTAATCATGCACTGGATCTACAAAAAGCATAACGTAATTCCAGGAGACTGCACAGCTCATGAAGGCGAGATGATTTCTCAGGACGGTGAAGAATATACAGTTGATTAGCAAGAAGATCAGAAGTGGAGCATATGGAAACGTAGCTCTTTGTTGCTTGGTTTGCTTGCTTTTATAATTTTGTTTTTTTTTGCTTTTGCTTATCATATCTTTCATTCCTTGTTATCTCGCAAGGTATTGTAGGATCTTGGATTGTAACTTATGCGATTTTAAAGAGCTCAGTAATAGGATAGGCCAAGCAGGCACGACGAGAATTCAGAAGCAGCAGCTCGAAAAAATTTGTTGATACTTGGGTAAAAGGATAAAGGATTCGGCGTCTTCAATACCCTCTTAGGGCATGCGCCGAACGCACACACTAACTTCATATTCGAGGAGGCAATTGTATGCGTGCGAGCCTATTACAATGACTTGCGAGGGCCAGCCGTTTCCAAGTCAGTGCTTTTATCCTCCCAGATTACTCTGGTACCAATTTACCGGCCCCGGGGGGTAGAGGGCTTGGTTGGCCCAGGGGCAGGGATCGAACCTGCGTCCGATCTGGTCATAGCGGCGCCTCATACCACTACGCCACTCGTCCCCGTTGATAGTTGCTCGGCGCAAAATCTCAGATTTGTTGATTTGTTAAGACTTCGTTCAGAGCGGTTATTTGGCATAGTAGTTATGATTGCTTCGTTGATTTCGCACGCAGTCTCATCTTAGATGACGGGCCATACAGTAAGCAGATGAGACACAGTTAGATTTGCTGATTTTATCTGTACGAGTTCAGCTTGCTAGCGATAGTGATATCGGTAGCGTCTTTGAGAATGCTAGGTGGTAGTACGGTGGAAAACGTATTTTTTCGCCGTTTTCGCGCCTTCCAATGTGGATTTTTGGATTCAGCGTTGCGGATAATCCCCGGTAAGTGCATTATCTAGAAATCGAGTTTTTGCCCGGACACTGCCTTTAAAGGCAGCGTCCAGGCAAATGTGGGCCTACGGAGATCTCACTTGGAGGGTAATCTCGGAGCCCTAACTAAAACACTGCCCAAGCAACAGCTCAAATGGTGAACTCACAGTTGAGATATTCGCCTCCCTCAGACACTCGCGGTTGAGTCGCGCAGGGGATCCGCCCACAAAATGGGCGTTCGCACCAAAATCCGGTGGACCGGCGCGTCATCATTTTAGTTTCATCGCGATTTTGGTGCGATTTTCTCGCGACGGGCGAGGAGATTTCGAAATAATGCACCTATACGTCAACTCTTCCCAGCATTTGTTGCTTTTTCTCTTCCTTTTGATTTGAAAACTCTTTGAATTGTTATTTTGTACTGTCCAGGGATGACTCTTGTCATATTGACTTGTTGCTGACTTTTTAGCTTCGTAGCAAATGACCATGTTTGCATATTCTAGCGAAACATCTCTTTTCATAATCTACAAGTCACACTTTTGCAAGTTGTTACATTGTGACTGTGCTTCCACAAAGGTATAGGTCAATTCTTGCTAGCATTTGTTGCTTCTCTTCCTTTCGATTTAAATTACTCTTTCAATTGTTATTTTGTACTGTCCAGGGATTAAGCGTGGGCATCCCTTTCTGGCTTAATCCTTCGATTACGCATCTCTTTGTGACTTATTACTTCGTAAATTCGCGTATGCAAGAGTGTAAAACAGAAGGATAAGTTATAGCAGCTAAATAAATGAAGCGCTTTTACCTTGTTATACTGGTTTCCATCCTGTTTTGACTCTTGTCATATTGTAGCTTCTTGTAGCTTATTGTCGACTCTTATCATATCTTAGCACAAAGCTTCTCAATCACTATCTACTGAATGGTCCAAGCAAAAGCATTCTTCTGAACAGCGCTCTTAGGCCTTAGGCCTATACCGCGACCAACTTCTACGGACGCCAGATGAGCATAAGCGGAATCCAAATAGGTATGTATGTCCTCGGAAGACCTTTATGGTTGTCCTTAGCAAAAGATGATGACGGTCGCGAGAAATTATTCAACGTCCTCTCAGAGAAAAGAGTTGTATGGAGCGGTCACGCAAGGATAGCAATAGGAAGGGGCTTGTGAGTTTTCTCATACGGAAGAAGCAATACATACTTCTGAACTATAATTTTGCTTTTGCAGGCCAGACATCTGAACACAACATTTTGACCCTGAAAGATCCGCTCTTCCTCCATCAAAGGTGATTCATCTGTTTTATGTGGTCCTGGTATCAATAATTCTTGTTTTTCAGGAAAAGCGTATCGTCATCGAAGACACTAAAGGCAGGAGTACCGGTATCACTCAGGAAGACCTGGTGATTCAGAAAACTGAATGCGTGGAAGATGAAATCGAAGACATCGGGGAAGCCTGATGATTTGTCTACATTTTTTGTTGTAGTTGTTTCGTAATCTTGTTTCGTTATTGTTGTGCTTCGAATTTCATACTTGCTGTCTGTCTGTGTGTCTCATTTCGATGTTAATTTAAAGCCTGCTCGAGAAGATCTTGTGCATTTGTTAATAAATTTCGCGACGTAAGACTGTGTTTTATTAGCAGAAAAGTTACAAGCATAAGAAGTGGGACCCAAAGAGATTAAGGACGTTAGGTAAGTCAAAAGGAAGGCGTGAGAGAGGGCTTAGAGGACGCAAAAAGCTGTCAGTAAGGGCGTAGGCCGCGTGCTCTGAACACGATCGGGACATTTTGGTGTCTCGCGCAGGTGTTCCGATTTTGCTCCGATTTTGTCGCGCACTTTTGCCGCGACACAAAATCAAGTGTCCTGATTTTGCCGCGACACCGATTTCGCGAGTCGCCCAGGCATTCGTTGACGACACCTCGTTTTGCCCTGCGCGACTCAACCGCGAGTGTCTGAGCCAAACTACCCCACGAGGTTCCCGCCTGTTCTCATAGAGCTCTCCTAGGTGCCTGGTACCGAGTGGTTCTCAGAGGCGTGTGCATATATATAGGCGTAACCAATTGATGATTCATTCGCATTCATTCACTATTCTGATCAGCTAATAAACTACTGAACATTCCACTGTGTCCGGTTCGACTCAACCCCAACAGACAAAGACTACAACACGACGCATGCCAAGGATGGCAACAACTGTGGAATGACAATAGTTGCGCATTTCACCGCAAAATCTCGGCATCGCAATAGCTCTATATTTAGCGCAGTAATCGCAAGGAGTTTGATGGAAGGAATTCCGGAGGACACTCAGGATTGTTGCAGTCTGTTTCAGCCCGGAGAAGGCGAAAGATTTCACGTGGAGCAGCAGCGCGTCCGCATCACTGTAGGCTTTGGAGCCAGAGCTCGCCACGAGCTCGCACCAGGAAATTTTTTTAAAAACGAAGTCCCCTTTGACCCCAAACCCTAAACGTAAAAACCTTTAAAAAACGGAACGACTCAACAAACGCCCAGTTTTATGTCGTTTTGGCCACAAAAACGACACCCCTTCGTTTTTTTCGTCCCAAACGATGTCCAGGTTGACCCGGTGCGTGCCAGCTCTGCCGAGGCCCCACTTGAAGCGCACAGCGCCAGCATTTTGCCAGGCAAAAATGAGGGAAATAAAAAGACGCAGATATGGGTATATACATATGTTACTGTAGCTGCGAAATGGAGCGAACCGTTGCGACAGGCGCCTACGAGTTCAATCTCCTTCCAAACTGGGTTCAAGATCTCTTTACCTCGTTTTTTTTTGTTCGAAACTAAGAAGAAGCAAGTTTTGACACACAGGCGCATGCATTCGATACAGCCTGTGTCAATCGCATACTCCCCTTCACATCGGAGTAAGCGCCACGCTAAAAAAGCTTCGTGCCACGTGCGCGTAAGTTTGGGCATTGTAGTTGGCTTCACTGGTTGGAGATGCGCAAGCAAAGTCCGTGTTGCGGATGCACAGTTTTCATGCAAACAGGAGTAATTGACATAGACTAGACCTGAGGGATGACCGCCTTGCTGCCGCTTTTATCGCGTGCACCCCACATTCTGATGTCACATGCTTGAGGTTAGGAATTTAGAATACGTAAAAAGCGAAGGGGGCCGTTCCGTTCCGTGGATGTACGCATTGAGGATGGTCTAACAATAAATATTTTGTACGGTTGCACATGCAAAGATAAGACTGCCCGATCAGAGCCATGCAGAACGTCGAAAATGATTACAATTTTTCAGTGAATAGAGAAATTACCCGGCCTCATATATCCTAAAACAAGAATGAGCGCAAATGTTCAAGAAATATTTAATGCTCATTAATCAAAGCATCAGAAAATTTCATGATCACATGCTATAAAAGACGTTGGCAGTATGGGCCACGATGTTGATGATGATGATGATGATTGGGCGACTTTGAGAGAAATCCAAAGAAAACAAATGACTATCACAAAAGACTGAGCAAATTTACATACATTTGGACAACACTGAAGAAACGAAAAGACAAGAACAATAATAAATATTAGAAAACTGACATTAAGATAAATTCTGCGAATCAAATACTTTTCTAAGGCAAGACGCGATGCGCAAATCTGGCATTTTGAAAGCGCTTCTCTTAGCCGACGCAAGTACTTTTGTATACAGCAGTGAAATCAAAGGCATAGCGTTGAAAACTATGACTAATGTACAACAACACAACAACAGGAAATACTAATCTAGTAAGCTATTCAATATGAAACTGAGAAGAGAAATAAAATTAGGTCACAGAAGGTAATACGCGGCTGACAATAGACAAATAGTCACTGATTATAGATATTGCCAACCAGTGATATGAAAAATACGCAAAAGTGATATACTCTAGAAAACTGGACTGACTTAGGACGGTCACATGTTGTATGCAACATAAATTGGGTCTAACTGATCATGTAAGAAATTTTCTCGAAGCAAATGCCGCTGTTTCTCGCCCCTGGAGTTCAGGGGAATTGTGTTCGGATCGACAATGACGACCACTCCAACAATCAGGTAGTGCTCCTCGAGGACCTAAGATGAGCAAGTATTAATAAATGACTGTAGAAAGATCATGAATGATGTCAGAAAATACTTTAATTGTCCGAATGATCGAATGTCACGAATGAAGAGAATGAAGTTCGAAAAAAAGCAGCTTACCGATGACGTCACAGCGGGTACCAAATCCAAAGCATCATTCTCAGCTCCTGTACATTCGGCCACAACGACAATCAGATGACTCCAAGTGAAGACCGCGCTGAAATAAACACAACTACTGTACGGCGAAAGAAACTTCTCAAAATAAGCAAAAGAAACGAACCAATCTCCCAGATACTTGTGACATCGCGACACAGTTGATTCTATATCAACAGGATGATAACGCATTCCTCGGAGCATAAGAGTTTCTTCCAAAGCTCCGACAACAAAAACTGCATCATGTAGTTCTCCATCTTCCGTTATTGATTGCGTTTGCCTCAGAAATCCGAGATAACCAGTTCGCGCAAATCTAAAATGGTAGATGGAAAGATAGACGAGAAACTTCCGATAAAAATAAAGTTGTACAACGCGTTGTAATTTCATCTACTCTTTCCAAATGCAAAGATAGACTTTGCTCAAAGCTAAGCGTAAGCTCATTTTTAGCTACATGTAAGGATGAATCAAGCATGAACCCACGGTGCGGTAGAAATGCAATATTATAACGACTACATCTATATCACAAAAAATGAACGAAAATCTCTAACCGTTACTAAGATTGGGATTAAAATAAAATAAATATAAGGATATACATAACGATCAAAATCTCTTTCGAAACAAAAAATCATGAGAAAATTACTGGCCTCAGACGAGTAAGAAACTAAGTTAGTCATTTGAAAATTACGAAATTACTTGTTTACCTCGTCATGGTATCTCCAAATGCAAGACGTGCATTGAAGTGGTCAGTGTGGAGGTTGGTTTCTTCGCCATACACCGTGAAATACCCAATCGCGTTATGCGGTGAGGCAACCTGAAGGAATATCATGAGATCTACAACTGCGCCATGGCCATACGAGAACGTGTACCAATAAGCAGACAATAAATGATCGAGAAGTTCAATGTAGGCTAACAGAGCTGATAGATCAAGAATCAGACAAAAATAATTTTGCAGCTGTTTCCAAGTCGTAATCAAATAGCTTTTCTAACAAGCCTGGTATGATCAACATACCAAGATAAATTACAAAAAGAAATCAACAGAGAATTAAAAGACATTAAAACGCCTAAGTAAACCACAATTCTCTAGGAACCTACCCATATTTCGCCAAGGTGTGAATCAGCACACTGTCCTCGTGTTTCTGGATTTGCTATCACTACTTTTACACCAGGAAGGAGCTGAAATGACAAACTAAGGCGTACACGACAAAAGAAAAAATCAGAATTCAAAAACATTTCCACATCTTATTGAGAAAAGAAAGAATCACAACAAACCTTTCCACTTTCCATCAAAAGCAGACTGTGTGGTGCCCCTTTACCAACCAATGTAACTCGATCGTTTCTTAGTGCTCGTGCATCAACATAAACACTTGATGGATCCGGACCGGAAGCGCCCTTTGGAATCGATGTTACGAAGTAAACTTCACTCCTACATATTATGGCTACTCACTTGCATGCAAATGGCAGCATTAACTCTGCACCCAAACGAGGTGGATACTGCTCTTGGAGACAGTCCCAGAGGAGCAAATATACGTGAGAATGCGTTTACAAGATTCGCTCGAGGCCGCTCTTCAGCCACTACCACACAAGTTCGAACGCTAAAACACAAAGTTGACTTCCTTCTTTCATCATGGAATTTAAATTTTACCATGCTAGGTTTACTCCTTTATCTTTGAGGCTTGGTACATGTGTTGCTAATTCTTGTATGCATATTCCAAGCACACCATACGTCGTGAATGTATCACGTGCTGCAAAACTTACAGAATCACTGCAAGTTGCTCACAAGACAAAAAATCGCACTTTTTAAATTCGATACTGTCGTCAGCCATAATGATGGATTAGCTTCCACTTCGGCTGGTGGAATAAGTATAGTATGATGGCCAGAATAAATGCTACTCAGGCACCACAAGGCGAATCCCAGTCCCGAATATGGATCCAGACACAGAGCTACGTGACGTGATGGATACAATTCACAAGTAACCTAAGATACACAATCATTTCAAATCACCGGCACAAAAAAAAAGAAAAGAAAGAAGAAAACAGGCAACCAACCTTCAAGCTCCTGCACATGCTCAAGGCTCCACCTACGCTGACGATCACTCCAACAAGCTGTCCCGTAGTGCTGACCGAGAAATCCTGAACACGGTTTTATTGGAGTAGAATATGGGCTGAAGTATGAGCGGCTTCTTACCAGATAGCATGCATCGGATGGGAGGGGTTCTGACGGCTCCGTATTTGCCTTTCTTTTCCAAGAGGCTGGAGAGTCTTCTATATCAAGAATCATAGGCCATGCTTTGGAATCTACTCGATGGGCAGCTTCTTTGCTCTAGAAAAAGAGATCTACAAGGTTGGTTCGCCTTCAAACAGCATCAGAAAAAATGCAAAACGGAGAAAAATGTATAAAACCGAGGCACAGAAAATTCGAACATACCTTCAGAAGCTTACAGACAGCAGTGTTTGACACTATAGCAACAGCTTTGCTGACGTCAACGATCATTCGAACAGACGGCAAAGTTGTTTGAAGCGTTGCTGCCGATGGCGCTCGTATACATACAGGTACAACACCTAAACAGCACAATAAAACTGGCCCTCAAATAAGAACGGATTCCCGCAAGTTTTTCAAAGTGCTTCGAGCACTCACCAGCAACGAGGCAACCATAAAACGCGGCAATAAAGTCGATGCCGGGGTGAAAAATCAACGCCACATGATCGCCAGCATTCAGACGACCTCGTTCCACCAAAAATGCTCCAATTCGTTCGGCTCTCCTGGAGTAAAACTATCAGAACAGAATCAACTGAGTGTATCAAGCCTCTAAAGGCGAAAATGCAAAAAATCACGAACTTCAGCAAACTGGCACAGGTCGCAGTGTCATGTTCAGGATTTTTTGCCGTGACAAGCGTGAACAATTTGTGATCCGGTGAAGATGAAGCCCTCGAACGAAGAATTTCGAGAAGATTCTGGAAGTAAACACGGATACGAAAAAAATACTGATATTGAACCGTTACATGAAGCAAAACAACTTAAGGTTATTGACGCTGGTGTTGATAAGATGCTTCAAAACCTTACCATGTCATCTTCTTGCACCAAGCTTCGCCCTTGTGCTCCAGCTATCCTGACACCTTGCACGAGGTTACCCACAAGCATTGATGCTGGACCAATGTCTGATTGTACTTCTCTGCAACAAGGAAGTCCAAACTGAGTTTCAGACTGTCTCGTTCTAAGCACTTACCTTGGCTTGGGCAAATTTATGACACAACTATGCGGGCACATCAATAGTGTAGACGGATGCAATTCTCCAGCTTCAAACCGTTGCCTCGTCTCGGACACGTGGATACCTCCCAAAGGAGTCTAAAGTAAAAAAAAATATTGGCTTCCCTCAGTTCAGAAACAAGCAGAGAATCTTACTTTTGGCAGCTGATTGGCTGGAACAAGTGCCAAGCAATATATTCCTACTTGATGTATCGCATCAACGGCTTGCAAAACTCGTGACATCCACTAGAAAATACATCGTTCACGCTGCAAATACTTTGCACGTGCAATTTCAAAATGCTCACGGTAAAAGCATCCTCTTCACTGGCACCCGGTTTTTGCTCAGCAACAATTACTATTCTTTCATCACGAAGTACAGAAACCGAAAATACCGCTATTCGACCTCGATATACAAATCGCATAGGTTCCACAGCGAGCACAGTAGCTAAAAAAGGAAGAGTCAAATGACTGTCTTAAAAGGACCACCCTACTAAAACTACTCTTTGACAAGTTTCACTGAATAATTCGTAACCGATAAGCTAACGACAGCATGCAAAGAGAAATATTTTGCGAACTAAACAATATGAGACATTTCGGAGCCCACCAATTATATCGTCCGCTGAATGCTGACGTCCAGATACGCTAAGCTGAGCAGTGCGACGACCAACAACAAAGACAAGACCGTCCTGGAAGTTAACGCAATAATTTTAGTTTAAGTTCTCTATTAAGTCGTATACTGATGCATTAATCAAATTAAATAAGATAATCTTTGAAAAATCAAAAAAAAAACATACTGGGCCCATAAAGCCAATCAATCCGCTTCTTACATAGCGTCTCGGTCCTAGAGGCCTATCGTCTGCACCTAGTGGTTCGGCCTAAACAATGATATATGGAACGAGTAGGATTAAAATTCTTCTACAGTTTGAAAACAGACACTGGACCTAAAGCTACTACAAACATCCAACGACATAATCTACCTTGAATGTCGCAGCTGAGACGCCTTCTAGACCCCAATAGGCATGACCCGTTGAATTTGCACATAAGCAAATCTCTCCTAATTCGTCTGCTCGACATAACCTCGGTATACCCGTTTGTTTTACTACAACTACAGAACCGCCTGGTATAACCTGACCGGCATCCTAAAACATACGTAAATTTAGATCCAACATAAAACAAGCAAATCTGAAACTTTCAAGTAAAAAAAACACATCCTCGTCAACCTCTTCATTTGAAGAATGTAAAAGTTCTACAAATATACCTGTAGTGTCAAGCTCGTGAGTGAGTTCTCCTTGTCCACTCTGACAACTGAATGACTTAGAGCAGCCATTGACAAAATTCCTCGTCCGCTACTACCACTTCCACTCGAAGTACGCCTAAAACTGCTAGAAAAAGCTGATTTCCCATTAGAAAGTAAAAGCATATTGAGTGGATTGCCCTCACTTTCTCAGCGAGATTGTTCCCGTTTCCGAACTCCCGGAACATGGACACATCGCTTCAGGTCTTAGCCCATGTGCGGCAAATGTGGCAGCAAACTGATCGCAAGATGACAGTGACCACGGATTTGCTCCATCAGCTACCAGTAAAGATTTCAAAGAGGATAAGTTGACATCTTTGTGATCGCGAGTGGCTAGGAGACCCCAATGAAGATCTCGCGACTTGACCAAAGCAACGGAAGCTAAAAGTAGAAAAAAATAACGGGTAAATGTTCCTTCCCAAAAAATTTGAGAATTTGGGTGAAAATGACCGACCTTGCAACTTTGTCGCCATGAGCATCCAACTTGCTGGATTGATCTTCATCAAAGAATACGGTACAAATACGACCCGCATTCCATTGAACACGGCCGCAAGAACTGCATGCCAAAGCCCTGCTTCTCGCTTGAAATCCAGTACACAGATCATGGTTTCACCTTCAAAAAAAGAAAGATTTAGTAAGAGTTAAAGATTTTGAAATTAAAATTTCAGTTGATTAAAATTCAATTAAAATTTTGAAATATATGCGAATTTTCACACACATAATAGTGTTTCTTCTGTTCCTCTTTAGGTTTACACAGTAGCGTCTCACACTATAGAATTTACCTTGTTTATAGTCCATCGCTGCCGTAATAGCTCGACAATGAGCTAGCATGGCCTGTCGTGATATGCACACGCCTTTCACAGCACCTTCGCGATCACAGGAATATTCTATGTACGCAATGCTCTCATCGGCAACTCTAGGAGGTGCCGCCCAATCTCGGGAAGGCTTCGCCTAAAAGCACAATGACCCCACTTTATCAAAAGCAAAAGTCGAGAAAGAAACCAAAACAAGAGAAAAGTAAAAAGCTACTTCTAAATAAAGTCAAGAATTCCAGTAACTCACCAAATGCTCTGTGATGATCCAATATAATCGCGGCCACGATTTTAAATCGACAATTTCTTGCGAACTTCCAGTTAACGAACTAGAACCAGACGGAGCCGTAGCTTTCGGAAGACTAGATGTAGATGAGACTGTGCTTTTCGGGAGACCCTAAATATCGCATATCGAGAATGAAATAATTGGCTTAGCCCATAAGCGTGATTCGCTCTCGGAGCAATACATACAAAAGATAGACTGCAAGATAAAAGAAACCTTATAGCAAGTCTCAGAGGTCAGCGCAATCTTTACGCCACAACTACCAAGTAGAAAACCTAGCTGCTGTATGCCGGCATCCTAAAAAAAAATCAAGCCTTTCAAGATGGACCAAGATGTTAACCGAAATCTGACCCTCTTCGTCAACGGCACTTCCACTGGGACAGGTACTACTCCTGCCAATATGCAACCATAAAAAGCTGCTAAGAAAGCTAGCGGCTCGGTGTTTGGATAGATCAAAGCTACTCGATCACCAGCTTTGCACATAGGAACCTAAAGAAAAGCTTAGAGGCAATTTTGAACGGGTATCCCAAACTCACCTTTGTATTGTCTTTCCCCGATGCAATGGTCTTATTCAGTAACATAAAGGCTACCTTGTTAGCTCTGCTCAGAAGCTTTCCTAAAATATGCATACTTACAAGAAAAGTCAATCGAAATGAAAGCAGAAAACTGAGAGCTTTCGAGAACAAAAATTCTATTGGAAAATCAGCTACCAACCGTATGTTATCTGCGGCCCTGGACGTCCAGCATGATCGAGAACTAATGCTGCAATGCTTTTCGGTGCAGATGTCCCATAACGATGCAAGGCGCTAAAACTAATACATAGTTCATTTGAGATGACAAAAATGAGAATGCACTTGATTAGTTTTTCGCAACTCAGCTCTGCTGAATTTTGATCTTGCCTGCATGTAGATGCATAGTAATAACTCGAAAGAAATCTGCGCTTGACTAATGAAGTAGATGGGAAATTACATTCGACAGCGAAACGTTGGTAGCCCACATGATCCAATATAAATTAGAATAATGACAAAATTAGTGAAAAACACTATTCGACTCTGTCATCTCTTCCAATGACCAGAGAAATTCAAAAGATTTTTCGGTGCTGATTCACTTCAATTTTTTTGGCTCCTCAATTCGAAATATCACTGCATTTGATTTTTGAAGAATCAAGGCTCCCGAAAATTTCGCTCTACATCTAAAAACAAGTTTTTTTGCGTCCTTTCCTTCTCAGTAAAGGAAATTTGCTGATTCTCTCTACGTAAGCCCACGTTAATTACATAGACCCTCTTTGCAGAACACAGTGCAATGTCATTAAATTCTTAATCAATCGATTATACATAATAATTGTTATGTTCACCTATCCAAACTTCTCGGATGATTCTGAGCGGTAGCTCCAGCGCTTTCGCCACGTACGGGAGTCATCAACTGCCCTTCGGGTCGAGGTGCGGCTGGGTCGATCATTTTTGCCACGGCTAGAATTAGCATATTTTTCAAACTTCACAATTACAACTCATCAATATTCCCTTCATTTCGTCTTCTAACAGTAACGCTGTATCATAAGTAAGCACTACGCAAACAGCTATTTCACAATTTTCAACTCAAGTACATTATGCAAACGAGAAAATCTCAAAAGGACGGATAAAGTGTCATAACACCCGCAACAGCTGATACATCAAAATGATTGTCAAAGAATTTGACAGACAAGCTGTTAAATATCTTGAGTGTAGACAAGCGCTCATCCTAAATTTTCTGCTAAGTCCTAAATGTGTAAGTGAATGCAAAACGGAGACCTTTCGTAGTAAAGAAAAAATTGATGAATGGAATTCCACAAACCCTACCTTCGAGTTCCGCGTCATAGTCCTTGTAATACTCTTGCAATGGCTGACTGCTTGGTCTCTGGAATAACAGTGTTATAGCGGCGTCGATAAGATTACGATGTGATGTGAATTAGCACAGCGTTTGCATATTTCTTACTTGTTGATGACTAACGGACCCAGGGGGAGGGGGGTGGGGGGAATTTAAAAATGAGATTAGAGAAACTGCGCAACGGATTTGCTTTCACATACAGATGAAATTATGTTTGTTCAAATTCAAAAACATTGAGATTAGCTGTGTAAAAAATTCGCGGAAGCGGCTGCAGCCCCTTTTCATCAGAATTTCGAATTATCCCGCGAAAATGTTGGAAAGCACCCCAAAGATTTTTTCATAAAAAGCCAATTCGCAACAAGATTACGCAGTATCTTATTCGAGTAAGAAGTGCAAAACTTCTCCAGCGAAGTCACATTCTTTCAAATTTTCGCATTGCCTGATGCTGTTATAAAAAACCATGTAATTTCCCATCATTCACAGACTGCTGGACCAAATTACTACAGGAAAATTAATTATCCTCTAGCTGTGGCTATTCTTTTTTCCCCAAACAGCTGACGCATCATTCACAGCAATCACCAATAATCTACTGCATCGACTAGTACATGAAGGAAGACCTTCACATCAATCAAAATCTAATCAAATGGCTGAATTTTATTTGAAGAAATACATTTCAAAAAATTGAGTTGTTCGAGTCGGCTTTTCTCAGGAGATTTTTCTTGAATTTCTGAGCAGTTAAAATACAAACACTGTTCCAATAACAACAGAAAAGTTTCCATAATTTTTCGAGGATGGAAAGCTGCTAATTATGGAATGGAAAGTGGTGAGGTAATTAACTCACAAAAAAGATTCTAGCAAATAATAAAAAGAATTCAAAGAAAATTAGGGCACCACATTACAAGAAGAACTTCTCAATAACCACTACCAAAACGAGGTCGCGTCCTAGGAAACTGCGGAACAATTACGGATCGCCACAAGAATTGCAATTCACTCGAGAGTGGAGGAAATTGGCGTAGCACCCAATTATATGTATGCAAAAGTACATTTTCAACTACACTCCTAAGATTTACTAAACATTCGTAAGAACGCTTTGCTATGCAACGAAACATTCGCTACTATCGCCGGACCGACATTTCATGACAAATGCCCAACATCCAATCTGAACGTGCAACATATGTATGCGAATGTTGTTCCGCTGTCAGCGCGATATCATCGTTAGTGAAGTTTTATAGGCTGTTTTGGTTTTTAGAAACGATGCTATCAAGGCGAAAAAGTGAAGGGATACTACTACGCATTCTTTTAGGAGAAGCGCCTGCTTCGAAATGGAGCAGAAGAGGCAATGTATACTTTATCAAACAATAATATTGCAGAACAGAACCAAGTTAACGTCATGTCCAACCAAATCTTTCCACCATTCTGAGATTTGTGAGATTATGATTCAGAACAATAGCGAGGCCACCAACTAAGTAACCGCCGGAGCCCTGCTTCAAAAGGTGTACTTTGAAGCAAGAAAATCGCTCCAGAAGGTGGATGCTGCTGGTGTCGCCACGCCCAACAAGTTTGCTGCCTAGAAGTGATGAACACAAAACTAAATTCAGGACATTAAGATGTCAAACTGTTTTTCCTCATAAAAGGCATATTTTGTTTATTTTTAGAATTTTTTTAAAGAGGTCTAGAATTCAGTTTTTGGCTAATAATCTCAGACCAACCACAGTGATGGGCCTGGAGATCCCAACATTATATACTTCTGGAGCGATTTTCTTGCTTTAAAAAAACACCCTTTGAAGTGGAACTTAAACAATCACCCAATTGAGGGCCTCGTTATTATAGCATTAAAACTTCACCAATCTCGGATTTAAGCGGTGTTTTCAAGTATTATACTTGAATGTAAAGGGCCTTGCTCTAACAGTTGATCTGAGTGAGAAAAGCGCATAATCAAAAACATGCCATAAAATGTGTGATCGACAGATTTCATACAGAAAAATATCACTAATCAAGAACTAACCCAGCTTTGCCCGAGATAGCGTCTATTTCGCAAATCATCCAAAGTGATCCTCCCGTTAAAACCAAAACGCAATGTAGGCGTTGTAGGTTGTTCAGCTTCCGAGCTTGCAGTCGTCGTACTGAATACATCTTCTGGTTCTTCTTCTAGTGGCGGTAAGTCATAGTCTTGCAACGATGGCCTTGGACCGATGTCTTCATGAATATACTGAGGGATCATATTGGACACCCGACGTTTCCGCAGCGCCTTGCGAATGGTTTCAAACGATTCGTCGCTGATGTTCACGGTTTTGTTGTGGTCGTGCTTCCAGCGGTAGCGCTTGAACATTCCTTCGATCTCGCCGAGTTCGTAGCTGATCGAGCACCAGAGACAGTGGCTATCCTGGCCTTTTTCTCGAACATACTTATCCCGCATGTGAGCGGCGGCCTTGCGATTCCGCAGCATGGCCAGGTAGTCGCGGTGGTTGTCGCTGGGCGATCCTCTCCGCATCGCTCTGGGCGCGCCCGTCTTCGACAGCGCCAGCGTCGGGAACATGTAACGGTGCGAGCCCGAGTCCATTGCGCTTCGTGCTCGTACTGTGGTCAGATGCGTTCCGCTGATAACGCGAGTTCTTGGACGTGATGATCGTCAGCGCATGACAGACTGCCGCCGGCGACCAGCCTCCGGCAGTTACACTGGCCGGCTGCTTCGACGGCCGCCGCAGCTCGAAGCGCCTGCCCCAAAAAACATACGCGCGCTCGTGCCGGACAACCGCAAAAACCACGCCCATTAGTGTCTGATGAGAATTCTTTCGCTTGTTTCAAGGTGTATGAGATCGCTTCGAACTGTGAGCAAAGGTCGTTGCACATCCTTAATCACTCCCTTGGATGCAAACGCCTTAGCACCTGTTATGAAAAAACAAAGAATGCGCATTAATCAGGCAATGTTGAATGCTCATTTGCCTGGAGATAGAGGCATTCAAAGGAGAAAAATCTGCAAGCTGTGGAACGCATTCATGTCAGATTGAAGATTTATGGGACAAAAACTGCAATAAAAGGCGATAACAGCTCTCAAAGCATATGGTTAGAACTTTTTACTCCTCAGAAAAGAATTGATGATCACATGTAGGATTTGGCTGCGGAATGCGGTAAAATAAAGAAAATAGCGTCCACACAGTCGTTATCAAACCTTCCTATACCTCTGCTAAACTGTTGAAAACAAGAATGTGATGTTTCCAACTAGTTTTCACAACCCTCACTCATTTCCTCAACCGAAAACAAGCCTTTCCTAAGGATATTTTGAAACTTCTGATTTTGCTAAAAATCATCAGAACTAATGAGCGCTTTTACATTACCTCCATCAATGACAATTTTTTATAATATTGAAGCACCTGTGAGTACAAAATGCTTTACTGAAATCTACTTTCCTAACACGAGAAGCATTTTTTTCTCATATCAGCTCACTCAGAGTGTGCTCAGCGCGGGAGTGATGACATTGTTGTTTTAACAATGATAGATCTGGTTGAGTTTTTTCGCTCTAACCCTCGGGAAAAAAGAGCACAGATCTTGCGCTCAGCAGCTGTATCTAAAGCGCAATACAACAAGCAGGAATGTGATTCTTGATTATCGGCGACTTGTGGTTTGAGAGATAGTCTATTGCAACTAATCACGATGCTAATACAGAGAGCAGTCTGGGAATCAACTCACTGAGTGTGAAAATAATCATTGGATTGAACTCTCAGGTCTTCTCTTTCGTTCAGATTCTAATAGCTGTCAAAAGGGTAAAAGAATACTGTCTCATTCACTTATTGCCTCACGCTCGTCTCATCAATCGCACAAAGCTTTCAGCTCGAAATTTCGGCAGAACCTATCTCAAACAATAGATAAAGATTGGCAACAGGATTGTCAGCTGTACTTCCTGACAAATTGCTTTATTTATTTCTTCGAAATTTGAACATTGATCCTGAGGATGATGGATGGATGCAATGTATCTACTAAATCTAACGACCACGAGATTGCATAACAGTATTAATCTATTACTGAGGGTTATTTCGATTCAAAACTGAAGCCTTGGAAATTTTAAAAATCTCAGTACCTGTGAAATGACATCGCGAAATATTTACAGCGTGGCAATTGAACAATTGAACAAAAAAAATAGGATTTGAAGTGGACCTTAGCATTGCTGATGATATCGCTAACTTTCAAAAAGTATAGAATGCTAACAGCTATCAAAACGCGATTATTCAAGATGAATGCCCCTTCTTCTAAAATAATTTGAAACTACACAGATCTTTAAGTGATGTTTTGCTACAACTCAAACATCAATTCCGTAAAATACATAGCTACCAGTTTAAAAGTCCAACGATATGGAACCAGTTTTCTGACACAAAACTACCTTGACCATTATGAGTGAAAGAAAGCACTCAAAAGAAGTTCCACAACAGCGCGGCTTCTTGAAGTTGGAAAAGCTTTCGTATTGAAAGTTATAATTGCGTGAGAAACTGGATTGTCTTCGTTGAGCGGAGAATTAGCGAAAGCGATGTGGAAACAATAAAGTGGCAGATAGTATTCTTAATGTAGGTAATGTTTGAATCATGTGATCTGACAGGGAAAACCAAAACATAAAAGACACAAAAGTATCAAGAGTGTAATCGACTAAGGTAAGTTAAGACGATAAAGTAAGAAATATAAAGCAACAGCCGTTCAAGCTCATCTAGTATGAGTCGTTGCTTTATGTATACATGAGTAACTGGACTTAAACTGCCGTTACTATAGTGTTACAGATTTTTTTTGTTTTTTTTGTTTGTTTTCCCTTTTCTATCTCTCCCTTGGTTAAGTGACTAGTCCGTTACATGTGTTTCTGTTTGTTACTGGATTGTGTTACTTTTCCAGCACGCCTCGAGCGTATCAAATAGAGATAAAGATGAAGCAGTCTCGAAAATGTATGACTTTTTTCTGCCGTTTCCTCACGTCAATAGCACTGGAAACCATTTTATTTCCCTACAATTTCAAGCGTCTTATCCAGAGGGGTCAGCCGTTTACCTTCAAATCCTCCCCTCTCCCTCCCCCCCCCCTCACCGAATGTATCTCATTTGGCACCGCACCCTTCTGACGACATAAAGGCTAGGCACAGGTGCGCAGATCGCTGAGGCGAGAAATATGATACGACGACATGACCCTCGCGATCCACAATAGCACTTAACGAATCTAGCCGAAAAACGTTACTCGCTGGGATAATCACCGTCCGCAATAACATACACAACACCGATGAGAAGCATGAGAACGGAACAGGTAGTAACACACGACGTACCTGCAAACAATTCACCACCTGTTGCAGTTTTTGTGACAGCTTTGGCAACTTCTTTTGCACTGAAAGGGAAAACGTTAAAGACGAGTAAGAATCTGCAAAAGCAACTTCTGCAATTTCTTACTTCTCAAAATTTGGATAGTATAAGCTCAAAGGTAGAGTTCTCCACTTACAGAAAAAAAGCATTATGTCAGGGGGGGGGGGAGGTAGGAGAGAGGAAAAAAAACATTATGCGACCTTTGTAAAGTGTACCTACAAAAAAGTTCCTGAGAATTCCTTGCTAAAGTGCGTTTTTTGGTGCTCTGATTAGGGACGGGGGGGGGGGGAAGTCATCATGTCCCTTGAACTATAAAAATAAAGAAACTGAACGAGTACATTTGTTGGTCGCATCAACTGAAGATTAGATCAGTTACGAAAAAAAGATAAATTGAATGGAATTTTATGATTCAATAACCAAGGGCTCATGAGTGTCGAAATTTTTTTAAACAAATCTATTGAATATATTGAAACTTATAAAAGAAAGATCGCATGTTTTCTAGTGGTGCTCGAAAATGAAAATGCTGACATATTACAGAGTAAGTAGCTGATAGATAGACACCCTGTATTTCTTTGAAGATACTAGAAGTTTTAAGAGAAATTGATTCTTTGGATTTGGTTTCACTTCAAAGATAAATATGATGATAGGATGTCCTTTAAATTAGTCATGAATGTCAAGCACTTATCCCTTTCTATAGTAAAGAACAGATTCTTTGAATCAGAAAAGTTCATAATCCACTTGAGATGTATTCAAACATTTAATGATATTTTTCTAATATTTTTGCTGCAAGCACCAAGCAATCTGACAAACAATGACTTTAGTGTGTCGAAGTTGAAAAAATCGAAAAGGATTCCTTCCAAAACTCTACACCCACGTTTGAGCATACTCAGACAATTCATGAGAACTTCAAGAGGTTCAAGCTAATTTTCCAAACTTCCCGAGGGCTTCCTTTAGCACGTAAGTGAATGGAGCTGTGAAAATGGGAACTTCCCGAGAGCTTATTTGCAGAACTTCCCGAAGGCTTTACGGGAACTTTCCGAGGTGACGCGGAAAGTTCACCACAGCTCTCAGAAGGTTCCCGTGAACTGTCTGAGTGTGTATGTGAACACTTCATTTCGGTTTTGCAAGTGTATCAAGAGTTCATTATTGAGTCAAGAACTACATTAAGCAAACCTACAAAAAACGGCGTTCTGATAATTGTCCGCATTTGTAGGGGATGATCGATCGTCAGCCAACTTTATGCAGTCTTGGTTCACATAGACGACTTCATCTATCAACCGTGTTGCCTAAAAAAAGAATCTATGGCTTTTGGCTGCAAACTTGCTAAGCCGTCTTTGATCACATCGCGGTTCATGTTTATGACCAATTGATAATTTATGTCCCAGCTGCGTTTGAAGCTTAATTCAATTTGCAAGTAACTCACGAAACCGACATAATCATTTCCATAGACTTACAATAAATTAAAATTTTATCTCCGACATCCAATCTGTAGATCATCACATGATGTTCCAAATTCTTGATGACCTTACACCCAATAGCTAGAAGATCGACTTACAAACTACAGCTCAAGCATCTGAAGAAAGATGATCCTCACCTGTGATATTTTACGGCTCAAGGCGCACTTCACATATTTCGTGTGAAGATATCATCTTTCTGTCGTTACTCGATTTACATTCTGTAAGTTAATCCCTCCTCAACGATATTACGAGAAGGAAGTAACTTTATTGTTGACTGCTTTGAAACTCGAGACGGCAGATGATGGCCAATGGAATTTTTACCCAGATTTTTTTTCGCGTATTCATCAGATAAAATCCAAACATAGGGGAGAAAAGGAGCTACAAAATTAGCGAAATACCGAGGTTAAAAAATCCGGGAAACTTGTAAAATAGTTTGCAGATAAACGGGGTCTTCTTGAATTTCGTTGCTAGGCAGAGAATGTGCAAGATATAGCAGAGAACCCGAATTCATCTTCTACTGCATGGTCAAGCATTCTCTGAATTGAAGTGATGTTGATACCTGATCGACGTCATCTTCAATTTTTGTGATCTGCTCGATTCTTTTACTATTTCTATCGACCTTGCCGTCATCGCCTCCTTTCGGTGACGTCACTTTTGGCCGAGATTCTGCTTCCCGCTGAATCTATAATTTACATTCATGTAAAAAACTTTGCATACAAATCATCTGTTTTTATGCAAACAATGATCTTTGGCAAATTACAACGCAGATTGCAAACATAGAGACTCAAAAAGAGAAAACAAGAGATGAGAGAGAGACGTGCAGGAAGAGAGAAAAATATGATGAAAGTAGTGAATCGTGAATAACTAACACCATTTATTTTTGTAGCGAGTGTAATATGACCTCTGATAACCTTAACTATGACCATTCAAACAAACATTAAAACGAGAGGTTTGGACCAGTTTCGCACTGATACAGGGCGAAACTGATCCAAACGTAGAATGTTGAAAGGTGACGGGAAAAAAGAATTGTGGGAGAGGCGTGGGAAATTCTTGTGGTTACAAATAGCAGAATTCCTATTTGTAAAAAAAACAGCACTTTCCAAAAGTTTATCTGACTTCAACGATAAGGAGGAAGATTATAGATCACTAGAGTGAGAAGTTATGACAGCTAGATAAGAAGATTCTAGAAGAAAAGTAAAGACCTCACCTGTAGTTTGATTTCGTGTTGTTCGCGAACTCGACGTAACATCGCTTCCACCGCAGCACCTCCAGTAACATCTGGCGGAGCCTGGCTTCCGTTTCGCGAACCTCCTAAAAAGTGAACTGAGCAGAATTATAACATATAACATTTGCCTAATTTAGAGGTATACATATAATGTTGCATTCAAAAGAAAAAAGCAAAGGAAGTGATTTCCTGCGTACCAAAGATTCTGACCTCTAACAATTACGTCCAAAACAATTTTTCGAGATGATAAAACGGAACAACCCATATACTACTACCTGGTGTATTTTCTAGGAAATTTGAAGTGCTTCAAAACGTTCTAAAACACTATATATGCGCAAATTGATGTTTAATTGACAACAATCGCGTCTTTATACACCCTCTTTCAGCTCCTACTCCTAAATGATGATGAAATGTCGTTAAAAACAGAATTCTTTTGACAAGAATGAACAAGAAGAGATATCGAGCTGCGCATAGACTGGGAAAGTTCATCAAAGGTATGCCGTACGAAGAACGACACAGCAATCAATCGAATAAGTTATGGACGTCCAGCGATCGCTATTAGTGAAAGTGATAAATGATGAATAGAGTGAGAGAACTTGGGCTATGTAGCCAAGTACAATTTGATAATTTTCGCGCATGGACAAGATAGACTCTTCTTCTGTGATTCTTCTACGTTGTACTACTGATGAAATTGTGACGAAAAAAAGGGGAAATGCAAAAAAAATGAAATGAACATGTGCATTACATGGCATTAGGTGTAGAAATTCTTGACTGAAATCTCTTCTCAGTTCATAATGTTGCATTTCATTTTGAATTAATAATGTTAAGAGAAGTTTTGAGGAAAACTGAACTTTCTTGCTGTAGAAATTGCAAAACAGATTTCAAATCATGTTCAATAGAACAGATTGAGCTTGATTGCAAAAAAGCAAAAATAGGATACAACGCGCGAAGATTAGTGAGATGGCAAAGAAGGGGAATAAGGCAGTATGCTATGTAAACAAAAGCACACAAACAGGAAATGTCACCCACGATGTCGAAAAACAACATGATGACTACAACGCACAGTGAAAGATGAGAGTTGATGGTGAAAAAGAAACAAGGTAAGCCTACAAGATATATGAGGACAAATAGAGCTTAGAGATGGAACAGGAAGTGACGAATAATTCAGGAAAACACGTCTGAAAAAGGCAATCCCCTTTCACAAAGCACGATAAGCGGACCCACGAATGACACTGTAGACTACATTTGAAACTAATGAGCCCGCACTACGAGTGTCGTGCACTCAAGAGTAAAAGCAAACACTAGCAAACGTGATTTGATGCAAGGGAAGTGAAAACGAAGCTTACCTAGACCTGCGTTTACCTTGCCGCTAGATTGGTTTTTTCGCTTCAATGATCCTACTAAGCTGTCATCGTCATCCGACGACGAATCTGGAACAACAAACGGTTGGTGTACAGTCAATACAGCCGCGGAATTACGCAAAAGCAAAGAAATCGAGGAACACATTTGTGCGTACCAGATGCTCGACTGTGTTGTCGACCTCGTGACTCAGTGAGTCGCTTGATCGGCTGAACGATACTAGGACGTTCCTTATAACCCTGCGAGTATTCAGCTAGTGCTTGCTGAACAGCTTCCTGACGAATTTCTGGAATGTGCAAATCGTTCGTATAAAGGACATAGATGATGCGGCGGCTATGCTTCATTCAATAAAAAGATCGCCGCTATGAAAATTAATGGCGATATCAGGTGTACTGTAACGGGTGTACATTGGAGAAATGAGCGAGAGAGGGACAGATCTGTACATACAAATGACTCATCCTATCTATGGAAAAAGGACATGTGACAACTGGTACGAAATTTACGGTACGGTACAAAAGTAACGCAAATAACAAGCGAAGTGGTTCCACAGAACAATAACGGGCGCAAATCAAATTTGCAATTTTCGCTTGAGCTAAGTTGTCAGGAAAAAAGGGAAGTTCTCGAGAAATGCACATCCACAAATAATGAAAACTAGCACCCACCCGAATGAAACCTGGCCTCATCGCGAGTAAGGCGCCGCTGATGTTGACGATGTGCTCGCGTTCCAGGGCTTCCTTTGGACTGGCCTGGACCTAAAAAGTGGTACTTCGTGACTGACATCAAACATGTTTGAGAGAAGAATGCATTCTTGCATTCACGTTATTGAAAATGAATCTGCTATGTTTGATGGACTGTAGATGCCACTGGAATTTTATTTGAAACAGGTCTTACCAGAGCAAAAAGGCAATTTCGCATTTTTCGCTCAGAAATAAGAGGAAACAATCATCGCGATCAAACAAACTGAACAGGAAGGAAGAGAAGACCAAAAAAAGGAGAAAGGAATTCTCATCAGGAGGAGAAAATGTAACCAACAAAATTCAACATGATTACAAGATTACAAGCAAGAAGAAAATTCTAAGCACTGATTACACAACTTTCCAAGGGTTTGTTCAGGTTCTGGACTTACATTAAGCTCAATAACTAGCTTGACAAGAATTAACAAGTCGTAAGAAGCTTCCGTGAGCGAGCAAAAAAGCATTTCTCCAGCTCTGATTGGCATGCAAAACAAACTACCCGTGCTGATTAGCCCGATATGTCCCCACACCGCGCGATTCAAATTTGCGCCAACACAACGAATCCCATTAGCTCCGCACGAACGCGACAAGTGCTGTGCTAAATCCATCTCCAGCAGCCTTAGCGGATATAAAGCTGGACTCATGGACGGACATGACTATGAAGTAGTAAAAAAGCGAAAGAAGATATATTGCACACACCTGCACTACAGCCTTTATTGAACTTCGCAAGGATCAAGTTTCGTTTTTTCTCATAGCCCTTTTGTGTGATGTCGCCTAAAACAGCATATTACAGAAGAAGAATCTCACGCGAAAACAAAAGAAAAGCGGAAAGGACGATTTTTTGTATAAAGTGGAAGAAAGTATTGAAGCACACTAAAAAAGCAAAAATGATCACAACCCATTAGCCGCGACTGGGTATATGTGTTCCAGCCATCTGTGAAACCAATCCTAGGGGGGGGGGGGGCAAAAAGCAACTAATTCTGTTTGTGGAGTTCTTCTTACTTTAGCTACTAATTACAATTTGTTTGCCATAATCCAACAAGCAAATAATAGGTTTTTCCAGATAATTGTTGTTTTCCTCTTGTTGTGCATAGCAAAGAAAATTGACTTTGTGAGCAAAACAATAACAACGAAAGGATGAAAGCGGTATAACAGGTAAACAGAAAAAAAGTCTTTCAACCTCTTTAGTGAAAGGTGGTCTCAAAAACCATTTTTTTAGACCTGCTGACAAGAAGCAAAAAAGAAAGTGTTAAGACGATCATCACCAGAAAAAACCATGGATGTCTTATTCAGCAAGGATAAAACAATACTACGAAGGATCAGAGAATTTTATATGTATTTCATAGAGTTGTTTCACTTCTACTCTGCTTACCTATTTGAAAAAAAAGCTATATAAGACTTCTGTTGACGCAACATTATCGATGCAAAACCAGTTCCCACAGAATCATGAATAATTCATTATCTTGGAAGTTTTCCGTGCATAAATACCTCATAAATACACAGATTGTATTCCGCTGAACTGATAAACTGATACGCAAAAGCGCAGAGAGAAGGAAAGTAAACAAAAAGAGCATTCGGCGAACACACTGACCTTCGCTCAGCTCCAATTCGAGAATGGCTAGCTGCTCTCGAACATCATCGGGTAGATGAGCTAGATCCTGTTCAAGCATCGGCTAAATGCTTGGACAAGGAGAAATAGCAATGTTTCTGGAAACAAAGAGTTGTTGGACAAAAAATCAATACTATTACCGCGACGAGTAATCGATCATTGGCGGAACACGCCAAAAATGATCCACGGTGTGACATTAATCAATGGCGACAAAGGGAAACACTAAGTGATGAATCACACAAGGCTAATTGCTGGGAAACACAGATGGTGAATGGCCGAACTGGTTGTGTAGAGAAATCCTATACAGATCCGAATAAACATTGAACATCGTCAGACAGTCGCCGATTACGTCAATGAGAGCGAAAAAGAAGGAGATCGAGGCAGTTAATGGCATTGAAGTTGCATTGCGCTGCTCTTTGATCATTGTCGGGTGGGGTATTCTCGCGGGAGAAAAAACGTTTCAAACTGGAAATGATTTGAAGAGGAGAGCGAGCGTGTGGAAACTGTCCAGAAATTGTTCAGTTTTTGCAAAATAGAAGAACGTTCAGATAGCCCCCTATTGTGGAGATGGGCGTGCACATATGAAGTGTTATCTATTCGTGGATGTTGTTTGTGCTCTGCGTAATCTGCTACTGCAATTTGTCACTTGAGAACGATAATTGCAGTTTTGCACAAGCTAGTAAATATACGCCGCCGTTTAGTAGTCGAAGCAAAAAAAATTTTGCGTGCTGAAGGAGGCATGCACTAATATCAATGAGAAAGAGTGAAACATAAAACGAGAGCTGGTTTTTTCTAGGGTATTCCTTTCTTCGTAGGATGGAAGAAAAAAACTGTGCAAAAAAGATGGGGATGATGGATTGTCCAAAATTGCAAGCAAGTTTCAGGAAACACTGAGGAAAGTTTGATACATATCTTCACAAGAAGCGCTGCAGCGATCATCGCTGTAAATTTAGATTTTTTTAGAAGTACAAAAAGCCTTTCAAAAATCTTGAATTTTCAATGAAGAGCATGTCTAATCAAGGTCTTGACGTAAAGAATGACCTCTAAACAAAGAAGAACATACGGATCTGTGAAAATCCCTAGAAAATTCAAATAAGAATGCTAGAATTTTGTTAATTTAGAGAAGACAAAAAAACCTGGACCTTCGCTTTCGACTGCGGAAGTGTAAACTACATGGAAGAAGCAGCACTAAATCCATGAGAAAACTAAAGAAAAATAATTCTGGAAGCCATCGCAACCGGTGTAGCTGCAAAACACACAGAGTAGATGCACTTAGTGAATACTGTTTTTAGCAAAAGCAGCAAGCGAAGCGGATTAGAGGATGTGAATGCACTAAAAGGTCTAATGTACGGAATAATGCATATGCATATGACAGGTAAATTGATTCAGCTTGACGTGCAAGATGAAATAGCAAATATTATATGTTGCAGATCATAAAAAACATTTGACCGATTTCAGTAGAGAGATGTGCAGACGAAACAGAAAAAGAGTTGGATGTACCTTTGTATTTGCAAATTGTCATAAAACAAGTATGTGAGAATAAGAAGAAAACACCTGTTACACTTGACCGTTGGGACAAGCTACTGCATTTACTGGATTTGGCTGATGCCATTTGCACTCAAATCGCCTACTGAAAGCCCAGTGAAGCATGAATTCCGCATGAATTGAACACGAAATATTTTTCAAGGCCATTGCAACTTGATGATATTACATCAAATACTTCTTCAAACATGCGAAAAGATCAATAAAATGCAGTGAAAATGTGAACCCAAATGCGCACATAATGTCGGACATAAAGTGTAGGTACATGTGCGAATAGCAGAATTCACACAAAAAGCACTTCTCTATAATCTGAAAGCCTCTTCAACACTTACCCGCACAGTGTGAAGTACACTCGAACGAGAGAAAGTCGCTGCAGCGTCGAGAACTATCACTACATCGAGCAAAAAACGAGAGAAAGAACTTCCGAACTGAGAGAAAAAAACGTGATTTGTCATGCAGAAATAGAAAAACTCTGATGTGACGTAAGTCAAACAGAACACTCCAGAAAAAAAAGAAGATTTTTAAACCAATAGAAACAAATTTATAGCCAGGTCACAGAAGATAGAAATGAATGACCTGACAGACAGATGGGACAACAATAATTCTCGTGATGTTCGAGATCTTCTTATATCTTATAACCACTTGTAAGAACTCTCGCTTATGCAAACAAATCGATTTGTATACAAAGTTACGAACAAACAAATCAACGGGCAGATTTCATTCATCTATCATTCATTCCACTTTTCTCAGTTGAAGCGTCGTGGAAGCAAAAAATAAATGAATAATTGAAAATGAATAAGCAGTCTGCACTGACCTGTTGGAAGGAAAAACCATGCACGACTATAAACGCACGCGCACAAAAATAGATAGATTAGGTCCTGCAGCGAGCTCTACATGACATGGACACACGTTGAGGAAGTTTGAAGTAATTGGAACTAAAAGAGAAACTTTTTTTCATTGCATTTGAAATTCTGCAGAATGGTTAGAATTGAGAAAACTTAATTCTGCGAAACGCTTGAATTTTTCCATGTTCTCATCAGCTGGGAAAATTCGAGATGATTTGATAAGCTAAACTCGTCTTCTCTAGCGTGACCATTACAAAATCAAGTGGAAGAATTTTCCAGTGAACGACTGCAGCCAATTTTAGAGCTAGAATAGAAAGGCTCTATGAGATCAAAATGCCGAGGATCTAAAAAATGTCTCTTCTCAATTCGAGACTGTCACGATCACACGGTTTACAGAACAAATGACAATAAACAGAGCGAGAAAAATTGCGAACGGACAAGAAGTCTCAAAAGAAGTGTTCGGACGCTGAACAAAGGCAACAAAACGGGTCGAACGAGATGGTCGTTGGACGGGGCGGACCTCAACCGCGTCGAATTGAGGTCCGAATGATAGATCTTCTGAGAATGATAGGAGGATGGTGTTCACTCAAAGCGCGGCCGTCTCGGCTCACAGCAGCACCTGCTGAGAGAATCAATAGCGTTAGGAGGCAAGGGGCTGAGCCCAAAGGTGTTCAGCACGGGTGGTACTGACCAGCAGCAGTAGCTGTTCTGGTCCGAATGGTTGGGGAACGGGGGAACAGCAGACCAGCTACCCGTCCGTCCGTCCTCGATCGATGGCTCTGCCTGGCCCACACCATGCCAGGCCTCGGCCGGCGACGGCCAAGCACCAATTTGAGGTCGACGCGAGGTGACTGCCCATCTTCTCACCCAATCCACTTCTCTAAGGTCGAACTTTTTTCAAATTATTTCGAGACTTCTATTTATTTCAAAGGCTGTTTTGGTCGTTTTGGGGAAATTTTTTCGCAAAAACTAGTAAATTTGAGCAAAACCTACATCACCGTGCCCAACAATGGGTAATTATCCATGACTCATAGCATTCATGAAAATAAAGCACTCAACTTCAAATTGCGCTGGGAGGAAGTACATCCAAAAATGACCACAAAATATCAAAGTAATTACAGGGTGTTTGAAAAGTTGTCCTGTAACTGTTGCAAAAAATCGACCCAGCTACAATCCTCCCATTTATACTGCGTTACAGGCCCAGTCACCATGGCGTGCGGGCTGCAGTGGCGTGACGCGACGCGTCAACTCCGCACCGCTTTTAGCGACTGCTCATCTTTTTGTTTATCTGTGTGCACCAAAGTATATTTGAACCGGAAACATCATGCAAAACGTCAGTACACTTCATGTATAAGTTCAAACTTAGGTCAACAACAACAACAGCTGCGCGGAAGTGTCATTGCAGGGTTTAGGCTGACATTGAAAGGGGGGCTACAATCATCTGTGATAAACATCTTTTGACTGCTACATTATGAAAGAACTTCCATATGGTGACGATACGCAATCAGCTTTACAAAGAGGGGGCGTTTTTCAACACTGCTTCCAGTGTCATCCATTCTGAGACAAGAAGACTCGAGAACGCTTAGCACACATTGTCTAAACAAGCCTGAACTTGTTCTTCTCTGGTTTTAATGAATGATCCTAGAAAAGAACACGATCAAGCTTGTTCTGACAATGTATGCAAAGCGTACTCGAGCCTACGAATCTCAAGATGATATGGTATGTTTTATTCCTAGAACTCTCCAAATACTTGTTTATTAGAGTAGAGAAAATCAGATCAGGAACAGCACTTGTACAAGTGTCTCTATAATTCCGTTTGTTTACTTTTTGCATCAAAGTAAAGAGTGCGCGAAATATATTTGCTTAGCGAAAACAGGCTGGTTGATGAACAATGCAGAGCAACATATCGGAGTGCTATGTTTGTCGAAATTTCCGTCATGCAAAGGAGCATCTGTACTTTTCTGGGAACTAAAAGAAGACAATTGTTAAAAAATTCCATCCAGAAAGCTAAGCACAGCTTTCCCCGCACCGCTCGAGAAAGAACACCACTCGGCCGCAAATGCGTACCTGCTCTGCACCATGAAAACGCTGAGCGTTTCGTGTGCACAGTGCAATTACACCATGTGCAAACCATCAAAACTACTATGCGCGGTTTTTTTCTCAACAGGAAGAGAGCCGCTTGCGAGGAACGCTGTAATAATCCATAATATGCGGCGGTGAAGAGAAAAAACACCGGAATAGCACCTACGAGTATTCGCCACAAGTTGAGTTTACAACTTCGCACTGTAACGGTGAACATACGGAGGAGCAAACGGACCTTGCATGTGTTCGTGTTTGCAGCGAGCGAGAAGTTGCACTTCGGAGGAAATGACTCGTGTATCGATGGCGAGATAGAGTTTCTACGTTGTCACTGCAAAGTTTTTGCAGCGGGCATAACGGTTGTGAAGCGGGTATGAGGCTTCACACAGTTTTAACAAAAGATTTATGGGCAAAAGAAGGAGGAAAATTCTAGAAAAAATTTTGCCAAGTGGAGATTCAACGAAACTTCAAAAAAAAGAACAATAAATCTTAGAAAACTTTTAAGAAAACTTGTATGGAATAAACACCTTACCACGGTAAAGACTTTGCGATAGATATCCCAAAAATGGTGGCAGCAAACGGCAGACAGCTCTCTATAAACAGCCAAGTAGAACCCCCCCCCTCGTACCTTGGAG